TACAGTCTGGTAAGAGCAAAAAAATATTAGTTGTATGGGAGCCCCGTTAAATAAATATTTAATTCTGGTTTTCTGTATTTGTTTTTGAAGCGGCAACAGAAATATATCATCTGTGAAAATTTCAACTGTCTTACTTTCACGATTCAATAGATACAGCCTGGTGGTGGTGGTTGACAGGCAGCGAAGTCTTGGTTATAGGGTTCCCGTTTTACCCTTTGGATGCGGAACACTAAAAATGTATACTAAACTTCTCAGATTGTACAATGTATTTATGTATTTCGTATTTGTATTGATATCTAAGTTTCGAACTTTACAAATTTCAGTTTTTTAATTGTTAGTTAAAAGGAACAGAAATGACTGTCTTTGTTCCATTCGTTTCCTGCAAAAATCAACTTTTGCTAGAGTCGCCATCTAGTGGAGGTGCTTTTTAGTGCTATCGTTTTTTTTAAATACTTCCTCATTATGAATCGAGGCGAATCAGCATCTCTCAAAAGTTGCAGTGAAAATGAGCTGCGAAAAAATTTTTAGGACCTAGTTAGTTCATAAAAAATAGTCAGACTTTCGTTTAAGGAAACAAACATCAGAAATCACTAGAAGTTTGTTTTGCTCCGCCGCCACCAAATCTTCCAGCGCCTGACGTCCGCACCGGGTTCTAAGTGAAATAGTAGGCTTTAGAAAGCTCTTACACATTTTTGTTACGAGCTAGCCTTCCATGTATGGCTTGTTACAGAGGTCCAAGAACAATCTAAGTGATAATTTACTACATGTTATCACTCATGCAAAGTCAGGGCGGTTCGCTAGTAGACGATTATTTATTATCTTTGTAAAAGTATAGCATAGAAAAAACTGCTATCCAAATACTTCTAATGCTGCACAGTCACAGAATTATGCTGCATAGCGCTGCATTAGATACTCTATTTTTAACAAAATGGCAAATCTGTAGTCACTATGATCTAAAACACCTATCTATATTAACGCAGTATCTTTTTTGGTATAGTCTTTAAAAATCTGTCATATTCCTGGCTTTTATCGTCTTCCGAAATGTATATTCGTTTGTGGGCCTATATTAGCCTACATAGACCCAAAAGGTCTACTCTGTATCCGATAGCGAAATATCGTCTATTTTCGTAATTCTAATATGACTAAAAATCCGACCTTTTGTTCTTCAACTTCAAGGATACAATATTTTCTATTGTAAAGATTTCGAAAAGTTTCGAGTTTTTTCGATTTTTCATTCGTGGGCTAACAGAATAGGGCCTCGGGCTGCACACAGGAGATGTATTATTTTGATGTTTCAAACTCTTGTTATTAGAAACTGAATTATTATTGTCTTTTTAATAACAGAAGATACAACAATCACTCCGTTTTCTCTGTGGAACAATCACTCCGTAGGTCATAAAACTGCATACCGTGTAAGTGCGTATTTGTCCAACTCAGTCCAAGTCGGACAACAGTGGTGCAATCTGACGAGTTATATAAAAATACTATACTAGCGAGCCAGTCCCACGGCATACCGGTTGCAGCTCCGCGCTCCACAGACGACCGATTTTATTTGGTTTTAATTTTACTTGAGCTACGTGACGTAAGGCAATGTTCGTCTGACGTCTCTAAAACCCATTCTTTCACTATTATTTTTTTATTTAAAATAACGGCGGACTGTTGTTTTCATTACTTTTCTCTCAGTTTTTCCATTTCCTCTCTCCATAAGAATCTTTTAGGGGTCTTCAACAAATACTAAATAAAAGCTTCTAGTGTTTTGTAAGCACAAAATTCCAGATTGGAAGTGCAGTCATTTTTAGATCTAGATAAAAATTAACTCAAAATCATTTCTGTAATGGAAACACTTCTTCTGCGTTAATTGTTATCACAGACTGTGCCAAACTTAAATATAATCTGAAGACAACTGGTGTTATAATAGCCTTGCTTGTAGCTAACCATATTATAGGTATTTTCCTACCCACATTAAGTTCGTTTAATACTCGTTGAAGCTAGAAGCAAAACAGCTCGTTCTGAGAATTGGGGCCTTATTCTGAGAATTAGCTGTATAACGTGATTCAATTGCAGTGGTTGAAGCAGGATGGTGCTAAATATCCCTAAGTAATAAGTGCACGCCAAACTACAATGAAACTGATTATAAATAAAAGACTTACAGCCAGTTGCACAAACGTCCATTAAATTTTTCATAACTTTAAAGCAACATTACTCATACAATTTTTACGTTCATTACAGCTTACGTTCAAAGGCGCCTTTAATAAAGGAAGGAAAGAGGAAAAGGAAACTTTAATGGACATTTGTGCAACTGACTGTTAATTGCTTATGTTAATAAAAGATGACGAAGGAACTACAATACAAAGGACAAAGATGTATGAGAACAAAAATTACAGAGTTACCTCTAGGAAAAGGGGCAGTTTTGGAATTATTCGATATCTAAGCAAATTTTTCTTCAGTGTTTTAATCTGTTAGTTAAAAGGAATGGAAATTACTATCTTTAATCCATTCATTTCTTGCAAAAATCAACTTTTGCTAGAGTCGCCATCTAAAGGAGGTGCTTTATTAGTGCTTTCTTCTTTTTCTTAATATTACCCTCATTTAAATACAATTTTTAACTCCATTTTACGCAATACGCATCATCATATTCTAGTCGTCTTATAGACTGGCCTATTGGTTTAGTATCTTCATCTTTATGCCCAGTCTTAAGAGGGCGCGTAAGGCCAAAAGACTGACTCTGGTCTATCGCTAGTAACAGAGTATGGTAAAATGCGTGTCCAAAATTGTTTTAAATGAATAACTCGCGTACTATTACGCTTATTGTAAATGTATCTCTCTAGTTTAGAATATGAATAACGTCTTTCCCAATTTTCCCTTTCAAAAAGGTATATTTAATAAAGTACAACAATAATTGTAAACATTACGTATTAGTAATTTTGTGAGTTTTTTCAATCATATTTTTTTTATACATTCACCATTATGACCATTATACATTATTAGAATGATTGTGAAATAAGGGGTTGGAAGATATTTCGGGCTGTTGCAATCACCATGATCATGGAGTGAGTGAATATGAATATAAAAGTACACGGTAGCAATATCGTATTTTACTATCATTCTAATGTTAATGACCAAGTTTAAAACAACATAATGATGATATACCACTTCCTTGTAAATGATGAGTTAATGTAGTAAAGTTTCCGATCTATAGCAAGAGAATCGATCTTGTAAATCAATTTGATTCGGAGACGTAAATATCGATCTATTAAACATCGATACATGCTCCTAATCTCTTATAAAACCTATCTATCTAAATAGGGCATTTGAAACTATTAAAAATAATTTGCATATTGTGGTCATCCTCTTAGATAATAATCTAATAAAGTTTATTTCTTAGAATCTGCAGACAGAAGAGAATCAGAAGACTATAGCTTAGTAAAATAAGGTAAAGGAGATGGAACATTTTAAGAATTTAATGAACGACGAAAACGCCCTGTAATGTTTGTCGTCTCAAGCAATAACAAACAGATTTTGGTTATAAGCGTGTGTCATGTCAAAACAATGTTATTAGAGGTACAAAAAAATTGTGTTTATACATACAATTTTTTAGCTTATTTTTATAAACAAAACCAGAGTAGGTACAAATACAAACAATAACATAACTTCAATTACTCTTCTATTATACTATTTATTTATGAAGTAAACAAATAAATAGGTTATGTATGTCCTCTTGACATATTTACAGCTATGTGACGTCACAAATACCACGTGATCAGCGCCATTACACGTAGCAGTATTTTTTGCGCGATTTTGGCTATTAAAACTTTAACAATCATGCAAGAAAATGTCTTTTTAGGAATTTTAATGAACATATTGCGTTTTCTTTATGCCGTTTTACTAAAGCTTAACATATTTGTTTGCAAATTCTAAGAAATAAATTTTATTACATTATTATCTAACAGGACGACCATAATAAGCAACTTATTTTTAATCGTGTCAAATACCCTATAAGAGTTTTGTTGAACGTTTTTTAAAAATACAATAACAGTTGAAAATTAGTGATTTTAGTATGTGAACACCTTAACAACGGCGTTTGAATCTCACTTTGAGCTCATGGTAAGCCCCTTCACATTATCTGTCGAGTATATATCGTAAACAGCTGGACACCAGCTACGCGGCCGCCCCGGCGGGCGACCGGTGACACATCATCGTTGGTGATTCACAGCCATTGGACTGCGCGTAAACATGAATCTGTGACGTCACTTCGTGTCCGGGATCTATCGGGTAAACCACCCGCAAATTATCGAACGGTGTGATCATACACAATTAAAAGCATTCTAAAAATTGTGTTTGCTAAATTGAATATTTCATATGGATCGATTTTGAAAGCTAACAATTTGAATGAAAATTATATTTTTATTAACTCAAAAAGTTAAAACACTGTATTCTAAATATTCGACTTGAAGAATGAGAAATTTTTTATATACTTTCAAAATGAAAAGGAAGTTCTATGTCCGACTCATATTTTTTATTTCACCGATCACCGATTTTTGCACGAATTTCAAAAACTTAAATGTCCCATATTTTTTTATCGAAATCGGATTAGCAGTTTTGTTTTTATAACAAAATAAATAAACGCGTTCTTTCTAATTAACAAAAATACTTATAAATATATTATTTATGTCATCGAAGAAAACAAAAGTTTATGCGTTTTGTGCACCTATACTAATATTATAAATAATAACGATTTGTTTGTTTTTTTTTTATGTATGTTTGCATCGAAAAGTCTCTGTCATGGCCTACAAGGCGATACGCCCCGTATTTACGTGGGCAAACTCGCGGGAAAAGAGCTATATAGACTTTATATCAAATAAACATTCAAGGATAAGTAAGTAATCTTTGTAAAGTTTGAAGTTGTTTTTACTTAATTTGTAAAAGTTTTTATAAGATAAGGAGCGATATATGAATTAGGCTACAAGTTTAAATGAAAAATTACGCTTGATGAATCGTTGATGCTGTTGCTGTTGGGACTACTAGAAATTCACTCATCTTTTAGCCCAGTCCCAGGAACATCCGGTCTTGAACTTCAACAGGAAACGGCATTTGATTCTGACATTAATCATATACCGTTTCCTATAGAAGTTTTATCTCCAGCACCACAAGGAAAATTTATTCAGGGTCAAGGAAAGAGAAAGCAAAAGATATGCAATTCTCATTTACTCTTAACTTCTACTCATAATATGGACGAAGTTAAAGAAAAATATGCTCCGAAAATTCCTCATGAAAAGAAGAAGCGTCAAGCAACAAAGACTTTATTCGATGAGGTATCAGACACCGAAGATTACTAGCTTCATTCTCGATTCGTTGATGACGACTATGATTGCGCATGCATTTATTGTAACGATTTATTTTCACGTTCTAAGCCTGGCGAAGACTGGTTAAAATGCATGAAGTGTGGTCTCTGGGCCCATGCATCATGAGCTGATGTTCCGCGCAAGATTAAAAAATTTGTTTGTGAACTATGTGCCTAACTTTATTACTGTCATTATGTCAATGAATATTATGTCGTTTTGTCCGTATAGAATGGACAAAATGGATTTTTCTACTTCTTTTGATTATGCTCTGTTGATCTCATGATAAAGTTCCTATTTGATTGTTTATTTAAATTATTGTAAGGCAAATAACCAAAGATGATAATAAAATTAAGAGACTGATTCTAATCGTAATAGTTACAAATAAATAACATGTCAAAAAAATTGTATGTCATTTTGTACGTACTTCCCCTAGTTGTAAAAACGTCCATTATTTTCAAGCGACATTAACGATCAAACTTTAATACTTTAGAGCTTAAAGATGTCATTAAACCTTAAGGGACGTTTGTGCAATTGACCGTAAAGCATCTTAAAACCTCGTTATTAACAGACTTAAAAAAGAGGTTATCAATTCGAGGTATGTAATTTCGTTAGAATATCGTAATTTTAAAATATCTTGGTCTCTATGGGCTCCTAAACATGCGTGCAAAACTGTATAGATATATAATGTATGTATGTTTGTCAACGGATATCTGGCAAACTAGACATCTGATTGCAATGTTTATTTTCTGTTTAATTGCTTAGTTTTCAACTTAGGGTACACTGCAAGTTTCATCAAAATCGGTTCAGTAGTTTTGAAAAGATAAATAAACAATAACATATAAGTTACATATAAGAGGAGTAAAAAGTTTACAAACTTATAAAAAGAGTCAAGATTGATGACCTTTTTAACCTACACACAGGTAAAATAACTGCCCTCTTATTTGATGAATAAGAAGGCAGTCATTTTACCTGTGTGTAGATACCTACATATACATTATATACATATCATTAACAGAATTCGTTTGTCAACATATTTCTCATAAATTAGACAGAGGACTCCGTGTTCAGTATCTCAAGGGCAAATGAGCTCACAGGCAACTCTTACATTAAACCTTGATGGTAATGATGAGTCCGATGAAAGGGCGTGGACCGAGGTGAAGCGGAAGCGGGCGCGAGCGTCTGTGCCCGGAGTACTGCGTGGTACAGCGATGCCTGGAGCTACTTTGTTAAGTGCGGCCGAAAGGAAACGGTACTTACATCTGTACTACGTGCAGGAGGGGACAACGGATGACCAAGTGCGTGCTCATCTCACTACAGTGTGCGGAGGGGATGTATGTTCGGTTGAAGCATTAAAATCACGCGGGAAGTACGCATCTTTTAAAGTTGGTGTGCCAATTAAGTATGCTGAGCTAGTTATGTCCCCAGACAAATGGGCAGTGGATATCTGTGTTAAACCCTGGCGTCAGAACTTTCGTGGTAAACAGGAGACAAGGCAATAAAAAACAAATAAAAAAGCTGCATTGTTACTATCAAAACGTTAGGGGTTTGCGTTCTAAAACAGTGACATTTTATAATAATATTAGCCAGTCGAACTATGATGTTATCGCTTTGACAGAGACATTCTTGACAGATTCAGTGTATGATGGCGAACTTTTTCCCGCCGGATACGTTGTGGTTCGCAAGGACCGTGCCGGTAATACTGGGTGGGGTGGCGTTCTACTAGCGGTGCGTGACTACCATTCTGTACAAGTAATTGATGACATTGATGGCCTCACACACGATAAAGAAATAATTTGTACTATTATAAAATCTAAAAATGTTAAACTATTATGTGTTGTAGTATATTTACCCCCTAGATATACAGATGACCAATATCTAGATGTTTTAACATGTATAGAAAATGTAATTTGTTTGTATCCGAATTTGACTATATTACTTTTAGGAGATTTCAATCTCAATTCATGTAGTTCCAATGTTAAAATGCAGTTTGATAATTTTCGTTTATTTTGCGGATTACGTGAACATAATTATGTGTGTAATAGGTATGGTGGTATGTTAGATCTTGTGTTGAGTGATCTCATGTCCGATCAGGTGGTGCTAATGAAAAGCACTCAACCTTTGGTGGAAATCGATGAGTATCACCCTCCCCTCGAAATAATTGTGAAATTGAGGAACGTTATGCATCCGTCGGTGTGGTATCCATTTCCACCGGTTCCACGACCTGAGTCAAACACCATTCCCGAGTGGAATTGGTGTAAGGCAAATTTTCAGGCATTATATGCTGCTCTGGGTGATATCGATTGGTCCGTTGTTTACAAGACTGACGATGTGGATGCTGCCATAATTGCATTTTATACTAAAATATACGAATCTATAGATTTATATGTACCGCGGAAAAATAGCCCAACGCGAAATTCTAAATATAGGTACCCAAAATGGTTCACGGGAGAAATCATTAGTAACTTAAAACAAAAATATTTTCATCTAAAGCAGTTCAAATCGAAAGGAAAGGAATATAATAAAGAATTGTATAAGTATTACAGATGGCATGTGAAAAACTTAATTGACAATGCATATAGGCAGCACATACATAAGACTCAGACTAATATTATTGACGAACCAGTAAAGTTCTGGGAATACGTAAAGGATAAGAAAAAAGACAGACGGCAAGTAGATTATTTTATTTATAACTCTGGCGTAGTAACAGGACAAGGGGCGGCCGAAGCATTTGCACGATATTTCAGTTCTGTTTTTTTGGATGTAGTGCCTCGCTTGGATGTTGACGAGGCTGCACGTGAGGTATTCTCGATTGCTGATGCAAAATCCATCTCTATCCCGTCTATTAGCAGAAAAGATCTGAATAAAGCTGTTAAGCGTCTTAAGCCGAGATCATCAGCTGGCCCTGATGGTGTTCCGGTTTTTTTAGTTAGGGATTGCGTACCTGTTCTAGCGGCGCCTTTGCTATATTTATTTAATCTCTCTTTGAGACAGGCTAAGTATCCTGACCTTTGGAAATTATCTAGAGTAACACCAATTCCCAAGGGAGATCCTGTTCCAAATGTGACAGAATATAGGCCAATTGCAATATTATCTGCTTTTGCAAAGCTCTTCGAAGCCATTATCAACACTGACATTAGCCAGCAGATAGGTAACCGACTGCATAACAGTCAACACGGTTTTCGCAAAGGACGTTCAACTACTACAAACTTAACGGCTCTGATAGACTACGTCTCTGGTGAAATGGATGCTGGCAGACAGGTTGATGCAGCCTACTTTGATTTTAGGAAGGCCTTCGACCTTGTTGATAATGACATATTGTTGAAGAAGTTACATATAATAGGTTATACGCCCAAACTTTTACAATTTTTTGCTAGCTATCTAAAGGATCGACGCCAGTTTGTAAAGTTGAATGGATTTGAGTCGGTATACTATTACACAAGGTCCGGTGTGAGTCAGGGTAGTACATTGGGGCCGACCCTATTCCTGATTATGATAAATGATCTCCCTGAAGTGGTAAAAGTCGCCGAGTGTCTCTTGTTTGCTGATGACCTTAAGTTATATTTGGGTGTAGAGAGCCAGGACAATGCAGATGCACTGCAAAAAGACATAGACGCTGTGGTTGAGTGGAGTAAAAGTAACCGTCTTCCCTTTAATATTTCAAAATGTAAAACCATTACATTTGGACGAAAACGCTCGGTTTTACATAATAACTATAAGTTATTTGACACCCCATTGGAAAAAGTTGACGATATTCGAGACTTAGGGCTAATATTAGATACTAAGATTGACTTTCACAAACACGTGACTAACGTTTGTAGGTCTGCTAGTAGGATGTTGGGCTTTATTATTAGAACATCTTCGGAATTCGACAGTCTGGCAGTGGCAAGAGTACTGTACAATGCTTACGTGCGCAGCAAACTCGAGTACGGGGCGATCATTTGGGATCCGTATGAGGAAAAATACAAATTATTAGTAGAAAGAATACAGAGGAAATTTACCCGTTGGTTATATAGAAGGTGTTATGGTTATTATCCCTTCCTCTACCCGTCCTTGTTTGTGAGTGGGATGGTAGGCGTCGAAACGTTGACCTTTAGAAGGAAATTTCTGCTCATAGCATATTACCTAGCTGTGATTTACCACAGGGTGGATTCTCCACATGTATTCGACACCCTCTATCTCTCAGTTCCCTCTCGGGTCCCGGTTTCCGCCGACGGCTTGGTGGCTCCTCGCCGCTATCCTCGTCTGCTGAGAAGGCCGGTCACACGAACTAACTATGCTGCACAAGCTCCTACCGCGCGTGGGATACGCTTGCTCGGGGATGTGCTCGCTCAACACAAGGATTTGGATTTGTTTGCTGATGGTATGGGCCGATTGTTATCATCGGCTAGACAGATCCTAGATTCTTTATAAATTATGTAATCCTTAGCATTGATTTATATTATTGTTAGACATTTATCTACTACGTACTTTAAATTCATGTTTTTTTTTAAATTATATAAATTAATATTTTGATTATTTTTTCACAATTTGACATTATTGGTTGTAAATCTGACGTAATTCAATATCAGTACAAATACTTTTTTTTTTTTGACTTGTAAAAATTGAAATTATTATGACAAATGTATAATGAGCCAGTGTGATGGAGTATTCTGTAAGCTGGTGCATGATTGAGTAATAAATAAATAAATAAATAAATAAATAAATAAATAAATAAATTGGATTGCAATGATATTTTTTGTTTAATTAACTATTTTTCAACTTAGGGAACAACATAAAACTTACTACAATAAACAAACAAACAAACTGTTACCAGAACAGAAGGATAGGTTAGGTTAGAACCGAGACTCCAATATAAACAAATTAAAAAAATAGCGTGTTAGATAAGATTAGAACTGCTACCATCACAGAAAATATTTATCCGGTAAATATAAGAATGTTTAAATGCAAACATAGGTGTCTAGTTATTATAACTTAGAAGTAAGTGAAATGGATAGGTGATAACTTCTATTATTAAAAAACGATAAAAAAATTAAACCGGCTTCAAAAAACGCAATAAAGAGAAAGACTGAAAAGAGAGAAATAATAACAAATATTTATCAACAATAGAATCGAAAACTAAAAGTAGATACACTAACATTTTTTTTTAGGTTGGTGCCAGATATTTACAAGAAAAATATCATGTAAGAGAATCGATTTACTGATAGTGTTGTTTTACTTCTTTCTTACTAATGAAATGCCTTTTTTTTTTCTTTTTTTATACCGAGGGGAACTGACTTTAACATGCCATCGACCTGGACGAAAGACCTACTGAACCTGGACTCTCCTGCTGCGGAGGGTTAAAGAACCCCCTATCTACAGCAGGCCTACCGTGCAAAACCCCCCGTACCACCCTCGCGCATAGTCCGGTACATGGTATCTTAAAATAAGGTCCAGGAAAATCCGGACCGTCGGGGACACCCGGTGGTGTCCCTTCCTCTCTGCGGGCGGGAGGTTTCGCAGGTGGTTACAAGAAACCCTCCCTAGACAACCGGAGGTGGTGCAATGACCGTGGGGGTGGTCATCCCCACAGTCGCCTCCGAAGGAGGACCGGATGCGCTATTGGGCAATCCGGACCCCCTGAATCGTCTAAGTTCTGACAAATCGCTCCCCGGCCTCCCCATGTCTTTCTCCTCGAGCAACCCCGGCGCCCCTCTGGCGTACTTCGAGCGATGAGTCAGAGCGTTCCCGCTGCCATGGTGTCGACCGCTGATCGACGTAGCTCCTCCCCTCAACGACTAAATGCGTTGAAGTGGTGAGTGCCTCGCTGCTGAGCCGCAGCCGACTCCATACCTTCATCGCTGACCATGACAGGCGTGTGCCTGCCATAGCCCACCGAACCCAAAAAAATTGTTAACATATATCCCTTTTGCCCGGCGGTCCGATTTTTTCCGGTCCGGAATGACATGAAAAACCCGGATGAGTAGCTTGTGCACTTGCCCGTATTTTTCCTGATCGGAGCGGTGTAGTGTAGGGCAACTCTCTTTGAAGCTACACGTACCTAGCGTAAGGTACGATGAGATTTTTAGAACGTCGGTAATTGCGTTCGATTACGTAGAAAGGTACCTAAATAATGACCTGATCATTTTACATAAACCATAATAAATTGAAGCAAGACGAAAACATTTTTTTACTACTATCGGATGACTACTATCAGATGTAAAAACTTATACCCTTACTAATTTAGGGACAGCATTATTCACATACAATAGCAAAAAAAATATCTGGGACCTTAGAATAAAATTACTGATAATGGTAATTCCGGATCGCGGACACAGCCGTGGACAAGTGTAACCTTTATATGGCCTGACATATCGGACCGGAAAAAATCGGCCGCCGGGCCTGAAAATTCAGTGCACAAGCGCCCTTATTGCTCTCTTTTCAGTCCTTTCTCTTTATTATGATTTTTAAGAAGTAGGTTTATTTTTTTAAACGACAAGTCATTTTACCCCTAATTTTATTCAGAATACATTAAGTTTTGACATCCTGCGAAGCACTAACTGTTCCAATTGAATGTTCTAGTACGATATAACTTAGCCATTTGTCACTTTTTGTAACATCTTTTCTGTTCCCAAATACGTCGGACATTGACGGTTGAGTAGTTGACGGATTTATAAGGGACAAGATGGGTCAAGAATTCATTTTAAAATCAAAGGGATTGGCGCTGTCAGCCGGACGACACAATCCTGACACAAACATTTGTAATTAAAAATATATATATATCATTCCTTGTGAACTCGGGCAGTGCAAAATAAAATACCAATAAAAAATTCTACATCCATTATATTTCAACGTCATAAGTGATGACAATTAAAATTAATATATTTTAAATGCGTTGGAGTTGTTCATTTTTTACAAAGTGTATGAACGTAAAAATGTTACTCTCATTGTTGTTCTCAAAGGTTATACGTCTCGCATACACATTATTCCAAAACTTTCTTACTTCGCGATCAGAAATAATGTATTTGCAGACTACATATTGAAAAGTTAAAATCAGTCTAACCGAAAGTATTCATATATTCATTTGACATTGGCCAACAAACTTCCTCATCAAATACTCTCCACTGCCTTAAAGCTAACTGGAAAAAAAATATTAGTACATCCTACAATAAATATTCAAAAAATAGTACCTTAAATAGAAATCACAAATATGAAACTCAAACGGTAGGAGATTCCAACAATACGATGAATTCATAAAATATAATACATAAAGCGATAAAACAGTCTTTCACAAAAGTTCCCACTCGTTACAACGTATTAATAAAATAATTATTTGTACCGTATCAGCGAGACTATCAGAAAATCAGTCATTATTTTAAATTGAAATGTCCCTTAAAATTTAATTCAATTTCTTTTATAAATTCGAATCGTTTCTTTATGTCAACCTTGTCTAAATTAAAATACAAGAACGTGTTCGTATTTATTTATGAATAAATATTATTAAACACAGCCAACCCGAAAATGATACATACTAAATTTTAACACTACAATCTTATATCACATACATTAAAATGTAGACCAATGTCAAAAGAACATTAAAAGACGTTTGGCAGTGGGCGAAAACGAAGAAAATTTAGTTACATATACGATAACTAAGAATCACAATACAGTTAATACTTACGAATAAAACTTATCTTAGATCAATTACGAAAAACGGTGACGTGCAGTGTTACACGGCAGAGCTTTCGCTGAGCGATATACCGCGTTTTACAATATAATGCTTAAGTTTATTAACGCTTAAAGAAGAATTCCGTCGCGGTAAGAAAAATAAATACAATAACAACCGCTTTCTATTTTATAATTAATATGAATTATCCATAAATTAATGTAATGTATGACAAATGTTGCGCTACGAAAACTAACGTTACAAAGCACCATTGTGATGTATATTTTGAAAATATGAGTAAGCTTTAAATCAGACAAAAAAAATATTTAATTAGAAGCGAAAGTAATGGGATTCAAAGTCTTACGACCGTTTCGTTTCTTCAAAATTTGTACCATTTGTAGATAAGGTGGCTAATATATTATAAAAATTCCATTCGACAACAATGTGATTTCAATCTTACCATGTTTTACTTTAACAAAAAATAAGCTTTGCCGTCATCAAATATTTGGGAACAGCCAAGATGTCCACATATTAGACACAATTGAAATAATCAAAAATATTGGAGCAGCCAACTTTGTTAAATTCACGAGAACCCTTTGTTTAGTATATCAAAATACATATAAAATCAGACTCCTGGCATCGTCTTGCAAATTCAGGCTGCTCCGATATTTCAATTATTTTGATTGGTCACGTTTATTGACTGCCCCCAAATATATGTCGTCGACTGTACGCATCGGCCATAGTTATGCATTACGCCGCACGTCACCGGCGGTACACAAGTGAAGTATCAATACACGTATATCTAGGAAGTGATGCGTCAATGCGTGGAAGCAACCTCAGTCTTGTCAATCGGCTGTGAACCAACACCGCTGCTATTGCCCTGCTGTTTCTGTTCGGCACGTACTGTAAACAGCCAATAATAAATTACAAATAAACAATATACAAAACGATGACATTTGGTAATAGTAATTTTCACTCATATATTTAAGTCAAACATCTGCCATCGACTGTGAGCGCATGTGGAAGCGTGAAACTAAACCGTATTTTTCATTCTTAATGTGACATTTCATTGTAGTTAGGATTCCCAACCCTACCCGAATGCCTAGGAGAATGCGATAGCAATGTTTAATTCTAGGGAGAGAGGACGGTAAATTTTTTAAATATCAATATTTGCCACCTTCCCCAGCGGTTTGAATTCCCCTCGCGCATTATCTGTTCACGCGTACGCATGATATGAATGCTAGGTGTTGATGCTTAAAAGCAATGTAAATATAGATTTAAAATAAAATTAATAAATATTTGAGACATTTTTTTCTTAATTCTACCTTAATTTGTTAAAATCCCCCCATGTTAGCAGCCCTAGTTGTAGCGTACAATACGCTAGTAATGTAAACAACACATTGTTTAAACCGCAATCACTAGTCATACGATTTTGAATTAACGCAATCCAGAAAAGAATAACACAGGTAAAGGTTACCATGAGAATTACATGGAAATGTTTAAACTTTTCCTTTTGTTATACTGTTTGTATTTATGGAAAAGGTTAAGTAAATTTTCTAATCTTCATAAAATGTCATTGAAAACTCACCAAAAAATATTTTATGCTTCCGTAGGCTGCTCTATCGGATCAGTGCGTGGTTCCTCGACAGCGACAGTCTTAACTTTAATATCGGCAACCTCATCGTTGCTAGCAGACTTTTCAGATTCGGAATCGTGGGAAGCACCGTTCGAGTTGCCATTGGCACCATTAACTTCCACCTTTCCATTCTCTTCAACAGACAACCTAGAGTTTAACTCCTCCTCTTTACTCGCGTCTCCGTTAACGTTAGCTACGTCTGCGTCACCGTTCGTAGAGTTGCCGTTCACTTGTGGTTCTGTATCGACCTTTGCTTCATCGACTGCCTCTTTCTTATCTGAAGACTCAACAACAGGTTTTTCTTCCACTGTTTCTTTACTTTCTACATTTTCGTCTAATTTGGGTTTGTTCTCCTCAGTCTTTGTTTCCGCCTCCAATTCTTTAGAATTGCTGACTACATTTCCATCTGTAACATTATTTGATTCTACTTTGTCAGCTTCCAGCGCTTTTTCTTCAACTACAGGAACTTGTTTTGTGGTGCCAGATTCATCATTTTCGCTCTTTTCTTCCACTACGTCCGTTTTCTGATCTGTTATTTCCTCTACCGTGTTTAAGTCGATATCATCGCATTGTTTCATTTCTAAATCTAGTTCAGTGTCCAATATCCTATCCACAATGTCATTAGAGTCTGCGTTCTCTGCTTCAATACTCTCCTCGACGATTGGGTTCAGTAATGGTTTCAAAGGAATTTTATCCAAATTCGTAACATCTTGCACCTTTGATAAAATCTCATCGCATTCTTTTTCTAACACTTCTCCAACATTTTGTAAATCTTCAATATCGTCGACAGCAGGCGGTTCTTCGATTACGGGTTCTAAGTCATCTATTATTTCTGCTACATCTGTGTCTTGCTTTTCAGTTATTTCCTCAATTTCTGTAATAATAGTAGAAGAACCTTCTTCCGAAACAGATACATTCATGTTGCCATTTTTAACGACTTTTGGTTCTTCCGAATCTTTACTTTCGATTATTTCCGCTTCCATCTTCTCAGTCTCATTCTCTTCAGTCTTATCTTTCGCTTCAATGACTATAGGTTCGATATCAACAACTGGTGCATCTATAGGCTCTGTTTTATCTGAAATCTCTTCAACTGTAGTCGTTTCCATTGGTGTTTCCTTAACCGTTTCCTCTTTTATTTCTTCAGCTATTGGGGTTTCTTCTACCTCCATTTGATCTGGTTTTTCGGTCTCTGTGTTTTCTGTGGCTGCTGGAGAAACTACTTTTGCTTCCGATTCAATCTGGGCATCCTTTTTTACATCATTTTCAATATCAGTCTTGGGAACCTTCGCAGGTATCTCTTCCTGAAAACAATAAAAAACAAATTAAAGTCATAGATTGAATGAAACTTTTAAATTAACCACATTATGACTCAGTAATTCTAATCAAACGATTAAATTATTAGGACAAATAATATTTAACGAACATTTAACATCTAGAAACACTATTGCAATATTTGTTTGATAATATTGTTAAAGTATGTTCTAGTGATTTATTATTAGGTTAGGTTGATATTAATCTAGCGTAGTGGTTTCTAGCCTAGAAGTATTACCCCTAGTACAAAGAACTTAATAATTATAACCATAATAGATTATTAAAGACGTCTCACCACTGACCTAGTATTTATAAATTGCACGTATAACGCGAAACTTGTCCACTTGGGTGTAGTGTAATATACTATTATAAAATATTTCGTGGTCATATTGCACCGGTTTAATTTAATATGATGTCACTGTAACAAAAGATAGCTCGAGTAGACTGATAACTCGTTTTATCAATCTGTTTTGTTAATGTACTATTGTTTTCTAAGTAATGTCTCGAAAATACTACACATTATGTTGACCAACATAGTATAGCTAAATATAAAATTAAGTTATTAACTTAGCTTACTACTTACTACTACGAATATAATAATAATAAAAAAATAATTAGCAATCATATACTTATTTCAAGATGAGTAATTAACGCCAATACAGAGGCTTATCTGATTATCTTTTGGAGTATCTGACACAACGAAGGTACCTTAACAACCATACCAGAGACAATATAGAAGTCTATTTTCTACACTGATCCCACAGGGAATTCTCGGTATATTCGGGATCCCTCATATTGAAATTAATAATGTAGAAATTGAGTAATAAATAACTCAGCTTTATCGTCGGCAAAAATAGTATTACCTGCACATTATAACTGAAAGTTATGATATAAGTCACATACAGAAAAAACTAAAGGGAATATGCTCAATATAAAAAAATATTATTATATGATAATTAATCTAAATATATATAAAACTCAAAGTTGACCGACTGACATAGTGATCTATCAACGTACAGCCCAAACCACTGGACGGATCGGGCTGAAATTTGGCATGCAGGTAGATGGTATGACTTAGGCATCCACTAAGAAAGGATTTTGATCAATTCTACCCCCAAGGGGATAAAATTGGGGATGAAAGTTTGTGTGAAACTTTATCAATTTTAAACCGATCGGGCTGAGACTTAGCATGCAAAAAGCTACTATGATATAGGCATCCCCTAAGAAAGGATTTTGATAAATTCCACCCCTAAGTGGATAAAATAAGGGATGAAACTTTATTTCAGTTATTTTACAAGATATAATTAATAATCGTTAGAAAACTGCTCAAAGTAACTTTACCACGCGGACGAAGTCGCGCGCAAAAGCTAGTACTAGTATTGATATATAACAGTAACAAAAATGAGTAACACCTACGAACAGTTTAAACGCCGGAATTTCTTGTTTGCGCTTGTACGTAACGTCAAAGTACGCGACTAAAGATATGACATTTTAAATAAATATGGAAATTAGAATAATTGATTTTATTTAATTACACTAATCCATCAACAACTGATCCTTTTGTTTAAGTATAATCGATCTTTTTAATAATCATATATTAGACCAAATAGAGTCGTTTCGGTAGTGAAAATAAGACACGACACGTGTCTAATTTTCACAACCGAACAAATGGAACTTACTTGATCAAAAGGATCAGTTGTTGATTGATTTGTGTAATTAAATAAAATCAATCATTCAAATTTCCATATTGATTTAAAATGTATTATGCTATTGTATCGAAGTAAATTGTCGTCACATACACTTTGATCGTCACATCCGTCAAACGCTATTTAATTCATGGTGTTTTTGTATTTTGAATTTGCCGCATTTTTTGCACTTTTCTGTCTGGCAGAACCACATCTAGAATTCTGTACTAATATTGAATTCCAAAAAATTTTCAGTCATATTTAAATCCCTTATACAGCGTGTTTGGTAATACCTGTATAATCCCGAATATGGCACATACGGTATGATGAATAGAACCCAGAAAAATGATCACTAAGTCTGAAATCCAGCACATGACCTAGATATTTAGCTTTTTTTCTTCGAAGTAAAACTGTACGCTAACAACCCTAAAAACAGCTGTTGTGTTGTGTTTGGTCATCGACTCCATGTGCCGAACTAGTTTAAAAAATAACAGAAGTTAAATAAATGTAAAGATAAATGCCTAGAATAAATATGCATCCGAGAGTAATTTGTTATTTCAAAAACAAAGAAATAGTTAGTAGTAAATGACTTTTACCCATAAAAGAACACCAATCTTGTGATTAACGATGTTTCAAAAACTATTACTAAGAAAACATCTCTAATAATACAGTCAAAATAAAAAATAAATTGCAAATACTTTGATTGAAGTTAGATATATGCACTATTGCTCACATTAGTCTATGCAAGAAGGAGCGACAGAGACATAAAATCGACGACGATGTGTATTGAGAAACTCGGGTTTCTGATGTGTCAGTAAGGGTCTGTAGATAAATTGCTTAGAAGTTTTGTTATTTAATTTCATAAAGCATTGTTATTTTCACGTAACAATAAAATACGGACTTATACAATGATATTAATAATCTAAATATCTCGCTTATTCTTAGTTTAAATGATAATTAAATAAAGGTAAGTTGTAATGGAAAGGTCTAAAAATAAATAATATTTCTTTTCTTTTCTAATTTAATCAATAATTTTTTAATGCCTTATAATTTTGTTAATGACTTATTGTTCGTACTCAAATACCTAATATTACGAGATGATAATGTGTGTTGGTACATGTGACGCTAATCTTGCTGCGGCTCGGCGGCTTTATGTCGAGCGCCACGTGTCAGGAAGATCTGAAAACCCTCGACGTCTTCCTTCTTACCGGTGTTTCGCGGCACTTGTGAATCGGTTACATACAACTGGTGAAAACCTCAATTTACGTGAAATTGTTTTTTGACATATTAATTGTGTTCTTTGTGCTGGTTGTATGGCCTTGTTTCGGGATTATACATGTATTTCCAAACATCCTGTATATAAGCGATAAATGGTTAAAGTAAATACTTTTAAGGATACCTAAATTAATAATTACCACTTTAGAATATATTTTTTTAAAACATCGTCATCTTAGCATATATTTATTGAAATATTGAAATTTTGGACATCCTGCGAGTACCACGAAAAAATTACCGCTTGGACTATTCCAGAATATTCTAGTCTCATATTATTATGAAGAAATACTGTTAATACGTGATAAACCTGTGGTACCAAAACCGTTATAATGAGGAATCCGAATAATCTTATATAAATAAAAATGAATTTCCGTTTGTTAGTCTCACTAAAACTCGAGAACAGCTGAATCGATTTGACAAATTTTAGTCTTGAAATATTCGTGGAAGTCCAGGGAAGGTTTAAACGATGAGAAAATATAACAAAATTGCGAGTATAATACTAAAAACGACAATTTGATTTTCCCATACACACTGTTCTTAGCTGTCAAACGTTCAGTTGACGATCAATGTTTATGGTCGTGCAGTGGTCAGTTGACGCAATATTTTTCAATATTAATATGGTTTATATTAAGAGGTAAGTGATACGAAGTTCACCGGGTCATGGATAAAAGTCAAATGCGTAACGCCTACCAACGAACAACAAGTCGTAATTTGGTAAGAAGTATATTTTTGCTATAATTTTACCATCAGGAAAGTTTGTGTTTGCTGGTAAAATTCAGCCACACACTCTCTTTTATCTCCGAAATAACGTTACTTGATCTCTGACATATAAGTCAATATATGGATCAAATCAAAAAGATCAAAAATCCATTTCATAATTGTAGAGGGTGGCTCTGTAACCCTGACACAAACGCATAGCCATGCTTTCACAGAGTTTGTTCATACATATTTTTGTATTTGTATAGTTGGATACAAAATGTATAAATGCCAGATTGTTCTGGTAACCCTCAAAAGGGACAGAAAGTTAATACTTCACGTTTTAGTAGCGTTTCAGATCTTTACATCAAATATCACTATTTTTAATTTAAAATATAGTAAAATTCTTTATCTTTTTTACCATTTTATTTTTATTACGTCAACTCCATTAATTACCTTTCGTCAAACCATCATATCATTTTGTTATCACAGTAGTACAGTCCAAAACCCTAATATTTTTTTTTTGAAAAGGCAATTGGATAAGGCATTAACCAAAGAAAGATGCGATAATTTTATAAAAACTTTATTTTTGAAAACTATAACATGTAAGTAATTGTTTTTTTTTTAAATAGGGATGACTGGATAAAAAAAAAAGAAATTCTATTTAGTCCGTCAGTCGGATAATAGAAAAATATTAGATACATATTTTTTTGCTTCAATTTAACAAAAAAGGTCTAAGATAAGGCATGAAAGTTTAGGAGAGGGGGCTTGCTACATCACAGCTTTGTAGAAAATGAACAAAGGTGTGACGTTATATGACAGAAAATACGTATTTAATATTTTTCAATAATCTAACTCACGGACAAACAAACAAAAACAACAAAGAAAACAAAGTCATTGTCCCTATTATGGTCATTATATACATCCTTTTATTATTTTACGTTCCAAACGAATATTAATGCTTACAGGCATCATTCTGATAAATAATTGTTCAATAAACTATTTTGTCTACTTTTTTACAAATATACATAAAAATATTCTTATTGAAGATTATATTAACACATATTGAGAAATACATGACATATTCTTGAAGCAAAAATATATACAGCACAAATATTATATTTCGTAAGCTCAAAGAACGACAGCAAGAAAGTTCATGGACTCCATATTAAAATGCTAAGAGCTTATAAATTTATGCACATAAAGATATCACATGAAATATAAACCATCACCAACAACACATATACAACACAATTGAATGACAAAAATACAATGCATGCAAGCATGCTCTCTATAACTAGCACAAGAAATATTTGTGAGCGGACTAGAATAAATTTTTAGTACATATAATAATCTATAACTTTTATCGTGTTTTAGTGTCTATCATTGTTTGGATCCTGATCTTATTATAATAATAAGGTAGTTAAAACATAACGTGTTTGTGCTCGTTAAGGGTGAACACACATGATATCTATGAATGATGATATATTAGATCCTAGATACTTGGGTCCCGAGATTACAAATAGCTTTTTTTCCTTTTTTTTTTTATTGAACGAATAAGAGAACAGGTACATACATACAGGTACTTGTATTTGCAATAACAACCATTTTATGATATCCTTGCATTTTATAAACAAATATTTAAATAATATCAGACTGAATTTGTTTGACACCTCTGTCAACTACGTAATAAGCAACTAAAAACTCGCTACACTACTCCAACCCATTGTCTAAGGCCAAGATCGATCTTGGCTATGTAGACTTAGCTTATTAACATTTCTAAACAATAATAAAAAAAAAAATGCATAACCTATTCGAGTGGCCTTTACAGAGAAACTAGTAGCGTAATATCTATTTTTGCTTTGGTCTACAACAACCATACTCAACTTGCGGCCCGCCCGGCCTTTGTGATTGACCCACTTAGAATTTCAAAACTTTGACTAAGTTTTAAAATGTCGCAAAAGTTTTAAAATCAGAAAAACTGAGTAAAACTCTGGGTAAATAAATTAGGCACGAGTTCGATAGCCTTACCGCGGTGCATAGCATCTGGTAGTCAGTGAACGTATTTGCCAGAACTAATCTCTTGGTCAGCGATTACAATGTTAAAACCTGAAGTCATTGTTAATTCTTTCAAAGTTTGCTCTTCATAATTTGGTCTACATTGCATGAGACTTCATCATAACCTAATATTATAAAGGTTACAAAATTATGTATTGTAAAGTTGGCTTTATTGTGACCAACTTTTCTTTTTCCAATAAACACATTGCCAATTTGGAATTATGTTTTTTTTAACACCTACATATTTTTGCGGCCCGCGCATTCAAAAAAAAAGGTTGAGTATGGCCGGTCTAAAAGAACTGTTTAAGAGTGATATGTCACCTGTGGATCCGGTTTCCGCTTGTTAGTAGCGGCGAGCTGCTGCAGACTGTGAACCACAGGGAATGACACTTGCTCCGGAAGGGGCGCGTTACCCTCGCGGCTGACTAGTGCCGCGTGTAAACCGGACTCGCTAGCCGCTTCAGCCTCTGGAGATACCCATATTTACATTCATTAAGCAAAATGGTTAGAGAATAACTGACCTTATCGTTTAAATATCTACACAGCGTCAAATAGAAGAAGACGCTAAGTATTTATGGAACACAGACGGAAAATCATAATACTATACATATACTACAAGGGTGGATGGAAAAGTTCGCGGCCTAACACATAAATACTTAAAATTATTTTAATGTAACTGACCTCATTCGATTAGTTTACTCTCTGATTGTCAAATTGTAAAATTCTATCGCAATCGCATTAACTGTATTTAAATTAGACTGAATTTTGTGAGCCTTTGAGCATTTAAGAATAGAGAAAATTGAGCAATGTGCGCTCATCAAATACCTGTTTAAAAAAAACTAACACCAAATGAGATTTACGAAGATATGTCAACAACATTAGGGGAATCTGCTCCGTCGTATACGACTGTGAAAAAGTGGGTTGCTGAATTTAAACGCAGACGAGAGAGTATTGACGATGACCTTCGCTCTAGCCGGCCTATGACGCCTACGACTGGAGAAAACATCGGTAAAATCTGTTATCTGATATTGACAGCTCAGATATTGACCATCAGGGAGATTGCAGACACCATTGGCATCTCGTATGAACGAACACAAACATCATACATAGTCAATGAACTTGGATTTTCTAAGGTTTCTGCGCGGTGGGTACCCAGATTGCTTTCAGTCGACAGGACGGCCGTATCAAAGCCGTAGTGGCCTCTGTGTTATTTATTTACCGAATCAACAATAAACTACTCACCTTTCACTATATCAGTGAGAAATAGTATCTCGTCTGGTTGGCAACCGATTTGTTCGACTATCTTGGCGTAGCTGGCGGCTTCTTGTTTGGCACCAACAGCGGTATCGAAATGTCCGGCGATGTGTGGCAACAGATCCCCCGCTAGCGACTGACCGAACAAAAGCTTCTGCGCTTCCACAGAACCCGACGAGTAGATGTAGATTTTTCGGTCTTCACTAGAACGCCATTGCTCAAGCGCCGGCAACACATCGTCGTACACACTGTAATGTTAATATTATACAATAAAACATAACTATTTTAATATAATATTATTAAACTTAGCATAGTACCTTTTTTTCACTTTTATTTACCCATGAATGTATTTATATATTATTTATCCCAATTTTTTACTTACTGGCCCTTGATATCACCAGCATCGTAGCCTTTCTTCCAGATCAGACCCTGGAGTAACTTGAGAGGGCCCGCCTTCCTGTCTGATGACATCTGCCATTTCATGTTATTCACCAAACCTTCTATCTGATCTTCCTTGGAGGCATCCTGTTAAAAACATATATTAACAGAATTGTTCTAATGTATCTCTTAACTTGCAAAATTTTAGATACACAACATAGGTTTTTGATAATATAGGACAAAATAGATATAGGAGATATCCTATATCTACATCAGAAAGTGTAAGCTTTGGGCAGGTTTGGGAATGAAGCATTAATAAATAAATAAATAAATAAATATTTAACAACATCACATACATTGCTCAGATTCCAAGATGAGTAGCTAAAGCCCCCGTATTATGGAGTATCTGAGACAACGAAGGTACCACAACACCCAGACCCGAGTCAATATAGAAAAGTTCATTTTCTACATTGACCCGAACGGGAATCGAACCCGGGACCTCAGAGATGGCGACACCTTGAAACCGGCGTGCGAACCACTCGGCTATGGAGGTCGTAATCGAACCCGGGACCTCAGAGATGGCGACACCTTGAAACCGGCGTGGAGCAGTAATACTGGTGTAGACAGTAAACTAAAATAAACATATGTTCTTAAGGAAGAATTCCCAAAAAATCCATTTTGTCCCTGGCACTCTGAAATGGGACTCGACCCCAGATTGCGAAAGGTCATGCTTTCCCAATCCAGGCGACTGCTCTAATCACTCCGCTACTCAGGACCTAACAGACTGACGAATTTTTCAACCACTTATTACTTTCTCGCTAATACAGAGCGTATTTTCATGTCGAGGCAGCAATCTACCTAAACAGCCAAAAGAAATATTTTTACAAATATTTAAACTTTCGATAAAGAAGAAAATTTGCTCTTCTATCTATTATATTTGAAGGATTGACAATGCTATACTGAAAAATATTCCTAGTGAATACTGAAAAATATTTTTTTATTTAACGAATAGGCTAAAATTGATGCGTTTATACAGATTTTCGAAAGGCTTTTGACAGGGTGGATCACAAAATACTGCTTGAGAAATTGGCTTTTAACGGTATTCGCGGGGATTTGTGGCGCTGGTTTAAGTCCTATATAATGAATCGCAAACAGGTGGTGGTAGTCAGTGGTTGTGAATCAGAGTGTGTTTTCATTAGTTCCGGAGTACCACAGGGTTCTATACTGGGTCCGCTCTTGTTCAATATCTTACATAAATATAATATAAATGATATACACAAATGCTTTAAGTTCTGTGATTATCTCTTGTATGCAGATGACTTGAAAATCTTTCATGAAATTAACAATTTCGAAGACCACCTGAGATTTCAAATGGATCTTGACCGTTTTACCGCATACTGTGTAAATAATAAACTCAGTCTTAGTATCAACAAGTGTAAAAGTATTATATTTAAAAAGAAAAGGGCAAAAAGTGTCTTTGGTTACAAATTATCTAATACGAATATTGAAAATGTTGAACTCATTAAGGACCTGGGAGTCACACTTGATTCAAAACTACACCTAAACATACACATTGATAACATCATTAAAAAAGCCTTTAAGATGTTTGGTTTGGTTATGCGGGCAAGTAAAAACTTTACTAAGTCATCTACTCTGATGTACTTGTATTGCTCACTGATTAGACCTCAACTCGAGTATGCTGTACCCGTCTGGAATCCCTTCTATGATAAATATATCATAACTTGCGACCAGGGTGTTTTAAACGCGAATTGTATAAAGCACTGTCTGACACATAAAGCTATGTAATGAAATTGCCAAATTATTCAATGATTTCATGCTCAATCTCTTCTTGGATAGATCATTGTCAGGTATCACCGTTTGTTACATTTCATATATATTAATTGTGGTGGATGTCATTGGTGGCAAAATTATCAATTTGTTTTGTTATGTCTGCGTGTAATATATATTATAGGTATTTTGTCACTGTTTGTCTTACCCAAATAAATAGAAAAAAAAACAATTTTAAAAATTCTTTCACCTACGGGGAGCTACATAGCCATCGGCTATAATTTTATCCCGGAAAATGGAGTGGAAGTTTGTATATGGAATGAAAACGTTACCATAGTTACAATTTATTACTATTCAGTTTGTCAATGTTATTAATCGATATCTAAATAAACAGTTCCCTAGGGACCACGCGGGCGAAGCCGCTGGCGGAAAGCTAGTTTATAATATTTTTAGTGTTACCTGTCATATAAAAAATATCAATATCACTAAAAAGCAAGAAATAGGATATATTTTTAAATAGATTGAAATAGATAACGGACTTAAAACTTTAAAAAAGTTATACTAATACTTATCTCAATAGCGGCATTTTCAAGAAAATGCTATATTTTTAAAAAATTTAGTAGTATTTTTCTGTTTTCCTATATAAATTAAAACTTATTTGATTAAAGTTACCCTTAACTGCCTACCAAACCACTTCACACGAAACTGGACTGAATAAATTATATTTCAATGAAATTATTTATCGAATCCCGGGTTCGATCCCCGGTCGGGTCAATGTAGAAAATGAACTTTTCTATATTGTGTCGGGTCTGGGTGTTGTGTTACTTTCGTTGTCTCAGATACTCCATAATACGGGGGCTTTGACTACTCATCTTGGAATCCGAACAATGTATGTGATATTGTGTAATATGTATTTATTTATTAATCATTGATATTTTTATTGTTATAAAATTTAGGGCCGCGTTTGAGTATAGTTCAATGCAACAACCAAGATGCTAAGGTTCGCGTTGAGTCACAATGTGTGCACGTCTGCGGAACGGATCCGGAGTCATTGTATTGTTGGGTTAATACTACAAGTGCTTCTTCACAGATACACCACTACACGGTGAATCATACAGATTTAAATAAGAACCTGCCCAATGCACCGGCTCACCGAGGGTCTCAAATAAATATATAAAAAAAACCATAGACTTAATTTTCTTGCAATCTAAATACACAACTCATAATTTTTGGTTCAGTAGTTTCTGAAAGGTTGTATCATTGTCGAATACACTATTGGACAATGAATACACTATTGTCGAATACACTATTGGACAATGATACAACCTTTCAGAAACTACTGAACCAAAAATTATGAGTTGTGTATTTAAATTGCAAGAAAATTAAGTCTATGGTTTTTTTTATATATTTATAGCTGACCCGACAGACTTCGTCCTGTCAAAAAGATTTGTAATGTGGCAGTTTTTTTAACGCGACATTAAACTCCTCCAACTATGTATTCTGTGCTCCAACGCACACACGCACATTGTTTTGATAGATATGATCTTTGACGTTAGGAACACACCTACATTGCTTAGACAACAGTGAGTGCTTGTAATTTAATATGAACTTTATACCATAGCAATAAAGCTCAAATTGACTACGTTTTAGTTACAAATCATTTGTATGGGAAAAAGAAAAGGGCTATTTTTAGGGTTTTTCCAGCAATAATTCTAATTTTTCTCGCCGTAAAAACCATCCTTGAACTTCAACGAACATTTTAAAAAAAGATTTGGCCAAATTGGTCGAGGCGTTGTTGAGTTATGCGCTTACCAACACATTTTGCGATTCATTTTTATATATATAGATTTGAGACCCACTGTGAAAAATTCAAAATTTTTTAACCATTTTCATAAATAACTACTGAAAGTATTATACAATGATGCGAGATTCTAAGAATAAGCACATTTTACTTTTGATAAATTCGTATGCTATACTATAATACATAATATGTAAAAATCAATTTAATTAACGCTGAGGGGTAAAAATATAGGGAAATCATTACAAACAAGGCACATGGTAGCAGTCCCGTTAAAAACTATCATTTTAATGGCATCTACGTCTTTTAAACAAATTTATTTACTTTGTACGACAGTGTTTGGATCACTATTCTCAGTTTCGACGTAAATCTATTGTGTGTAACATGTGACTGATTGAATAAGTTTATATTCCCGTTTGTGCTAATGAACCTTAAAAAAACGTGTGTTAGTTGTAAACACTAACAAAAAATTTAGGTGAAATCATACCGCGACTTATTGTGTTGGTAAAATCCTTTAACACGACGCCATTAATACTCACAAAAATAAATAAACACCTGCATTTATAAAAAGTCTATACGAAAAGAGGAAATACAAGTTGCTCACCTCGCCAGGGATTGCTACCACGCCATTGACGTTTTTCTCTTTGTCCTCGAGAGCGAGTTTCCTCAAAGCGGTTACCGCTTCTTTCACGTCGTCAGACTCCCATTGGCTATCCAAGAACTGCTTCACATTCTCCTCTGCATACGGGAAAAGCTTGTCCTGAAAATAAAATGAAAATGCACAACATGAGCATTTCAATATGTTTTGGAATATATATTTTATTGCATAGGAGATCTGATCATCTGAAGGTCTGATCTGGAAGTCCACTAACGAAAAATCAGAAATATTCGAATCGTTCTTTTAATTTTGTTATTAAAATCATAGCCGTGAAGATTATTTGTACATCAGACAGTGTCAAATTCTACCTCCATTGCATAATAAATAATCGAAAAATAGGTCATATTTTTTGCCTTTGGAGTCATATTAGTGTTTCGGAAATAGACAAATTTTTGTTTGGAGAAGAGTATGATCTTTTATAGTTTTCGGTAACAACTTTAAGGAAAACTACCAGTAATATCGCTACGACGACGTCCCATCTTAGAGCTTAGGTAAATAAACATAAACGAGAAATTAAATTAACACATTTTAAGTACACATACGATACGAGAAAAAGAACCACTAATGCAATAATTATAATATGTTTGTGGAATCATACATTAAACCTAATTTTACCAATGCAATAATAGTGGGAAAACAATATTTCAATATTTTAAACGGTTATTTGCCTCTGTGACTAATTATGTTTCAATTCTACGGGAGGGTCCAAAAGTCTCGACGAGTAATAAACACTAGAAGAATCAATCGAGAATGTTTATTATCAACAAATTGATAGAGTAAATTAAGTATTTTGGAAAATTATTTAGCATAAAGTGAAATTGCAGCGTCTACGATGCAAGGCAACGGGTGAACGAACTTCGCAACTCGCCTGCGCCGATGTCGTTGTCCAAACCGGATAGCGACTTCATCTAGCCGTACGAGGCCGCTTAGGGATACTACAGGACCGATATAGGTGATATGTTTTGTATCACGCTCCAGTTACAAAACTATGTGACTGTAAAGAACACTTAACCAATAAACAACTATTTAAGGTGTCACATCTTTAACGAACTATATTCAATTCTTTTTGATCACATCTTCAACGAACTACATTCAATTCTTTTTGATTCTCGCCAAAATTTCGTCACAATGGAATCGGGCGCGATCGCAACCTGAAATTTTGTAGCGGGACACTAATAAAAAAAATGTGTCGAGTAAATAAGACTTATTCCACAATACACAATTTTATTGCACAAATAGGGACAATGTCAATTTTTTTTCGTCCGTCAGGTAGATTATTAAACAATATTAAACACGAATTTTATTATTTTTTTGCGTAATCAATAAATTAAGGCGATACATTGAGTTGAAATGTCCCATGACGTCACATCTTTGTACATTTTCTAGATAGTTGTGTAATGTAGGGAACCCTCACTTCGCAACTTTAATGTTACATATTATCTAAGCCATTTCTTGTTACACTGAAGCAAAATAAATATGGAACTTAATATTTTTCTATAATTTCTCTATTTTTATTTTCAAATCGTGCTATCTCTAGTTAAATATTAAGAAGAGTTAAATCTGTTAGCTTCAGTTCTCTCAACCAAATACAGCGCTGCCTCAATGAAACTATACGCCCTAGGCAAAACACTGGAATAATGCAACAATAAAAAAAAACCCAACAAAATAAAATACTAATATAAGAAATGACACCGATTAAAGAGTGTAAGAAAATCCTTGGGCCTGAAAGTTTTGTAATTTTGCGCGACGTGGTCGTGTTCAAAGAACAAAAGTCCGTATTAAGGTACAGCATTTTTACACGCCTTGACGTAGAAAATGATATCTCTGATAGATATGGATTTTTCAGCAAAATATTTATATTTGGGTAGAGATCATCGTGGCAAACTTCGATTGTAAAACCATAAACTTAAATAATTTATGTCGGTATACGATTTGGGGGGGCTCATGACTCCTGTGACCTAACCACAATAAAATAGTTAGTGCGGATAGATGTAAGTGTCGTTACTCTTTCACGCAAAAACTACTGAATGGATCTTGAAGAAATTTGTTATAAGGATAATTCTAAGTCTGAATGTTATCCCACTAAACGATTCCCTTGGGATACATGTATGATCGAAGCCACTGGCAAAAAGCTAGTGCTTCATAAATGTTTTCACCACAGCTACGTCTGCCACAAAGTGCACTGGTGTCGACCTCCACAGCTCAAAAACGCCTATGTGAACAAAAATAGAAATGAGGAACATGGTAACGTGTTCAAAAAATAGTACCTACCAACATGTAATATCTGTGGGGGTGATTGGCACGTCTCAGACTTGGTTCAGTTATAATACACACACAAGTTTCACTGACAATAGGGTGTAATACAATGGAATTGAACTATATTATTTGCAATCTTTAAAAACTGACACGATGAGCCAGAACTGACAAAATAATTTATCATCGAAGACCCTGACACGCTCGACCCATCTTCCGTCAGTTTTGTGCCAACCCTATCTCTTCAATGTTGAAGTTTTCGTAACCTATTTTCGCAGCATTGCTGATCATTCGCGATCTCTCAAATACCTGAATCTTATGAAAATTTTAAAGTTTGATAAATGTTTTTGTTCCATTAGATAAAAGTTTACCATTTTATTAACTAACTACCTACTTATGAGTAATTTAATAATAAATAAACTTACAATTATTCGGAAACTCTTTTTTAAAACCCATTTTCAGACGAAACGCGGCGACTCAATAGATCTCATCTCATAGAGATCTTCTGAGTCTCCGCGTTTCGATTGATCTGAGCAGTTTATTTTACTTTTTTTTAATAATTTACATGCCATAAATGCGAAATTTTGTGAGGATGGATGTATGTTTGTTATTTTTTCACTCAAAAACCTCAGAAGGGATTTTGAATTTGGTATTCTTGTCACTACCTACCTACTAACATATACCTACTAGGCAAAAAAGTCAAGTCACTGTGTAAGCCACGCGGGTGAAATCGCTTGCGGAAAGCTACTATGAGTGTACCAGAATCTGACAGCATATTGGGAAATTTTAATTTGTAGAAGGCAACATTGGGGAATATGCAGACGAAGTCGCGGGAACACAGCTAGCTATATATATAAATTCTGATAACAAGATCAAATTGATGATATTTTAGTATGTTATTATCAGTCGTCACCTATGGAAGAATATCCAGGAAATATTTCAGTATCACAGGTTCTTCTTCCAAAGATACGTTATTTACGAAATCTATTTCCTGAATACAGTTGTGTGTACAATCTTAATAGCAAGAAATGGCATATTAAACTGAAGACGAATCGGATTAAGTGATAGTGTCAAATAAAGTTGCGCAATACGAGTCTCTATTGCACAATGATCCATCAACTTGAATAGTATTTTCTAGTATTTTTTTCTCGACGGAAAAAAGTCTAAAACTGACAATAATGACATGCAACCTGCACAGTCGACGTAAGATCCGTTAGCATACTCGTAGGATCGTTCGTCATATGCCTATTGACCAACCCTCATTTGTCAATAGCTTAAGTTACCCCCGTTAGGGGCCCCTGTAAACCCTAATCTTCCGCACTTAGACGCTTTTGTGGGTCAATTGTACATATAAAGTCTGTCTTTGATTTTACTCCAGCCAACCCAACTCGGACCAGAACGCAAAAGCTTATTATATTCTTTGATAATCTTTGAATAATATTTTGGAGGCTATCACGCAAACACGTTTGAATCAGCAACACCGATTCTCAATCTACTGTCAATAATAACATCTTCATGTTTGTGGTAAGCAAACAATTAACTTTATTCCTACCAGTCTATTAATGTCCCCCATCACTGGAGCTCAGGCCTTTCCTAAAGATGGAATCAAATCAAATATGGAGAATGGGTCACGGTGCACCAAGCGGGCTCATTATGGATTGGTGGGTATTAACGACTGCAGATGCCGCCAATAACAACGGCTTAACGTTCCTCCTGAAGCACGAGAGAGATCGAGATAATAAATGTTTGGTCACCCATACTATGACCGAGCCTTGCGATCGCAGCTGTCAGGCAAATCATTAAAGTAATAATATAAATCAGGCAAAAACACATTTACTATTGATGTGTTTGTGAAAATGTGCCAAACAAAATTTGTCAAACAAAACAGAAAAACATGGACGCAATAAAAAAACTTTCGATTCTTATTCTACAGTAAGTCCAAATATTTCAAATTTCAGAGTACTATTAGTTTTAACTTGTCAAATTTTACTTCAATTAATGTTAATTTTTTAATGGTTTTATCAATTACTACTTCTAGGAACAATTTATAAAAAAAAACCCTGGTTTAAAAAAAGGATGGAAGCCACTTTTATAAAAGCTGTTTATTTTAAGTCTATATCAAACATGGCTATTAGAGTCAAATAGAGGGAAAATATTTACAAAAAACTATTATTTTTTTAAAGATGATTTTGATCTAAGTAAACCCCCATTAATACTATTTAGAAGTATGTAGACATTTCATTGTGACTTTATAGGTATTATGTAGGTAACCAAGTTTATAATAAAATCACTACAAGATATTATTAGGAACATAGGTTTGCACTATTTTAAATATTACCCTGCATATGTATTTCTAAGAAGTTCATTTTTCAGCTGAAATGTAGGTAATAGGTAAATATAATGGCAATTACATGATAAAAAACATAGGCATTCAAGATTAAATTAACTCCTTGACTAGTGATTCTGTAATTGAAAACATAGTATTCTAGTATTTTTGAAATAAAAATTTACGACGGTTACCCACATTTAATTATTAATCAATATAATCGTAACTTATAAAACCATATTTTTGCAAAAAAAGATTTTATTATTATTATTATAAGTAAGATATAAAATTAAATAAAAATCAAACTAAAACCAATAACAAAACAAAAACTGGACCAAGATTAAAATAGAATGAGTGAAATCGTAAGTTGCACGCGGTCAATGCTTTTATAATAATTATTATTCTTCAGACAGCATGAAACGTGAAAGTCAATCAAATTTCATCTATCTCTATCGCAAACGATACACAGAGGGCGAGAGAGACAAGGACGGCATGTAGTAACTTCACGCCTATTGAAACAAGACAGATAACTGTTCCACATTTTTTTACAAGTCAGCCAGCTGCTTCGAACAGCTGTTTACGCCGGTAGAGATGATTGTCTGATAATAATGATCTGTAGAAAGGATATTGAAACTGTGGCAAATTATTTTAACTGATAAGAAATAGAGTATCCCTTACAATCAATTTCTGGTTTAGGAATAAATAAGTAGGTAGATATTATAAAAAGTCCGAAGTAAACCTCGCTTCGAATCTGAAAGAACTTACATGATCATTTTCTTTCTTACTTACTCTAATAATATTAATTAAAGACACGAGTTCAAAATTGTTATTTTATCTATAATGTGAAGAAAGCACGTGTAGTCAAGTAAAATTAGACAATGAGAGTGGCATGAAAAGGGGTACCATTTTGAATTCGTCCACCATGTTGCAAATCAGAACGCGACCATTTTGTACATACTGTTAATGGCATACTAGGTTGAAATCTACGAGTAATAAATAGATGCAACAATAAACAAAATTCAATTGGTAAATACATAAACAGACGTCGAGACAAAACACCGGCCGGTCAATCATCAGACCTACCTTAACAAAGCTGATCGATGTTGTTGTTCCTTCGATGTCCAACAGTAGGATTTTACATTTCTTGATGATTTCGCCGATATCTTTTTTGTCATTCGCCATTTCGAGCGACGAGTACCACTTCTTGGGAGTACTTTTTAAAGATATTGAATTTAACTCGGTAACAATTTTTCACGCTACGCTACCACCCTTCGCCACAGAAAAAAAGCATTGATTGAACGACGCACAAGAAAGAAAGAACACGACCAACTGGCGTTGAGAAACGAGATAGACGCGGAACTAAAGAGCTTATCTGATGTGAGTAAAAAAGAGATAGCATACTGATTGCAAGGAGTGAATGAGAGATAATAACGGAAGGATATGACTAGCATCAAGGAGACCAAACATACAAAATAAATTGTAATACCACATTAAAAACATAAATATCTACTAAAGTGTAACAAAGTTTGTGAATTAATTTAGTTATTTCTGTCACAAATAACGACGACACCCGATATATGAAATCATTCCTAAGTAATACAATTTCTTTATTATGTAGTTTAGCTTACTTTTGTGTCTATTATAAAAATAGGTATATGTTATAGTACAGATGAATAAGTTACGAAGGAGAAGTCGAATACAAAAGTATTCAATAAAGTTCCATATAATATATTTGCAATTATAAAATGTTTGTTTTCATTGACAACTATAATTTCCCGTAGAAAAACACAAATATATCTTCTGAATCAAATTCCAAACCCACTTAGTAGTAAATATTGATACCTTATGATAAAGTGGATAGTGTTACACAAAAAACGACGATATGACGACGAAAACACTGATTTATTTAAATTATTGCCATCAACCTATATAACTTAAATTGTACATTAATTAGGCCATTGCAATAATGAGCCTCGTGTCTGGAGTACTTTACACGGCATTATTTTTATCAGGAATATAAAAAACGCGTAAAGCTGAAGCTTTATATAATTTTTTTCATACGTAATAAATTTACATATTTTATTTGACGATCAGAATCGCTTCTCCTTTTTTTTTGGTATGAACACTGTAATCCGTTATTCTTTTAAAATTTTGCATCATATTCTTTTAAGCCTAGATAAAATACAAACTAGATATTTAATCGGGCCAAATTGTGACAGTGTAATAAACACACGTCACACATTTTTTTTAAATAACTCAACTCGCTGTTTAAACTGAGGCACTGCTCCCAGTTTCAGGCTAACCATCTAAAAACTCGTCAAAATTGACGAAATTAATAACAGCGATGGAGATACATGTATTGTAATATTTTATCCCTTGTTACACTGTGCCCCTCACCTTACCTAATGACTGCGAATAAATAAATAAAAATATATTGGATTGCAATTACTTGCCTTATTTCGGATGGTAACGAGTCCTTATTCAGCTATAATTTATTTTCATGGCGCTATCATTAGCAAAAAGAAAACATTATCATTACAAGTAAATATTAAAAAATCACAGACTAAAATATTCCTAACGCTTGACACGAAACGACATTATTACATTATTAAGGAGTCGAATATTTTTAAAGTGGCAACTCTTTTAATTCATTCTGAATGTTGGTATTTAGCAGGTCCTGCCTGGCGCAATTTTTTGACTTTCTTTTAATTATTTTTAGGTCAGCTTTATCACAAACAGATGAAAGATTTATTTCAATTGTAATATCTTTCAGTATTTGTTATAGATATTTAATTATTAATTAGCGATTGGCATGCAAATTATTTGGTACCTATTTTTGAAAAAAAAAATCTTATAAAGTAATCTATTGCCAAATCAAAAGATTGGTCACCAATGTTTTGTTGTTGTTCAAGTAAAAGGCAAATCAATTTGATCAGTCTGTTATGCGGAAGTTAGGTTACTTCGCAAGACCCATGGGCTAATTGTGTTAATATGTAATCTAACGCAATCAACTTTAAGGAATAGCGATTTATGAAATTATGTCACTCTAAGAGTCGCAATCGCTTTTGGAAGAATGATGATACACTTACCCCAGGATATCTGAATCCTGGGTTTCTATATCTTGGTTCCGGGCATCAAGTTAAACTTCGCTCTAGTAGCAACGTCATTCTTTAAATTTTGAAATCCTTTCATTGTACTTCATTTATTTGGAAGTCCTTAGTTGTTAGTTGCTTTAGCAATGTTCAAATGTATGTAACATGTTAGTGCGTTAGCACTATCTCGGATTGTAATTATCGTTCGCATTCTTTAAGTCATGTCATTATAAGTAGGCATTTATTTATGTTATTAATTAGTTAATTACAGTACAAATGTATTGTAATTAACATTTGTGCTTATTTAGTTGGTAAAAATTTAGATTGTTAGTTTGACCTAATTTTACTAATCAATAAAAAATCAGAGTATTGGTTTAAGATCATAAACGTTTTAAAATTCTTTTCCAGACCAGTCGAATAACCAATTTTAAACCTTAAGATATTGAGCGAATGTTAACTTCAAAGTCACCTGAAAAAGTTTGACATCTTCCAATTCATATCAATGATAGGGCAATAAAACTCATGCATTTATTGCATTTTTCTTTATGTATCATAAAATAAAATAAATTATAACTACAGGTCAACAGCTTATAAAACTATCATCAATAATGTACCTAAAATTTATTACATATAATTCAGTTACGTCTTAAATATAAAACTGATGATTTCATGATTTCAAATGGTCTAGTAGACTCTTTCTGAGCTGATTGTTGCTCTCTTTCCTCATTTTCTTTAGAAGTCGTGGGGTTCCAATATCTGTATCGGCCTTTCTCTTAGGTACCTGTAAACATTTAATCACTTTAAATATGCCATTTCCGGGTGTCAGAAAATACTATTCTACTAATTAAACAACAGCAAACAAATATGGCAATTGCTGAATCTATATTAGCACCAAAGATTTCCACGATGACCGAACATTTAATTAAATTACAAAAATAATCAATAATTTAAAAAGGTGTAAAATACGTACTACGTTTCCGTCAAAATTCCGCCCTTCGAAATTTATTCATTTAAAATTTTAAACTGTTCTCAAGTCATGAGAAAATAATAAAATGCACAGCTGGTTCGAATTTTAAGTTTCACATATTTCGCAGAGTATTTTTAGTTACATTCTATTTTCCCACGACTCTCCATAGATTTTTTTTTAAATCCGTTCATTTATTTCGGAGCTTACCTTGGTTTCATCCTTTGGGGTTATGGCAGCGAAAACAAAGTTTCTTTTGCTAGATGCCGCGATGAGACCAATCTTCTGAGCTTCGTCGTCGACTGCTAAAGGTGTCGCCAGTGCTGCTAACCTAGCTAACGCCCCGCGGCCTCGCGTCAGCAATGACCCATGGTAATTTTGCTGGAAATAAAAAGTGAACTCAAAATCAAATCGGTATAATATATTCGGTTCGGCTGCTTTTGTTACATTGGGCCGAATACCGTATTCTTAAGTACCTAATATATTTTGTTGTAAAGAGATTATTGGTAAAAAAAAAGAAAGATAAATTTTATGATAATATTATTTCCATTTCTTATAATCATGAAAGTCATTAGAACAGATAGTACACAATAATGTTTTGTATTAAAAAATTTAACGATTTTTATGCATTTGAATTCTAAATAAAATTATAAATTGAATTATAAAATTATAATCAAAGTTTATAAGCGATTATGGTATAGGAAAATTATTTTTTCTGCATTTTAGTTAGTAGTTTACTCTTTTTTTTCTCGTAGACTAGCCCTGCTTCAGAGAAAAGACGCTCTGAATGAACACTACTTCCTGGCGCCGATAAATATTTTGCTGCAATCTTTATCTAAACCCGAGATTTATATTTTCTTGCTTACCACCACGCATGGGGCCGCCCATAAAACATGGTAAGCTTTAAGATTACCACCCCCTTCCACCCAAAGTACATGTATTTTTTAGTGCCTATAAACAAAATCTTAATTTTTGACGTCGCTTTTCGGTTTAGTAATCGCACGTTTGAGGAAAAAATAAATACAGGTGATATATTACTACACATTTCGTGATTTTTGACGAACCCCCCCCCCCCCCCCCCCCCCGTTTCGAGCCTCACGTGATTAATGGATTGCCCCTATACAGATTGTAATGCCGTGATATGGTATTAATATTTCCCGTAACTGCATTTTTTTTATACAAGTTTTGGTGCAACATATCGGTCCAATACTTTCGGTAAATATTCGGTTGAATATACGGTTAAAAGGTCAGAAAGCTCGCTGAATATTCGGTATTCGGCATTGGCCGAATATACTATTCGGTGCAAGTCTAATTAGAACACATTGTCATCTTAAAATTTTATAATATATAATTTCGCTGTTTGGGAGGATTGCCTGAACATTGACGGAAATATGTTCACTAATAGGAAAAAATAACAAGTTCTTGAAAATTCCGTCAGCCCTATTGGGTCTCTGGTAGCTTTATATTGAAGGATATTAAACATGAAGGATATTAAAAAATATTAATTTTATGATAAAACAGACTACAAAAGAGAATTAATCATTCTGTGATTAGAGTGACAATGTCAATAAACTTCTATTGAAGTCAGCTAGAAGTTATGTGTAAGTTAATTAATTAACCGCTAGACTTCAATTAGAAGTTTCTTGACATAATTTTCACTTTTAAGCTTTTTGAAAGCGATTTTACAATTTATGTTTGGTGTTCCTTTTTTAGTATATCCATATTATTATTTAAAATAAAACAGTGAAAATACCTGAAACACCGAGAATGGTTTCTTAGGGCTCGGTATATCTTTTGTGATCTTTTTATCAGGAACGGCTGAGCTTTGAACTGTTCCCGCAGGAGCTTGCTTATTTTCTTCTATTATGCTTGACATAGTTCGAGACAACAGATTAGCTTTAATTATAGTCGATCGATTTATGCTAACATCGAGAACGTTCTCTGATTCCTCTTCAGATTTCTGTAAGTAAAAAAATAATTACGTTATAGTTAATTTTAGTCAGATAACATTACATATTCCATACAGGGCCGGATATAGATCTATAGCTCATTTCATTGCGCCTCAATTAATAACGTTTTGCCATTGTGTTATAGATACTCGAGTTCCAATATTATTAACAAAAACCGTGTCAAAAAAGTTGCTATTGAAGCGCCATTCACTCGCTTAACATTAGCAAAATTAGTGTTCTGGCTGTGTGGCTGGCAGGAATGTGCTAGGCTTAATGAGAAGTGCTAAAAACTAGATTAAAACAGTCGCTCGGATTGCGAAACGTCGTGGGTTCGAGTCCCATCTCGAGAGTACCTTTTTTTTTTAACGCAGGGGAAATGCACCTTAAGCCTTAAACCAGGGCTCCTCCTCCACCCCCGCCCAGAAAAGGGCAGGCCGCCCTGAAAAGGGCAGTTAGTGGAGGCCCTACCTGGTAAAACCCGCTGCGGTTCACCTCACGCGAATGGATGAGTCCGGTATCCAGCAAGGAGGGCCCGGACTCATCTCGAGAGTACCTGGGCTGTTCGATTTGTGGACCCTTTGATCAGTGTACCAACATTAGGCTTTTCAATTCAGTATGTAATCTATGTTTAAATTGGATATTGAATTGAATTGATAATAAATCTCACCATTTGTCTCAGGAACATTTCCCTCTCGTGTCTCTGTTTCCGCCACTGTTCTTCAGATTCGAATTCTTCTTCTTGTGTATCAGTCAATTCGTTAGATGTCGTGCCAGTGACTTCCTCTCCGTCTGTGAAAAGCGAAAAAAAAAATAAGAGCGATTTGAGGGGGGGGGCTGACATTCCTTAACAAAACTAATATAATATAAAGCGTAAATTAAAAGTTAAACGAAGTTTCAAAATAGGTGAAAAGATTCGTCAAAATCGGTTCTAAATTTTAAGCTACCAACCTGCATTCCGCCAACGGAATTTCCGCTGTCTCCCTCCGCCTCCCAAGTCATCTTCAAATAATAACTCTTGAATTAATCTCACTTCACGCTTATCTTGATCTAGTACATTTCGCCTGAAAACATAAAAAATGAAATGTAATATTAAAAATCAATAAAATACATATTTTCCTTACTTTTAGGCTAAGAAGGCTTGTTGGAATTAGATAATGCCTTTGAAGATGTGAAATATGATATAGTAAAATTAATGTCGCATTAGTAAAATGCGAAGACTAGAAGAAACTATTCTGGAATATCACTGATCCATGTGCATACGCCGAATGAATTAATTTGAATAAATGGATTTCAATTTGAACTGCAGTGGAAGTCGCTGGAGAAGGCCTATGCCAAGAGGCATACCGAGATGAGGGACATTTTATGAATCCGATATCTTTATTGTGGAATTTTGTTTCGGAATAAAAGGCTTAATTATTATTGCTCGGTGGCTCGGATTGCGAAAGGCCAAGGCCATGGGTTCGAATCCCATGTCAGGGTGCCAGGGACAAAGTGGATTTATTGAGCATTTTTTATTAAGAATATTTTGCAGTATAGCATTGTGAATGCGAAATTGATCGAATATAATAATAAGAATAAAATTTTCATCTTAATCGAAAAATTAAATATTTGTAAAAATATTTCTTTCGGCTGTTTGGGTGGATGCCTGTATATTGGTGAAAATACGCTCTTTAGTAACGAAAATGTAACAAGTGCTTGAAAGATTCGTCAGTCCTGTTAGGTCTCGGGTAGCTCAGTAGTTAGTCGCCCGGATTTCGAAAGGGCAGGCGTTCGAATCACATCTCAGGGTGCTAAGGACCAAGTGGATTATTTAAGCAATTTCATTAAGAAAATATTGCATTCTAATTTAACCCGCCATTGGTGACGTATATGTCTGTGAGACCGGGTAGTTTAAAAACAAAGAATATTTTTTACACCGTTTATCAAATTGCGTTGCGATTTCGAGTAGCTGCCTAAATGCACGCCCTCTACCATTAGTCCACCCCGCGGCAGCGACGTGGGCGCACGTTCCTGGTTTTTTGGCGCCAACCCGGTCCGTGAGACCGGTGTCACCAACGAAGTAAGTCAAATGTTTGTTGTGTATTTTATATTTCACTTATTTTGATAAGACTGTTGTTGTTATTTATAGTGGTGATTGTAAGATTTTATATTTAGTTATCGTTTCACGCGTTTTTAAGATATTTTACTAGATATTATGAGAAATATTTACGTATTTTTCAAATAAATAGTGTTTTTTTTTTTGTTGTTTTAGTATGTCTTATGAACAGCAACAGCGACGTCTTGAGGCTCTTCTGCAGGAAGCGAGTTCGGATACAGACGAATTACAAAGGTCATCGGAAAGTGAGACTGGAAGTGACCTTGAACCGGAAAATGTGAAACAAGATCAGATACAAAATTCGGAGAGCGAAGAGGATTTGAGTGACCGAGAAGCTTCAGGTAATGAAAGCTTATCATTTTATTTGGGAAAGGACAAATCAACGAAGTGGAGTAAAGAGCCACATCGCCAATCTGTCCGTACTAGAAGGTTCAACATCATATCTCAGTTACCAGGACCCAAAGGAGTTATTGCCGGTGAGAAAGATCCGTTTCAAATATGGAAATACTTCTTCGACAATAATATAATAAACATTATTGTAAAATACACCAATCAATACATTGACTCAGTGAAACATAAATTTATAAGAGAGACGTATGCGAGACCGACTAATTTCAATGAGATACAATGCTTTATGGGTTTGATTCTACTAGCTGGAGTAAAAAAGTCGAATCATCTCAATGTTGAAGAATTGTTTCGGACAGATGGCGGTGCTGTAGGAATATTTCGACTTTCTATGTCTGCTCAAAGGTTTCAATTTCTTCTGCGAGTTTTGAGATTTGATGATTGTAACACGAGGCAGCAAAGAAAAGCACAAGACAAAATTTGTCATATTCGAGAAATCTTTGAGATGTTCGTCGAAAACTGTAAGAATAATTACACTTTGTCTGCTTTTGTAACTGTCGATGAAAAATTAGAAGCTTTTCGTGGCAGATGCTCCTTCCGTCAGTATATTCCAAATAAACCAAACTCATATGGTATCAAGATTCAGGCTCTCTGTGACGCTAAAATGTTTTACACATTTAGTATGGAAATTTATCCCGGTAAGCAGCCAGTTGAAGGTCCCTTCAATATTGATAATTCTGGCCTAGCTGTTGTACAAAGATTATGCGAACCAATTTTCAATACTGGTCGAAACGTCGCAACTGATAATTGGTACACTAGTTTACCATTGGCTGAGGCGTTACTTGAGAAGGGACTAACAATGGTTGGGACAATCAGGAAGAACAAAAAAGAGATTCCTCCGGACTTCAATGTATTACGTGGTCGGAGAGTGAAGTCTAGTATGTTTGGTTTTCGTGACAACATGGTTTTAGTTTCACATGTTCCAAAAGTAAGAAAAAACGTCCTTCTAATTAGTACCATGCATAATGATAATAAAGTTGACGCTGCAACTCAAAAACCCGATATAATTTTGAGCTACAATGATACAAAGAGTGGCGTCGATGTCGTAGATCGTATGTGTGCAAATTATAACTGTGCCCGACCGACAAGGCGTTGGCCTATGGTGGTCTTTTACGCTATTATGAACGTCAGTACTATAAACAGCCAGGTGATACATACAGCTAATAATCAAGACTCGAAACTTTTACGTCGTCACTTCATTGACAATTTGGCTATGAACCTGATTGAATCACATATAAGAAAACGACAAACACAGTTGAACTTGCCGCGATCATTGAGACAAAGACTTTCGGAAATTTTGAAGATCGATGATGCGCCTGGGGTAGCTGGTCCTTCAAGGAATGGTCGTTGCTTTGTATGTGGATGGCAAAAAAACCGAAAAACAAGGTTCACTTGCCATAAATGTAAAAAATACTTGTGCCTTGAGCACGTAGTACCTACTTGCTCAAATTGTTTGGCTGTTGACGATGAATGATTTTAGTATTATATTTTGTGGAAGAATTAACATTTTTATTTTTTTGTTTTATGTTTCCAATGTCATAAGACTGACTAAGGCTGATTTCATAGTTATTATGCCAAAAGTTTCTAGGTTTGTAAGTTTAAAATAATGTTGCCGTAAAACCTTATAATTATAATGCATCCAAAGATATTGTCTTGTGCTAATAAAAGAGATTTGAGTTATATTTTTGCCTTTATTTATTGATAACAAATGTCCTATTTTATATCCTTTTTAACTTAAAACAGTATAAACAATATTTAAAAAAAAAAAACGAGGTGCCTAAAACCCCGGTGCAGTAGACCGGGGTCACCGACAATGTAAGCTAAATAGACGTCACCAATGGCGGGTTAAGATAGCCAGATAGTACTCTTCTGGAATACCAGAACTATATGTGTAAGTATATATTTTCTTCTTATTGTTTATGAGTATTGGTATGCACCTACCTTTACTTTATATTTAGTCTACACATCACCCAAAGGTTGGCAGAGAATGCCTAAGATATTAAATCCGCCTTTGTATATTAGTGCATAAAATAATAAATAAATAAAATAATTCTAAACTAAATAAGGATGTCCACAGATATCCACAGACATTTGATAACCATGAATCTCCTATGCCTATACCAATCGTAAAAGTACTATGTAAAACGCGAATAAATTTCAAAGCCGACACATAAATGCCAAATGACAATTCATCTAAAAGAAATGCGCGCGCCCTGATATATAATTACAATGACATCGATAAAATCCATTCTATAATATACATGTACACTGAAACAGAGATTTGTGTCTATTTTGTACATATAAGTTAATGGCAAATCGTGTAATTATGTTTGCTTTAGATTGTGAAATTCAATGTTTAGAAAATGAAGATGTTCCCAATAATGTAAAGAAAAAATGTGTATAGTTGTAGCTAAAGTATCATGATAACCAGAAGTCATAGTTACATATGTATCTGCCCCAGCTCAGCCTGCAGCGCCCCCTGGTGGAAAGTGTCGTCGTCACCAGCTTCTCGCTCCATACAGTCGAGGCCGGCTTCATCTTCGTCACCGGAGCCCGCCCACTCGTCTTCAGAAGTCAATTCGGCTTCCTGCTCGAAGAAATCTACCGCCTTCCGTTTCTTCTTCGGCTGTAGCTTCACCTCTATCTAGTGGCATCGAATTTAACAAAAAATATGAAATTCTATATTTATTAGTTTACGCATACCACTTAAACCAAGTTTGGTTGACTGGTAGAGATGCCTCCTTGGCGTTAAGTCCGTTTTTTGTCTATTTCACTAAGGAATTAAGATTAAATAAATACCTGTTATATATTTTAAGTGTATATGAAAATTTTGAATCTACTCTCAAACCGAGACAGGAACATGAATCATATTCAACTACTAGATTAGATCTTACCTCATTCTCTTCAGAATCATATTCAACTAATCTTTCTTCATTGTCATTTTCAACTTCATCATTTTCAGGCATAATATCTTCATTTTCTTGTTCACTACATTCTTCATCATCTTAAAATAAAATAATAGGTCATCATTTTAGTTTTTTTCGACACCAAAAACGTTACATCAATAAATACTCACCTGAAATTTGCAATGCACGTTTCTCAAGCTTTTTCCTTTTTTTTCTTCTCTTTTTATCTTTATTATCTTCAATTGCCTCAGTAACATCATCATCAGAATCTATGATTAATTTCCTTTTAATTTGAGCATTGTTCACGTTATTTTTACTAATACCATTTGAAAAATACTTCAAAGGTTTAGAAGATTTTACTTCAGTGTCATTTAATTCATCAAGAACAGATTTCAGTATGTTACTTTCTCGTTTTTCTGTTTCATCGTTTTTCTCATCTTCCTCAACATCTGGTGTGTATTCTTGCGATATATCAATGCTCGCATTTGCAGCATTGTCGTCAGTTTGTGAAACCAATTGATTATCGTAAAATTTTCCTGTACACATATCTAAAATATCATCCCCTATCACTTGTGACTGCGAGTTCTGCGATTGCATTGATGGCGGATTAAATTCAATGCATTTTAGGGGTAAACTTGGACACATACTTACTATTGCATCCAAATTATCCTGTAATTCAAATTTAGTTTTAATTATAAATTCATTAAACCAAAGAATATGAGTTAAAGAATATTTACATACATCCAATAATTGTGTTTCAGATATACCACTTGAATTTTTTTGACTACTTAGCTCTATTCCTAAGACGTTTTTTACAACAGTATCATGGTTTAATATAGAAAACGTCTGAGATCCTAAATCTGCATCACTGCCGTCATTGACAGATTGAACAATTTTGTTATGAACTATACTCTCCTGACTTGTAAATAATTCTTCAGAATTGGTTTTGGGAATTTGAGCTAATTGGAGATCATCATCTGAAATCAATACAAAATAAATTGTATATGCTGCAAATTTTTCAATATTTACATAAATTGCAGTTCATTTATTATTATAAAACGCGTAAAATACCTTGGGATTCACTAATATTATCATTGATATGTGTTCTAAGTTTTTCTGGGTTATTGGTAACGTCAATTGGTGTTGTCGTATCTGCCATATCAGTTTGGCTTCTTATTTTGTCTATTCCGTCTTTGATAATTTCTGCTTTTGCCTGTTCACTTTCATTAATTTTATTATTTGCCTCTTCATCATCGGAATCTTCAAATGCTTTTAATATTCTACCTCTTTTCGGTTTACTCTCCTCTTCATCTTCCGATTCAGAGGATTCTTCGTCGTCACTAAGATCTTCATTTTCAACACTATTATGTTCATAAATGTCGGCATCATTTTCTATCTCATCATTACTTTTTACCGTCTCATCTACATCAGATTCTTCAGCTTCATCTTCAAATAGAGGATTCTTCTTTCTCGGTTTATCTTCAATTAATACGTCATCTTCAATTTCTTCTTCACTTTCTGAAGGAGAGCTTATACTATCTCCTTGTTCCTCTTCTAATTTCGCTTCTATTTTATCAATATCATCTTCAACATCTGATATATTGCCTACCACAGCATCAACTTCTTTTTGCGGCTGATTTTCATTTTCCAAACGTTTTGCCCACTCAAGAGATCTCTGCTCGGCTATCTTCTCTTCAAGTTCTTGCTTCAGTTTTATATGTTGGGTTCCAGGTTTTTGCCTGTAGCATTTACAAATATGTAATACATTATAGTAGGGAAGCCCAAGCGGGGATTTCGGGATTTACTAAAGCGCGGCAAATTAATATACAGGGGGATACCTTGTACCCAGTTAAGTACCTGGACCAAGTATGAGCCCTATAAAAATGGCCGCCCAGCAAGGACGAAGGATCAGATTAGTAAAAAAAATTGATCATCTGAAAATCTCGAGCGCGTCAGATTAAGATAAGGTGAGCTAGTTACATGCTAAAATGTGTACATACCTCTAATCTGACAATTTGAGAGTGACGTAAAGAAGGGGGAAGGCTACAAAGTTGTAAAAAAAAAACGTCACTTTGACATTCTCGAGCGCGGCTAATTTTTATTTTTATTTTGAAGGGAATCATTCAAGGATTACGAAAAATATATAATCTGACGATTGTCACAAGCCGAAGTTATAAAAATTCATCGATAAGATTTAATGCGTTTAAGCTACGTGATACCTATATTTCCTTCTCCGCATCACTATTTCTCTCTCTTTTTCTGTCTATTTCTCTCTCATTCCGTTCCCACTCTGGTTTCGGTTGCCATGACGCCATGACAGCTGATGACACAGACTAGTTCGTGGCGTGATATTGTTTACATCGTATTTCCAACGTTTTTGCTTATTTTGTATTTTAATGTAAATTTTGTGAATTAAACTTTTTACATATTTACTAAGAGAAGAAGAGGAAGATGATTCTAGCGATGAAGTTGATAATAAATAAAAAATACTGTAAAAATTAAATAATCATATAATAATTTTCTTATAAATATAAGTATTTTACATAAAAAAACATACACTTTTTTATTTGCATGCTAACTCCGGTGCTTTTCTATTTAATTAAGCTCAACGATTTGAAAAAATTAAAAAAAAAAATTTTTTTTGTGTCAGTTTAAATAAATCCCTTCAGATAATCGTCAGATTATGAGATATCACGTCTGGGGCATAAAGATGAACCATATATATCTTAATCTGACGCGCTTGAGTATTTCAAAATGGCGATTTTTTTTGCACATTCTAATAATGGTCACGCGTTTGCGTCACATCCAAATCGTCAGATTATTATATGAGAGCTTTTTTTTAGGTTCACTTGACATCCCCTCAAAAAATCTGACGCGCTCGATTAAAATTTTTTTTTCATTTTCAACCCTTACGTATAACCACCCCCATCATGGAAACGATCAGATTAACATACTACAGTTTTTAAAAATGCGTAGGACATGGATGATATTAATATCTGACGCGCTCGAGTATGTCCATACAACAGTTTTTTTTACATTTTTAAAAATCTTTAGCCGCTTCCCCACCAATGAAAAGGTATATATTATATGAATTTTTTTTTGTCATCATCTAAGCTTCGCAACCCAATAGGTCTCAATGACCCTCGAATAAATCCCGATTTAGCATCGTATTAATACATTAGTTCAAATCATATTAATACTGTCATCTATGTTAGTTATTTAAACAGTCTGAAAGATGAGTTTATAAATAAAACACAAGTTACCTTTTCTCTCTTTCTCTTTCCAGCTCTTCTGGAGTTTTCAGTTTAGCGAAAAATGTAAATCTCTCTTTCAACAATTCTACACCTGTCAATTTTTTTGGACATGTATCTGTGCTGTCATCTAAATCTATAACCATTCCTGGTTTACCCATTAGCTTTGGTTTTGATTTTAATGACAATGTGTCTTGTTTACCATATCCATGTGATTTGAATTCTGTATCAGATACATTATCTGCAACTTATAAAAAGAATTATCATTTTTAGTAGAATATAAATAAGTATATTTTATAGGATGAATACAAATATGCAAATTTGGTAAATACTATCTCTATAAAAAGTGAATATTAATCACGTCAGGAACAGTAACAAGTAACATATTAATACAGTAAGTCAATAATTCTTACTAAATTCTAGCAACCCATTCTGATGTCAGTAAGTTACAAGTAGTTCAGTGATGTTTAATATACTACTTATTTTTGTAATGGAAATAAATAATATGTACCTTTTGCTGTGGACGCATTTTCAATAATACTATCAATATCATCCATATTTAAATCTTCCATCTCTATGTCATCATCTGAGAATGGGTTTTCTTCAACATTTTTAATATCCATTCCCTTGTGATTAGGAAATTTATGACTAATGTTGTTTATCTCAGAAGGCATAACTTTAGTGTTAGTGTTATATGTTTCTGAATCATTTAACTTTGTATCATAATGCAATGAAATTAATTGACTATCTTTTTCTGTTAAATTATCGTTTTGTACTCCATTCAAAACGTCAAAGTCATTTGTGTCAAAACTTGTAGTATTCGTGTCTAGATTAGAAGAACTAGACTGTATTGCCACACCACTTTCATTTTCTTCGGGTAGGTTATTTTTTATAATATTTATTTCTTTCAATGAATTATCTTCCTCATTTTGTGTCTCAATAGAATCATTATATGTAAGTTCCATTTCCTCAGAATTGTTTTGCAAACTTTCATTAGATTCATCAAGTTCTGTTGTTTGACTTTTGTCTTCTTTCTGTTCAATAACTTCTAAATTATTATGAGATGTGTTAATGATGGCAATTGATTGCTCTATGGGTTTCAAAAAACTATCTGATTTAGTAGCATCAATTTCATCTTTGGAATTCACTCCATTATCTGATATTATTAAGGAACTATCACAATTAGCTAAAGCTACAGATTCACTTCCTTGGTCAGTTAATTCAGGCACTAAGAGAGAAGATTGTACAGCAGAATGGTCTGATTGTTGCATGTCATCTAATACCTCAGTTTCTTCTTCATCTGTGTCACTTTTACACAACTCTATCATTTCTTTTTGCCTTTGTTCTAACTGTAACCTGTATTTTTATTAAAATATCTATAATTATGCCCCTTTTTGACATATCATCATAATCACAATAAAAAATAGATATATAAGTTTCGCACTTTTAAATGTCTCAAATATTTAAGTGTGAAATTACTTTAACACTACCTACGCTCAGGACAGTATGTTAAGAAATTAGGCTGCATTGCAATGGCTAACTAACATTAATTCATACTGAACATTCATGGTAAATTATAGAATTTTTTTAAATTTTATATGCAGAGGAAGCATGCAACACAACAGTGGATCATCAGCCAATTGGACACCGGTACGGTAAGTGCATTATTCTAATTATCCACCTACATGCCTGGGGAATGATGAGTTAGTAGGTATTTTATTTCAGTAAAATAGGTAGGGAAATATTTGAGATTAAAAAATATAGACCCTATTATGGATTTTTCTACTTTCTAGTCAATGTACTTACACATATTGTTTTAACTGTTCTTCGTTCATTTTTATAGGTAGAATTTTACCATCTGTTGACACAGCAGGTTTCCTTCTACTCATGATGTCTTTCAAACTTAACGTCTTTGGTCTGTGGTAAGGTAATGTAACTTCTTTCTCTCTAAGCATACGGTTAGATTCACTTTTGATCTTTTGCATATTTTCTAATGCTTGTTTTGCAGACATCTGAAATATATTTAGATAATTGATTATTTGTTTTCATAGGTAAGCTGACAGATTACATATAATACGTAAGAATATAAAATTGATGGAATTCATTTATCAATCTAAGATATACACTATTACATTATTGATGAACATATTTTAGTAGCCAAGTTGACCTACCTTCTGTGGTTTTGGAGAAGTAAGTTTCATTCTCTTTTGAATTTGTTTTGGTTTTCGAACAGACCTCACTTGGTTACTTTCATCTTCTGAAGTATCAGGATCACATATAGACAATTTTAAAGTATTTGTTCGTTCTTTTATTTTCTGAAACAATATATTACCTTATAAACTAATAGAGATTATAAGCTCCGTTGCACAGACATCCATTAAGGTTTAATGGTGACTTTAAGCTCTAATGTTCTAAATATGAAAAATTGTATTGGTAATGTAAACTAATGACAATTCTAATAAGTGTTTCTGCAATGGGCAAATTATGATTTTTTTGTTTGTCGGTTTGTTTTGTATAACTTACTTGTTTTATTTCATTAATAGAAGTAATTTCATCATCACTTGAACCAGGTGATTCATTTTCAATGATATTATTTTGATATGTTAAACTTTCACCTTTTGTTTCTTCTTGTTTGTCTTTAGCATTGAGGTTTTGAAACTTCTCTTTTAATTTATTTCGTTTTTTTATGATTCTTTTTTGTAGTTCGCCTCTATCATTAATCAACTTATTTTCTTTTTCATGAATGTTACTCGAATCTGATTCAGACTCGTCACTTTTAATTTTTTTTAATCGCGATTTCCCTGATCTTTGTTTTATTAAGTTTGTATAATCATCACTATCACTACTAACGTTAGAAGTAGATTGCAATGTATCATTGTGTATATTCACTCCTTCTTGTTCATCTTCACTATCATTAAATATTTTAGAGCGGTTTCGGATCTTTTTTACAATACTTATAGGGTGATAATCATCATACGATCCCTTTGCTTGTGCATTATTCACATTATTATCTTCAGACATGGATTCGTTACAAATTTTTGATGATGTGTCTAGATCATAGGTTGCTGTTACGGAAGACATTGTTATTTCTTCCGATGACAGAATTTCAGTCATTTTTGTTTCTGTTAGTCACATAACCAGATTCTGCGTGGTATTTTTATTATGTTAGGACTAGTTAGAATTCACAATAATTAGCCAAGTTTTATGATCTCTATAAGTGTCTTTATAAATAGATCAAAACTGTACTATAATAAGTTATGGGCACATCACATGCAACACGCACAAAACAACATGAACACAACATTTTTGCGCGCCAAACAAATTTTACACGAGAAATACTTGTCAATGTCATTATTTATTTGACAAACAATTATTTTTTAAAGTTAGTGTTCCTTTCAGGGTTGGCCAACGACATTATAGTTCGAATGAGGAAGTATTTAAAAAAAAGAAAGCACTAAAAAAGTTGATTTTTGCAGGAAACGAATGGACCAAAGACAGTGATTTCCGTTACTTATAACTCACATATTAAGAAACTAAAATTTGAAAAGTTCGAATCTTAGATATCAAGACTAATAAGAAAAAGAACAAATAGAATATGAGTTCTTAATTGAGATTTGAAAACTAATTTACTTTTAAATATGAAATAAAAATAGAAAGGTTGTCATGGAGAAATCAAGAATGTACCACAGCGACATATAGTTTGATTTCGTGAACTAACGTAATTTTTTAATACTTTCTCATTGATGAATGATTTTATACATATATCTACATTACTCGTTCATTCATTCATCGTAAGGGGTAAAAATTTCGACTGCAATACACAATGATATTAATATGTCTAGATACGCAATACATACCAAAAATCTGAAGCTACTAAAACTAAGACGTTTGTCTTCGTTTTTTCGTTTTTCACTTCATTACTCATTCAACTCCCGCTAAGAAAGTACAAAAAAATGCTCCGCAAAAACAAAGAAAAACAGTAGATAAAATTCGATTCTCTTTCACAAATACACATAATACGAAAGAATATTAAGTTTCACACTTAAGTCATTAACATTTTTGGCAATAAATACAAAATTAAAGCTAGGTTATAAAATAAAAATATTTAATTTTCACAAATAAAATTTCGACATTTTGTCGACAGTGTTGCCACTGTTATTCACTTTCAATTTTCCCAAGTATATGGGAGCCTTTTCTTTTTATTTTACGTGGCTAAGTTTTATCTAAATATCTTTTTATAATTAATTATATAGCTCAGCTTAAGTATATGCAACTGCGCTAATTCTGTTGATAATTTTTTTTATACATGCACACAGATGCTAATGTAATTTAATTTTTTCAATGCGTGGAATTCGTTAGTTGTCGAGATACAACTTTAAAAATACGTAAAATTGAACCTTTGTTTGATGTTCTATGAACTTTGACAAATGTTTTTGTCTTAACCACTGACTTTTTCGGGGACAAAACAAAGGAACATATATGTACAGAGCCTACTTTCGTGATTGTTTTTTTTTTTTCAAAGTTTTTTCAAAGAAATTTTCAAAAGTTACAGTATTTTTTTACTAATTGATTTTATACATATATCTACATTACTCGTTCATTCATCACAATGCGTGAAATTTTCGACAGCTGGCAATACAATATCAATTACCCATTTTTCCGTTCATTTTGTCGTTCGCACATATTCTGTCTTTGTTTAATTTAAAGTTTGATCGTAGATATGAGGGAGACAAACATAATAAACCTATTTATATTATATAGTATAAATATTATTTGCAAAGCTACGTCCTGATTTCGGAAAAGTGCTACGCTTTTTTGGCGCGTCTGTTGTATGGGATTGCTTCTCTAGTTATTAAACTCATTGGCAATACATTATCAATTATTCATTTTTCCGTTCATTTTGTCGTTCGCACATATGTATTGTCTTTAAGTAGATTCGTAGATGTGAGGGAGACAAACATACAAAACCTATTTATATTATATAGAATAAATGTTATTTGCAAAGCTACGTTCTGATTTCGGAAAATTACTACGCTATTTGGCGCGTCTGTTATATGGGATTGCTTCTCTAGTTATCAAACTTATTGATATGGGTCCACCTCGAACCCATTAAGCTGTATAATAAAAAAAAGAAAATCGGTAAATTTTACGGAAACTAGGTGAATATACATGAAAAATAGATACCCGTCGAACATAGAACCTCCTCCTTTTCGTTTTAGAAGTCGATCATAAAGAGTAAACAAAGGCAAAACTATACAGGTGGTATAAAAATTTATGTGTAATTTATGCCGCAGAAATAATAGCTAATGAAATTGTTATAAAAATATATTTGTTAACAGAAATAAACACTATGTCTTTTCAGATAAAACAGACAGTCAAACATGGTATACAAGAAACACCTTATAAGCCTATAACATAAAGGAAGTAAATTTAAAAATTTACATTAATAATCTATACCTTTCGGAACTTCGGATAAGGTTTCTTTGATTTTTGGTAAATCACAAATCACAGCTTCAGCCGTAGTCAATAACGATGCTACTCCGCTAGCATCCGTCAAAGCCCTCCGTACTACTTTTGTAGGATCAATTATTCCTTTTTCTATCATGTTTACAAATTCATTATTTATGGCATCATATCCATAGTTATCTTCCATATCTTCTACTCTAGACACTACTACAGATCCATCTAAACCAGCATTATTGGCAATCGTTAAGCAGGGTGTGCGAAGTGCTTCTTTAACAATAGTTATTCCAATAGCCTGGTCAGGATTAGAAGGTTTTAATTTGTCCAAAATTGGAATACAACGAATAAGTGCCGCTCCACCGCCTGGCACGATGCCCTCTTCGACTGCAGCTTTCGTAGCATTTAAAGCGTCATTAACACGATCTTTTTTTTCATTAACTTCAACTTCACTGCATCCTCCAATTTCCAAGACAGCTACGCCATTTCTTAAGCGAGCCATACGTTCTAAAAGTCGTAATTTATCATAATCACCAGAAGTAGATTGTAATTCTTCTTTGATTTCTTCTATGCGTTTATTAATGTCATCTTCATTACCATGACCTTTAAGCAAAAGTGTTGAATCTTTAGTTACTACTACTTCATTAACTTTTCCGAGACTTTCCAATCTACAATCCTCGAGTCTAATTAAATTGGGATCGTCTTCAAAAACCACCCCTCCAGTAGCAATAGCCATGTCCATCAATACATTTTTTCTAAAATCTCCAAAGCCAGGAGCTTTTACTGCAACTACAGGAAGGCCAATTTTTAATTTGTTGACTATAAGAACTGACAATGGTTCACCGTCATAATCTTCTGCTATAATAACCAAAGGTTTCTTTTGGGAATTAGCTATTTCTAAGGCTGGTATCAGCTGCTGGGCAGTAAAAATTTTCTTTTGAGAAAATAAAACCAATGCATCGTTGTATTCCACTTTTGGACCTTTGGTGGAATTAATAAAGTACGGCGAGACATATCCACGATCGAATTTCATACCGTCAATTATTTCCATTTCATCAAACAAAGTTTTGCCATCCTTAACAGTGATTACACCATCCTTACCAACTTTATTCATCGCTCTTGCTATTAGTTTACCTATAGATCGATCTCCATTTGCAGATATAGTCGCGACTTGTTCTATTTCTTCAGAAGTACTCACTGGCTTAGATATAGCTTTCAAATTTTCTTTAACTGCTTCTACTGCTAACATTACACCTTTTCTAATTTCTATAGGATTTGCTCCTTTAGATATTCTTTCAAACCCTTCTTTAGCAATAGCTCGTGCCAAAACTGTTGCCGTTGTAGTTCCATCACCAGCTTCTTCGTTAGTTTTATTAGCAACGTTTTGGACTAATTTAGCACCTATATTTTGAAATTTATCTTTTAATTCTATACCTTTGGCAACTGTTACTCCATCCTTTGTAATTTTTGGAGGTCCAAAAGATTGTTCTAAAATTACTGTACGACCTTTTGGACCCATTGTTACGGCTACAGCGTCTGCTAGAATATCAACACCTTGTAACATGAGTGATCTAACATCAGGACCAAATCGTACTTCTTTTGCAAAACCACGTTTTGAAATGAACGGTGTTTTGATGATACCATATTTGTTAATACAAAGAACTTTATTTAATAAAATTCTATTCATTTTTGTAATTAAAAACAAGTCTCACATAATTTTCAAAATTGACAATAGAAAAAAAATTGGCATTTGTATGTCAGATATTGCGCGTTAATAAAAAAATAATATTTCAATTTGGAAACAAAGATTTTCAAAAAGTTTTACTAGGTAGGTATTCACATTTTAATAAACTCTTTTGTCTGGTGGAAGCAAAAAAAGATGATTTAAAAGACATCTAAACTTCTTGGGTGGAAGTGTCCCTCAGTTATTTTAAATACCATGTTGTATTTTTTAATACTATTTCTGAAGTGTCGAATCACCGTACTATCTACGGCTACGGCCCCCCAAGTATATTTTTATTTCAAAGTAAATCGTGAGTTTGTACTTTTTTTTATTTATTTTTCACTACTGAAATTACCCTATTACCTTCGATCAACTATACAACTAAAGATAACGCCTCCAATACTAATACAATACACAAATATGGCACTAAACCGTAGACCTTGTTTTTGGTAGATTTTTCCGTAAACCATAGACCGTTTATTGGTTCAATTTTACAAATAGGGTATTTGACACTATCGAAAATAAGTTGCATTTTGTGGTCATCTTGATAGATAATAATCTAATAAAGCTTATTTCTTAACATCTGCAGAAAAACATGTTTAGATTAAGTAAAATAACGTAAACAAAATGCAATATTTTTAGGAATTTATTCAACGACGAAAACGTCCTATAATTGGTCGTCGTCACAACCAATCACGATTCTGTTTACTGGCCTGTGACGTCATCAGCTGTCATGTCAAAGTAGTGTTAGAAAGATACATAATATATCGATGCCTGTGGGTATCGAGTAGTTTATAGTAATTTACTGATAACAGAATACTTTGCCGTTTCTTCTGAAATACAGAAGGAAAGAATCATTTACTAAGCTTTTTAATAAATCCAAGAAATAGGGAAAACGCCAGCAATTTAAAAAAAGAGCAACTTACATGTTTTTGCCATTTCTTGAGCTTTAATATAATAATTCAAAATTACAAAGTCGATTTTGATGATATATACTGCCTCAAAGTTAAAAACTAATTTAAAAAAATCGTCTGGATCTGATATCTAATTATCAAACGCCATGCATTTAGTGGACAGACATACTACATGCATGTATAAAAAAAATAGAATATAGAACAGTGCGAGCCCTGTCAACAAATATAAATAAGTCGTAAAATGTGTATGACAAAGAAAAAAACCAAAAAGAAAACCTTCAAATGTATCGACATGAAATAAAAAAGTTTCAATACTTTTGACGAATCCTTACCTAATTTTATCACCTATCTCTACTCTATATAGCTACTATACTAATGTGATTGTGAATCTATTTTCTTCTAGACTCGAAGTTTGTTTGTTATTTATAGAAGTATTAGTACATCGTGGCACTACGCACCACTTGTTTTTTAAAGAAAACCAGAGCAGAGGAAAATAAAAAACGTAAAAAATACCCACTACGACTTCAATTTCTCTTCTAAATTGTTATTTCAATTTACTCTAAAGAAAGTTGTTACTTATCGATTTGACATATTTACTGGCCTGTGACGTCACGATCAGCGCCATTACATAGAGCAGCGTTTTTCGCGCGCTTTTGGATATTAAAATTTTAACAATTATTTTCATCAACAATATAAAAGATTCCAATGAAATACTATGACAGTGTGTTTATAATGTAGCAAACAACGATTTAAAATAGGTTTCAGAAAAGTGTCAAATACCCTATTGTGAATAAACAAAATTAAATTGAAAAAAAGGAAAAAACCAAGCTAGATTTCCCCAATAGTTAAGGTTACATATTCAGAAATATATACAAAGCACTCTTTTTTCTTCAGAAGTTGCTGAAGCGAAAGCGGGATGTCGTCAGCTTTTTTATATATATATATACAGAAGACGGTCTATAAGAATTATACGTTGGAGACTAAAAGAATGACAACTGAAAATTAAATGATCAAGTGTTTGTTCAGTAAGGTTGCAAAATTCACATGTTGATGAAGATATGACTCCAAGGCGAAATAAGTGGGCACCGAAACGACAATGACCTAAGCGTAATCGGCAAATAGTTGTGTAGAATTTTCTGTTTCGAAAGATTTCTTCACAGAACCATGGAGGAGAAATCTTTGTTTTAATCTCTGCTAACCACTATCCTTTGCTTTGAACAATTTGTTGGCATTCGTTATAAAATTCCTTGACAACTGAGGGTTAACATGAGATAAAGCATCAGAAGCAGGAATCGGAAAATTTTAAATTGGAGCAGTTGCATTACGATCAACAATTAATTTAGCCAGGTAATCTGCTTGTTCTTGTCCAAACACCTATGTGAGATGGAGTCCAGAAAAATGTGATATCTTTAGAATGAGACAAAGAAAAATATTGCTTACGAATGTTGTGAGTTATGAAACTAGTTTTTGAAATACACTTACGGCCAGTTGCACAAACATCCATTAAGGTTTAATGACGCCCTTAAGCTCTAATTATTGTCAATTTGAATGGGTAATGTCGCTTTAAACTAATGAAAATTTTAATGAACGTTTGTGCAACTGGCTGTTAGGGTGTAAACCATAGACCATACATAACATAATGCCACAGAGTATATTCTGTGATAAGACTCTAGACTAAACGAAAACTGAGTTCCGGTACTGGGTAAATCAGGGCTCGGAAACGTTATTCAAAATAACGTTTCTTATGGTTCTTTGTGCAAGATTGCGTTCGAAACGAAAACGAAATAAGAACGCTTTAAAAAACCGGTTTAATCCGCAAGACGGTGCCGCGCGGGCTGTAAGGGCGGCGTACATTTATTTTATTACGTTATTTACAGTATGCGATGCAAAAAAAACGCACCATTTAGGTTAAAAACGTTTTATTAACCGAAAACAATATAATTCTGTTTTTTTCCAAAATCGTTTTTTATATCGTTCTGTTCGAACGAAACCGAAACAAAGTGTTTTTTAGGTATTTAAGATGAAAACGTTTCGAAAAATATACCGGTTTCCGACCCCTGGGGTAAATATGGAGTCACATTTCAGTTTTATTTTTCTTAGTAAAATATACGTGTAATTATATTATGTTTATAATTTACAATTTAAATAACATTACAATTATAAAATCTATTATCTTTGCACATATTTTTTATTTATTTTTCTTGGAAAACCAACAGATAATCAAATAAATAAATAGATTATAACATAACAAATAATAAGCCAGTATAGGTTTCCGCATATAATTGAAGACTTTTACGTTACAATGTTAAGAAGGCAGCTTATAGCGAAATAGTCTTTCAGTACTATTGATACTATCTACCACCAAGATAGTGGTTGTTTTCTCACTACCTAATTAAATTATAATAATTCTAAAACAATATGTTATTTAAATTAAACATAGTATAATACACATAGTAATCGTCCCCTCGCTCTCAAAAATCTTAGAAAAGATTATTAATAATCGCCTCATTAATTACCTTGTAGAAAAAAATCTAATAGTACTACTAACTAGTAATCACTAGTATAGTAATCAGTTTGGATTTCGGTGCGGTAAATCGACAGATGATGCAGTAGCTACTCTAACAGATTTTATAACGATCTACCTTTATAAAGATAATAAATGTATTACAATATTTTTAGATCTAGCGAAAGCTTTCGTCATGGTTCCTATTCCACTAGTTATAAACAAGCTAGAACGAATGGGTGTTAGAGGTAGCTTACTAACAGATTACTTAAAAGACAGAACTCAATATATAAAAAAGGCTCTCGTATTAGTGCTGAACTGCCAGTTACTTATGGGATATCTCAGGACAGTATTCTGGGTCCTATCCTCTTCGTCGTTTATTTTAATGATTTACTATGTATCAAATCTTTTGATGGAAGAATAATCTCTTATTGAAACAAAAGAGACAGCAGTGTCATCTGGACACTGCTGTCTCTTTTGTTGACGTGGAATGAGGCATATAGATTGCCACCAATTTGATGAAGTTAACACATGGCTTCAAAATAATAAATTAACCTTAAACATCGAAAAAAAAACAAATATATAGCCTTTTCCATACGAGATCAAAACTTATTTTTACATAACTGCACATTAACAGCTTCTCGTTATGATTGTCATTTTAAAATCATAGAATGCGTCGAATCTATCAAATATTTAGGCGTTGTAATCGATGATCACTTCTCTTTCAAACAGTATATTCTAACTTTGACAAAAAGAGTTCCGAAATTGATGTATTTATTTAAGACACTTAGACAAGTTGTTCCAGCAGAGTCTCTGAAAAATATATATTTCTCTCTATGAAAAGAATTATATAATGTTCGATAAAAAAAATCAGTTATGATGAAACAAAAAATTTAATAAACGTGATTACCTGATAAATAACGCTCTATAAGTCTGACCTGCTTAAACTGGCCGGCGGTAATATACTCAGTGATCAAATGGCTTTCTCACCGATTTTACAGTATTGCCGTAACATAGAGGTATAACCTTTCGCTCATCTATTTGTATTGTTGATCGAAACCTATTACACAGAAATAAAATTTCAATTTCGGTTACCATTAGCCATCTTTGAGAGTCTAACTGCTCATCTACTTGTATTGTTGATCGATGCCTATTACACAGAAACAAAATTTCAAAATGTTAATAATATGAATACATTATAGGACTAGGAGAAGAAATTGATAGATCCCTTTGCCTAAAGAATAAAGCTGAAAAAAAAAACAAAAAGATCGTTGAAATAGACGGCGATTTTTTAAATTTTTTTAATCTTGTGTGGCTTTATTTTACGTATTTATGTAAACTAAGGGACAAATTGGAATAAATAATGATGAGTGCCAATAGAAATAAACTTAGCCCCTTAATAATTAATTTAAATATTGGTGATCAATTAACGTCAATATCGTGTGGTCATGTCGTTGTAGAACTAATAAAATTTCTAGTTTATCAAAGATTACAAATACCCTATACGTATCAGTGGCTTAAGCAAGTTGTAACAAAGAAAAAAATGTGTGCAAATGAGGAAAAGAAGGATAGCTTTCAATCAGAAAGACATTTTCGTGTCGCGTCAACAGCATTGGAAAACTTAGATTTTATTCTAAAGGTGCTTTTTCATGTTCAAAACAAGCTGTATAACGCTAGTATAATAAAATCTCACCCTTTGATTAATTACTGGGCGCCCATTGTTAAACTTAACCGCAAGTTTTTTCTTCATCAAATTGTTTTATTAGTTTCAATGTTCTTCATTTCAGAGTTTGTTATTAGAGATAAGTGGTCCTTCATTACCTGGGGAAATTTGCGTCGCTTTTGGGGCAACGCCTATTACATGTAAAGAGGTGTACAGACTTATTATGCCTACTGCATGTCACAAACCACAGTGTCACTCAACCCATATAGCTAATGATCAAAAAATTCAACGAAATGTTTTTAGGTAATATACTGTAATCATTATCAACAGGTATTCAATGTAGCTCTATTAGATGCTGCGAATAACTGTATTATACAATGAGAGTATTATAATATCAGTTTTGTTTTTGTGTTAGCATCTCAACTGTAATTTGTTTCAAGACTTCTGTGTAATTAAAGGATTTTTAGTTTTAAAGGCTGAGTTAAAGATACTACATAAATAAGTTCTGTATTAAACTAGAATAAATAATATGTATTTTGTTTTCAGGACATTAGTGACATCAGAAATGTTAAGTCAAGTGTTCTTTAGTTCCTTGGCACCTACCAATTTATATGTTTTTATAAAAAAGAAAAACCTTGAAATCCAGGAAGATGTACTTAATGGTGACAATTTCATTTCAACAAGTGGATGTAGAATACCAAGAAATTCAAAAATAGTGGTATTGGATTTCAGGAGTGACAACTCTGAGAATGTTTCATGCTGTAGTGACTTTCAAGTTTTTGGTGAATCAATAAGCCAGAATTTCAAAGATTTACAAATAGAGGATATGCTGAAAGATAACGAAGATGAATTTAATGAAATTGAATCAACAGATGATACAAAATGGTATCAATCGAGTTATGTGATGAAGGGATTCAAAGACTGCGTTGTGAATGGAACTTCTGTTACCACATCATGGCAAGAATGACATAGATTATAATTTTATTAATGAATTATTTTGTAGGACAATTCATCTATTGCTCAAATGTTATTGTAAATTGACTGATAATTAGATTATTAAACCTAATAAACTGTTGATTTAGTATTACAAAATTAGAATTAATTTTATGTTAGATTTAGTATATATAGTATATTTTTTATGCTGGGTTGATAACATTAAGTTCAATATGTGGGGAATAAGAATTAAATCGTAAATATGCCACAAAATTTAAGCTAATATGTTCTTTAATGATAATTTAAAATATTTAAAGTTGTTGATTTATCGTCTGTCATGATAGCATATATATTCTGTGCCATATTTTCTGTCAAACAATATTACATTGACATTATTAATAAATTTCATAATTCATACATTAAATTTTTTTCTTTTCCTCTGAACATTATTAGAATAAAACAGTGATCTCAAATAAGTTTGAATGACTGTTCAAGTAAAGTAACTAGAACAAATATAATTATTATTAAGCTTAAATCTGCTTCACTTCCCCTCTGCCATTACTAAAAATATCCCTCTCTCTGTAAACTACACATAAATCTTTTAATGGTCTACCAACAGACCGTTCTACACAATTTTTCTGTTTATCACAGTTTCTTAAGGATTCATTGAATTCGAAAATTAAATTATTCCTGCCACCATTAGGACCAACTACATAATTACATCTTATTAGCTTTTTAATCATATCTGTCATACAGCATTCGAGAAGTTCATAATATTCAAGCCAAAAATCTTTAGGAACTTGCTTTAGTTTCACTCCTATTATGTTGCTTAGAATTCCAGTGATGTAAATATCATCTATCCAAAAGTGATGAGATTGATATAGTGCAACATCGCATAGTTTGCTTGCAACACTTGTTGTGGTTATATAATACCATCCTGATAAATATGTTGGATATTTGTTCAAATTATATTCTTGATGTGTAACATACCACTTATTCTCTGTATTTCTTCTAGGTACAGTATTGTTTAACATGTAGCCCATTAATAAAGTTTCCTGTATACCAAGGCTCAGCAGTAATTTGTAAGTTCTCTCCAAGTTAAATACAGTGTCATCATCAACCTTTAATATGTAGGTTGGTTTACACACACTACTAGCCCATCTCAATCCCATTAAGTGCTTCAATGTGAGATTTCTATAATTTTCTACAAACGAACCTTGTAATATGTCATCAAAAATACTATGCTCATTCTTAACAGCCTCTTGAGTTATATACCTAAAAAACAAAGATTTATGTTCAAAATATAGAATAGTTGAGTTGAGCATAGTTGAGTTCAATAGAATTTACATAGAAATCAAATACTTTTCATCTGCTGGTATTTTTGACAGTAAAAATACTCTTGTTATGTTCATGGACTCTAGAAGAGTAGACGGCATAGCTCTTCTATGTGCACTTCTTAGTTCAACATGACCAACATATGATGTCACTATTATTGTTAAGAAGGAACTTCCTGAAATTATGATAACACATGTTATATGATTTAGAGTGGACCAAACAATATAAAAGCATTTTATAACTTACTTTCGCAATATATCTCTGATGGTGAAAGAATAAAGTTTTCCATATAAACATAATTCCTTTTTTGAACAAGCAATGAATCTTTCATTTCATTGTTAGAACTTGAAATAATCCATATGCATAAAAAAAGAAAAAATAAACATAGAGCTGATACAAATTTCTTACGTAGATTCATTTTTACTTATATTTCATATTAGAATTATTTATTTCAAGCCTATTAAGTAACATAGTTTTTTACTGTATTGTTTAATGTAGGTATGTATGTAAATGTAGTCCTCATTGAAGTACAAAGTTTCATTACATTTTATGAATTCCTAACTTTAATAAAAACAAACGAAAGAAGCGCTAAATTAGATTATGTTTATCTTGAATTAAAAGCACAATTTGAAAGTCTGTCTCTCTCTTCAATGTCATGTCAGTCTGACATCTTATTGACAAAAAAAAATTCAAATCTGTAATTATGATTTTGAGTTTAATGATAGTGACACAAAGTTCAGTTTAACAGACTTGCAAAGTCTAAACGTTCTGTTTCATGCAATAAAAATAAAAATCTGAAACTTCTTTTTTTATGGGGTGAAACCACGTCTGATTTTGCTTCAGGGGTGAAACGGGCTAAGGAAATAATCGTATAGCTTGCATCAAATAAATTGAGCTATGTGCAGCATTTATGTGTATTAGATTGGGTCGCTATGGTCTCGTGACTCCAATAGTTGCCAATATCATCATCATGATCATCAGCTCTGTTACATCCCCACTGCTGGGGCTCAGGCCTTATTGTGGATGGTTAAGGAGGTCATGATCCTCCACGCTGGCTCAATGCGGATTGGAGGGTATTAACGACTATAAATGCAGCCGGGATCAACGGCTTAACGTGCCTTCCGAAGCACGGAATAGCTCGAGATAATAATTTTTTGGTCACCCATCCCTTGACGTACTCTTGCGAAAGTTGGTTAATAACAACGTTCATGGGCTGCGGTGCTTATCCACTACCGCACCGAGCTACTCATATGTTGCCAATATGTGGTTAGTATATTTTGACATATTCATTTCTACTGCCGTAAACGGTAGGTATATTCCGATAAGTTTCGTCATTCGAAAGGAGTCGGATCCTCATCCCAAACCTTATCTGAACTATAATGCTTGAATTTCCTTGTTGTATGAAATCGTTAAAAGCATCACGTTTTCGAGATAAATGCTATCTTAGTTGCTCATTGGAAGAGCAACTAAGATAGTTATGTCGGTGGGAAACATTATAGGTAATATGGTGCTTTAGAAAATTTTGAAATATAGATTTAGTTTTCCGACTGGCCTATAATCATATGATTATAAATTTATAAAAAAATAATATAATGAAAGGATGTACGAGTATCATCAATACTTAGTGAATCAAACATTCTAAGCATCGATAATAAAAATGTTAAAGCCAATCTGGAAGTACTCATCAATTAACTGACATTAAAGCGAGATTTTACTAAAGCTTTATCATTAAAAACCGTATTTGTCATGCAATTCTCTATCCTCTGTTCTTTACCAAGCGAAATTTAAAGATAACGCGGCGCTCTCCAGAGGTGCGACTGCATGACTCTCTAGCCATGACTCTATGAGAATCAATGAAGATTATGGATTTGACAGCAGTATTACCAACATACGGCTAGTTGCACAAACGTCCATTAAAATTGACATTAGTTTAAAGCGACATTACCCATAGAAATTTGCTATTCATTAGAGTTAGCTCCTCCGCCCTTTTAACTTTATTTTATTACGTATATTATGATTTTGGCGGATGACAGTCATTTGGAGGCCACCCAGAATTGAAAGCCTGGGGCGGTTCCCTCCTGCCCCCCAAGTCCGTTATATATATATGTATTATTTATATATTTAACCAAATATTTTAGTTTATTTCAGTTTGAAATAGCTTTGTTTGTGAAAATTCGACTTTAACTTAAATAAAGTTAGGCGGTCGCCTATAGTTTATAATCAATGATATTAGCAATGGTATGTAGCATAACATTCAGCCTTGCAGATAAACTATTAACAAAGACAAAAATAATTAAAGTAAAATGTCGATTTTAATTGGTTTTCGAATTAACAACATGTTTGTTTAAATGTGATTGACATTAAAATTTATATGTTTACTGTTATATCAAGCGGTTTGTACTTGAATATGCATATTAACATCGTCAAGCAGTAATCCCTTTCAGACGAGACAGCGAATAATATGCTTGTCGGTTTATCACTAATGAAATGAGTTGTTATCATCCGCCTACATATTAGTCGCAGGCGCAGGAAGCTTAGTTGAGTGAGGACAGAGCTCTGAGCTAGTCGAATTGCCCTGTCACGCTTCATATAAGAAAGCATTTTACGATTAAAATAAACATTGCAATAAACATTTGAAAAAATGGAATCCGAGATCAGCAGGGAGGATGCGTTGTCCGCGAAAGTTATAACAATGTTATGCCTATTCAGCATATCTATGGTAGTTGGTTTGATACCACTATTAATATCGTTAAAGTTCGACTGGTTCACAAAGAAAACAAATGGTGATTTACGTACTGATAATCGACTAGTTATGGGTCTGCTGGCGTTCGGAGGTGGAGTCCTGTTCTCGACTACCTTCATGCATTTGCTGCATGAGGTCGATGATAATATTAGCTTATTGCAAGGTGAGTAACTTTATGTCAAGATGAATTACTATGAGAATATATATGTGCATTTATAAATTTAACTACCAAATAAGAGATAAAATAAAAAAATGTAGATGGGTGATGTTGAGATCGGAAATATCGACATCTTAAAGTTAAATATCTTGGTTCTTTAAGAAGTCCCAAACTTTGATGTTATCTTTAGAATTTTTTAGGAATTCTCAAAGGACTTGCTTAATTATCTCTCATAAAATAGTCAGTCATTGTTTTATTTAGTCTTTCGATATGGTACCTACCATTAGTATTTGAACAGTTGTATGATTTTACAATTGGTAATAAATTTACCTACCATTTACTCATTTATGATTCATTCATATTAAAGGGTTTCTATTAGTTTGTCATTAGTGTCATGACACTAATAACACACTGTTTAAAAGTTTGCTGTAAACGATATTAACTTACTTATATTTAGAAGTTTTCTCGCGATTTCACTTAGATTACAGTATTAATAATATTCTAAACGACTTCACCCGCACAAATTATAGGCGTATGTCACCTGCGTATATTGCAGCTGCCCGTAGGTGAGGGAATTAAAAAAAATTGGTAACGGCGTTTTGGGACTTATTCGATTGAAACAAACAATGAAATCTTACACCTTTATTATATGTCATACATCAAAAATTGCTACACCCGAGGCTGAACTAAGCGAACCTCAACCTCTTTTGTGATCTGTGAGATTGTAACCACAAGTCTGTCAACTTTCTGAATTGTATTAGGAACAGTTCAATTAATTACAACCTTTGTAAATTGGAACTCTGTGTTCGACTTTTGCTGGGAGGAGTGCAACCGCCTTACTTCTCTAGCCAATATTATAGCCATAGATACGATATGTTATTGATGTTATGGCGATATTTTATTTCGTAGTAATGACAAACGAACAATAAAGAAGGATGATTATGGATTTGATAGGAGTTTTACAAAAGAAATGTCAAATCAAAGTAGTAACATGAAGCGAAATATGTCGTATCCTATAGTTAGAATCAAGGCTATAGAGTTAGGCGGCAGGACAGTCGTGTTATTTGAACGTACAACGCAAACGTATGATAAAATTAATTCGTATTTAATGTCATCTCAATTATTTGCCTGTTATCTAGGTAAAAGATTATATCTTTATTACTATATATTTATTTTAAACATTACATCAATAATGAAGTAGCAGTTTAATTTGATTTTGTGTGTTTTAAAACAATTAGTTTATATTTGGAATTACATAGCTTGCTTAACAATTAATTTATAATTATTTAGGTATTGTAATAACTAACATTATATGTTACTTTATTGAATAATAATATTGAATTACGGAAATTGAAAAGTGCAATAAATTGCTTTTGTTGATCAATTAAGATACAATCTTGGTGATTTAGAGATTCTCTACATTTTTCATTCCCAGTACTACAATGTGTATATTTTGAATTATTTGGCTTGTTTCATTGTCTATGTAGGATACTACAAATGTGTTATATTGAGTTAATTTGTGAAAACGGGACTTCAAATGTACCTAGTTAGCAGGAATTACTAAAACTAGCTTTCGCCAGCGGTTTCGCCCGCGTGGACCCTAGGAAAATGTTAAGTGGGATAAAAAGTATCCTATTATCTAAATCTGCTAATACCCTATCTGTATACCAAATTTCATCAAAATCCGTTCATTAGTTTCGGGGTGATTGACCGACAAACATCCAAACATCTAAGCATCCAAACAAAGAAACTTTCACATTTATATTATTAATAGGATTAACTGTACCACATTTATGCAAATTAAACTATTATCATTCTTGTTATTAATATATTAAAATCTACAAAAATGTTAACTGCTTTGTACACGTGTCAAATTCCCCAATTGATTTTAAATTCTACCCTCGCTGAATTAAGGTTTAAAATCAATTTGAGAAATTTGACAGTTTTATATAAATTTTGTACTGTTGACTGTACAAAGAAACAACAACGTCCAAATAAGCTGTAATTAAAAATGTGAAAACATCATTACTTTGTAAGGATTTTGCTGTCCCTGTTGTGCACTGTAGTGCACACAAGCTAAAGGTAAGATGAAGTGTTTAAAAAAATTAAATTCAAAATTCATAAAACCGACACAACAACCTAAGTTCTCATTAAAAAGTAAAAAATAATAAAAGAAACTCAATCATAAAGTATCTAAATATGTATTAATAATTTTAAAAAAATACGTCGCGTTAGAAGTACAGGCGGACTAACCCGTTGCGGGCTCGGGGCGGCATTTTTGTCTTTTGGGGTTTTTTTAAATACTTTTTATATGTATTTTAATGTAGATTCTTGTGGAAAATTTTCAAATTTATATTTAAGGTAAAGATTGCATTTAAAGTCAAGTTTGTTCACTTTTTACTGATTAATTTCTAGTTTTTGTTTTTATAACTAAAATTGTTACTTAATGTTTATATTAGTCTTCAACTCTTTAATATAATAATTTTCTCATCAACCATCATCAATATTCTCTTTTAGTGCGCTTTCATTTGAGACTCCACTGGAATATATTTGCAGACATTTGGCTTTTCTTCTCCATTTTCCCACAACTTTTAAACGGCTCTACCGATGTTCATCAAACATGTCTGAGAACACTCGCACATAAGACACTTTTAATACAAAAAAAAAACTAAATTGAAATCGTTTCATCCGTTTGGGAGCTATAATGTCACAGATAGACAGATACATACGCAGACACGTCAAAATATAACACCCCACTTTTTACGACGGGGTTAATTATAAGAATATTTTCACAGAACAGATCTTCATAAGGCCTTCTTGATATTTGCATTAGGTATCACAATATTAACATTCTTATATATATTATTATATCTATTAAGATAACATTACAAAATGAACCGGTTACGTACCTAATAGGTATTTATTTATACATTTATAAGTATCACAGCAACAAAACAATATAACGCAAACATGAAATTCTTAAGATAAAAATAATTTTTATTTTTTTTTTATACGCGTAACCTAGTAATAAATAGTTAAATAAATATTGTATATTAATGTGACAATCTTAGGAACTACTAAGTAGTAGGATTTAAAAGAAAAACTTAATATAGGTAATATCTTTTTATAATTTTTGCCATAAAAAATAATTAAATCGAAACTATAATATTCTAAATGTTGCTAGATAACGCTTTGTTGTTAAACATTTTTCTTATGTGCCAATTCAAACAAACCTAAAAATTCGAGTAGAACCTACCAATGATGGAAAATGCATTACTGCGAGGGATCTGTTGCGGACCTGCCCTCAAAAGAAGGGTAAACTGAGAGATTAACTGGAGTGAAATAGAAATTATAGGAACAAAAACTTTTGGCTTTATTCATATATTTTTTAATGTAAGGAATTGCTGTTAAATAAAAAAAAGAGGGAAATAGTCACTAACTTCAGTTATTATTTAGCCTAAAAAGTAAGAAAAACACATTCCGACTTTTTATAAGTTTAGCTAGTTTATTTTTCCAATTTATGTATATTTTGGCATTGTACGTATGACAACATTATATTACATAATATTTTTTATACATATAACTTCTATAAATATATGTTTGTCATTATTTGCTTATAGTATAATACCTACCAGCAGCACGGACGGTTTTCTATAAAGCGTCCTTTACTGTCTAAATAAACAATAATTTAACTCATAGATCTATTATCGTATTACATCCGGCGTTTTTATATTATTTACTAATGGAATTTAATCTTTTTTTCCTTTCCACATTCATTGTAGATAAACGACTTACGTAATGGACATTAGTTACGTATGTAGATTATTTACGAATCGAAAATCGAAAACCACATTCATTTCTGTTAATTTTACTTACGCATTAGAAATTGACGTCTATTTCGTATCATTGTATCTAGCTACATCATTCGCAAGTGATATAGGTTATAATTTACAAAACAAAGCTAGTGTATACAGGTGTAATATTAGGAACAGTCAGTATTGTTACTGTATTGAAAAAAAAAATTGTCATTTCGAACATCTGTTGAACAACATGTTTCATAATAACATTAAAACTTACACAATCGATATCTAAATAGAAATAATCTTAAGTTTTATTTATCAAAATGTCCGGGTTTGACACCCGAACTGAGTATTAGTTTATTTTCAAATTTATGAATGCAGTTTTTTTTCACTAAAATCGAGAACAGGTTCTCCTAAGAACCTGTCAACAAATCTTGGCATGTCTATTAGTAGTTTCAGATTTTCCCAAACTAACCATTCGTAATTTACACCCTGCATAGTCATTCGGGGTAACTGTTCGCAGTGGGTAAGTGTGCGCAGTGTCCATACCTATCTCATGATCAGGGCGAGGGGGGCGGGTGATTGTTTCGGTCAATGGCTACAGGCGATACAAACTAATCGCGATATGTCAGTGCGCCGTACCACGCTTTGTTGTTTACGCATTTACAACGTATTTACCTCTTGACTTTCATTAACTTTTAATGAAAGTCAAGAGGCAGAGTTTGCGATTCACTGTAAGCAAATGAATTGAGAATCGCTTTGACAAGTCAACAAAAATGTTTGGAAGTTCTGAAGGCGAAATGTTTGACTCTGGTTAATTTTCATTGAATTTACTAAATAAGATAGATAATTTTGGTGAAATAAGTTTATTTTCGGTTAAATTAACCAATGCGTTCACTCACCTCAAGTGCGTCTATTTACCCCCATAGCTATGCGCACACTTACTCACAATTCGGGTCAAGTGTTCGCATTGTGACTTTCAGTTGTTTTTACCTGTTTGAATGAAAACTAAGATACTTGCAGATTTTGTTTGTTTTTCAAATTAAAGTCTAATAAATGTTTATTTCAATATGATACTTTTATTTTTCTAATTACACTGTTCTAATTTACAATGAGGTCCCAAAGGTAAAACTTTTGTGTCCTACTTTTGTATTTTAATTGTAATATCTACTTAATTTACTAGTTAATTAAAATTAAATATCTGCTAAATCTTGTAAAAGAAAGGAAATACTCATTACCAATATTTTAAAGCAGTGTCTTCCCCTCTCTCCAAATTGCTGTGCCCAACGGTGTCCATAATTATATTTTTGTTTTTTTTTTATAAACATCCTAATACTACATCGTGGAATGCAATAAATAAATAAATAAACATTGTTAACTGTATTTTAAAACTACATTTTATGTGAAATATAACCATTATCATTAATGTACTATGCACACAATGAACCTAATCTCCTTATTAATCGATTGTTAATGATTAATAAAATATATACAATATGGCGATAGGTAAGTAAATAGTTATATACGAAAAATATGTTAGCAAGTCAAAAAATTAGACAAGAGAAAACTTAACCATAATTTTAATTTATCAAGTCAGTGTTAAAAAATGCAAGAAATAAAATAAGCCAAGCTTCTGAGTAAAGACATATTTTCAAGAATGAACATAAACTGACAGAACAAAACTAATAAAACTCAAGTCACATATTAGTTGTGTTGTGTTATTCGGAAAGCAAAGGACGACTTTTCTGTTGGGGAGGGGGAGGGTTAATTAGACAATTTAAGTTAGCAATTTATCTTAAATTTATTCACCAAACGACACATCAAAGTACTAACATAAAATTGAATAACATAGCTAAGATGTCATATCATATGGCTAGAAACAAGACAAGAGAGTTAGGCGTGCGCTCTGCAGTACGTTGACTTTATAGTATATACAAAACTGACAAACTACGTTAGATTTTAAACTTTAATGTATTAAGAGTAGAGTTAAAAATTGATGACTAACGGTCTGCTGTTGTTCCCATTCTTTTTACTTTTGGAAGTTTAACTTAGTTTATTTAATGACATTTCTCATTCGATCGAAAACAAACATGAAGCATCGTAGTTTAGTTTATTTGAAACATCTTCTGAATCATAGATTAGAAGCACTCTGTGCTAATGCAGTAACAAATAATCAAGAGATCGATAACACTTATAATTAGTTTTAACTTTTCCTTTAAAAAAGTGTAATAAAGCATATTTAAGAATAGTTTTATCTAATCCCCCATTATTTTTACAGGGAATGGTGATATGCCGGTAATACCGGTTTACCTCGCCGGTCTGATTATGTCTGGTGGTTTCTTCATGATGTACTTGATCGAAGAAGTGGTGCATTTATACATAAGCAGAAGAAAAAATAATGAGGATACTTTAAGTAGAACCTTTAGTATAAGACGATGCAGTAATGAGTCGGAAAACAAAGAGATCGAAAGTGGAAAAGTTCTTGGCAAAAGCCTTGAAGAAAACGGTCATAGTCATTTCAAAGGGGACAATTCGGAAGATTCTGTGATGGCGGCCCTGAGAGGTTTGCTCATAGTTCTGGCATTGTCCATCCATGAACTCTTCGAGGGCCTCGCTGTGGGTTTGGAGTCTTCAGTTGCAAACGTGTGGTGAGTACTTACTTAGTTACTAGCTAAACAAGTACCATGCGGCCCATAAAAATCACACCAAATTAAAAGACTAAAGTTAAGTGTTATCAATATGCCAATAACAAAAGACACTCCGTAACATTAGTCTGAAAATGTTATATTTTTGAATGCCATGGACATGCACTCAAGTTCAGGGAACAAAAATATTTTTTTAAGGTACTGCATTTTTAAGGTTCAAATTATAAAAGCAAACATAATATTTTGTCATGCCATGCCACCCTCCAAATATGAGCGCCCTAGGCAGTTGCATAGTTTGCCTATATGAACCTGCGGGCTCTGGGTAGTCACCACCAACTCTCAGTAGTCATAGGATACGACATCTCAGTGAATATTATGACGATATTTCGTGTTATTTTAATACTTTGACATGTTTTTTGGTGGACAAATTTGGGAAAAATTACTTATTTGGCAAGATCGCTACCTAATCCATTAATGAAATAAAGTATCGCTTTAACATTGCTAAGACGTCGTATCCTATATATATATATATAAGTATGAGTTCATTAAATACCCAATTAGTCTATCGATAAAAGTAGATTTACCTTTTGGCATAGAACTTATTTCTACCAATAATCAATCAATGTCACACAATACTGTTTACTGATTTGATTGATACACCGAGACGATCACGTACAAATGATAATGTAATGATAAGTGTGAACTTCAAAAAATGTTGAAAAATATAGGTGTTTAAAAACTACTTTCTGTACGATAATAATAGCATTTTACCATCTCTACAGATGGAGATAAAGAGTAACTGACGTTTCTTTTATTAAGACTAACCATTTGTATCTCTAACATGCTCTATTATCATATTTTCTTTTCACTAGACGTCAACAGTATAGTTTTGGGTAGGACGAAAAAGTAAAGAACATTTCAGAAATCCTGTAAAAAATTGATTTATTTACGGGATTTATTGAAATAAGAACATGATAATAATTTACAACTAATAATAATAATAATTTTTCGAGAATAATTGTCGCAAGTTAACCCTATCGTAAGTTATTGATTTTCTGATATCTCTTTTTCATAATGTTCATGAATACATCTCAGTTTCTCAGATTGATTTCTGACCAGCAAATAGAACTTGAAGTTCTTATTTACTATTAATAAACATGTCGCAAGTTTGAAATTCGAAAGGTTTAAGAAATTGTAAAATTTAAAAGAATCTGCTTGATAGACCAATGGTTAGCGCGCTCGATCTGCAACTTTTGCAAGAGTCGTGTTGGAATGGTCGGTTCCGTCCCCTTTCTAGATCTCCTAATTTTGCCACTCTATATCTTTTTGGCGTTTATTGAAAGATAAAACAAAAATTGTTATTAAATAGATTAAGAGTGAATATACAATTTCCAGTGCCCGGTATGTCATAATTCAGCTTTTGTAGTCTGCCACGAGTGCTTCCGTGCTTTTTATATTACGTTAAACTGTCGGTCCTAAATGCATCGGTCTGTGGTCATTAACACGTACCAATCCGCACTGATACACGTAATGGAAAATGGCCCGTTCTTTTTACTTCTATTGAGAATCATACTTCATTAGCTCAACAAGTAGATCATAATTTAAAATTTAATTGCGATGACGTCTGGTGCGATTGTTTTTTTAATTATTTTATTTTCAACTAGCTTTTCGCAGCGGCTTCGTCCGCGTAGTATAGTTTTATACATTTAACTTTTAAATCACTCTGTATTTTGATGAAAACCGTATTAAAATCCGTTGTAGGTATAATTTAAAAGTTCGCCACATACATATAGCGGGAAGAGACTTAGTTTTGTACTAAGTATGTATGGATAAATGTCTTCGTAATTAGGCAAATAGTGTCTCATTAAGAAAACGAGGTATAGTTTCCATAAATAATTAATTAAAACGACTTGTGGGAACGAATGCACTAAATCCACTTCTTCTATCCATCCTTAGGGAAGGCCTGCAGGACAATTTTGCTAATGTTTACGTAATATGCAACAGAATCTCAAGTACGTACATTTTACCGTTGTACTATCTACCTAAAGTTCATTGCAAAGCAGAATTGGCCTGCTGTACCCAAGTAGTGGGAGTTAATATGCTCAATACCCTGAATTTGGATACCGATAGATAGAAGAACTTTCTTTCAGATTTTTAAAGTGCAGAAAGCTATAAGTAGCAACATGCGGTTATCGGGAGATAATTTTCCAGGTCCCACTTGAAATGTTGACATCCTTTGTTAAAGCATTTTTAATAGAGATTGTGATTGACATTTTATATCAATACATTTATTTTATCTCGTCACGTATTTTAGATATGCATTTTTTCGGTAAAAAGTTACATACTTTTTTGAAAAGATTGCTCAAATCTGTTTCATCTAAAAAAATATCAAAATTACATTTTCTGTTATAAATTCCTATGTATATACTGAACTCTACGCCGAGTTTAGCGTTATGACAGCATACAGCTCCGATGAAATAAAACCTTTATTAACTTTTGAGGTAGAGAGTTGTCAGAACCGATACGATCTCACAATTCTGCTCTCGATATCGAGTTCGAGGTTGTTTCTATAACAGAAAGCACTGTATTACGAAGTGTTGTGTATTATTAACCATTCCAGATATAGAGGTAAAGGGTGGGTAAAGGACCTCTTTTCTGTGTTCAGCCCTGCGATTCTGTAAAACTTCAAACTCGATTTCGAAATCACTCGGGTGTCCGAATTCACTTCAAAAAGCGGCATCCGCTCAAACTTGAATTGGTAATAATGTTTCGTGAAATAAGTAAAGTGAGTTTCGAAATAATATAGGATTAAAATATCTATGAATTATTAAAATATAGTATTTTTATAAAAAAAATGGAATCAATATTATTTCTATACTAAATGATGAGAACTCGGACACATGAGTGAATTCGAATTCGGGTCTGGATTGTTATAGAATCGCAGGGCTGTGGTAAAGGAGACAAGATTATTATTTGCTTTAATACGGTGTCACTCGCATACGATTATGCATGCATTACCTACGTATTTAGTCACAAATTATGAAATATTTTAGTAGTTAAATTGTTTTAATATTCCTAGTTTCTTTATCGAGTTGGTTATCAAAATATGCATAATTGAATTCATATTTAATTTTTTCCTTGAACATATGCACATTTTTTCTGTACTAAATTCAAAGACATCTCCTACGTAGAAGTCTTCGACTAATATTTACATATCGCTGGAATATTTTTTTTAAATGCATCTCATTTTCTATGTCATTGCTGAGCGCAATAGTTTTTAAGAATTAATCAATAAACACTTGTAAGTATTATCTAATTGTGTTATAGGTACATGTTTGTTGCGGTATCTGCTCACAAATACTTGATAGCATTCTGTATTGGCGTGGAACTGTTGGCAGCCGGTACCAAGCGCTGGCTGTCAGTGGTGTACATCTTCACGTTCTCGTTCGTGTCAGCTTTGGGAATTGGCGTAGGCATCCTCATGGTTGGCGGCGCTGGAGCTGCTGAAGCTGGTGTATACTCCGTGGTTTTGCAGGTATTAAACTGTTTGAAAGTCTGAAAATACTATTACAAAGCGCAATGGCGGATGGTGAGTAGGCAACACTTCCTCAGTTTCCATTCTTCCTCAGGTAACACAAAACTGGCAAATCTATTTAAAACCTTAATGTAACTACTTTAGCAAAGAATACACCTTTAGTATTAGAGAGAACTTTTGTATTTTTATTATCTACATATTAAATTGAGTTCTAAGAATATGTTTGCATTGAAAAAAGGACAGTGCTAAGTAAGTGCTAAGAATTTCTATGTCATCCATTTGACACTGAGTATTTACTGGTTTGCATTTTTTTTTGTTGCTGATGCTCGCCATGCTGTTGTTACGCGAAAGGTACTTAGTTAGACTTTATTTTGCTGATTTTTAAAGTTACTACCACGGTTCCAAACTATCATTGAATTTAAAAATCAAGGTATTTCACAATGGGAGATTATACTATAAAATGTAATCTTGTTCTCTTTGACCGATATTTTTATGTCCTTATTAAGATAAGATAATATATTGTATGGTAAACAATTATTTAACTTGGTTGGAAATTAAAAATTTGCAGTGTTTACTGATTGTATCATTATTATCATCTAATCAATCTACTTTAGGTACATTGTTTTATTTTTGTGACAGTAGTAGTAAATAGTCATTGATTTGTGAGTGGTAAGTAATTGTCTTGGAAAATAACCATTACATTGTTCTGTGATAATTAAAATTAATCCTAGCTTAACTTTTATATTAGAAATCAAAATAGGAATTATTTTTATGTAAAACATTTTTATTGTAAAGAAACAAAACATTAAATTCAATGAAAATCATTTTGTTGCTATCCTGCAAATGTAAGATTTCAAATAGAATCGTTAATGCTCTGTTTTGAGGGTTTCGAAGTAAACAAGGAACCCTTGTAGTTTCGCTATGTCCGTCTGTACGTCCGCGGTTTAGCTATAATACAAATCTAAACTATTTTTTGTATTTTAGTTACTAGAAAGTTGTAATTTGGTATGAGTATATATATATTAATTACGTTGACAAAGTCGTAAAATATAAATAAAATGTTTTGGGTACCTCCCCTCATGTAAAGTACGGATGACAATTATTTTTCATCTTCTCCATAATGCATCATTAGATAGGTCTTTCATAATAATGGAGGTTTAGGAAGGCCGTTTTTCGATTTAGTAAAGCGTTTGTGACTTATTAAGTTTTAAAGTGCTAATTTTTTAGAGTCAAGTGTCCCCCCCTCTATCAGTGGTAAAAATTCAAATGAAGTTAAAAGGAAAACTATCACACTTAATTCGAATTTAAAAGTATACGAGTAATAGTCGACCAATTAATTGTATTTAACACGAAAATTCGAACAACTCCATAGAAAACAACAAATGTGATTTTTGTTACTTTTTTAATTGATAATTTAGTACGTAAGCCTTCGTGCGTGAGTCCGACTCGCACCTGACAGATTTTTATTTTTAATATTGTGATAAAAAGGTAGTGTTGTTTCTTGTCAGTTCTTCTCGGTACAAGGCCTCCCACCGCAGATTCACCATGGTCTGGGTGTTTATTACCTTTGTTGTCTCAAATATTCAATAAAACGGGGGTGTTAGCTACTCATTTAGGAATCAGAGCAATGTATGTGATATTGTATAATATTTATTCATAACAAACTATTTCTTTATACTAGGGTCTTGCGTGCGGCACTTTACTGTACGTGGTGTTCTTCGAAGTTTGGCGACGTGACGGCACTGGCTTGCAGCAGTTCGTGTGGTCCTTTTTGGGCTTTGCTCTCATGACTGTCATAGGGATATTAGTAGAGATCTATTTCGAGTGAGTATCGGAAACAAACTATATTCATCAAAACCGTAGGTATATTCACCTGCGCATACATACAAAGTGACGCGATGGAAGAACAGAATAAATTATAACCAAAACAATGTAAATTCCAAAGCTTATTGTTAATTATAATAATTTATTATTTAAATTATAAATGAGCTAGCTACAGTCTGTTTTACATTATTATTAAAGTAAAATGTATCTTTTTGTTCCAGGTCCGATTTGAAGTAAATAATATTGGTTCCGGGAAAAAATGTAAAATTGAATACTAATAATAGTTTATTATAGAATTGGTGACATATACCTTATAATAACTTTCATCATTATGATAGGAATTCACATGATTAGGCTACGTCGTCTGTCTGCCAGGATAAGTTTTTCAAGGTATATTTTTTATCAGGCACGTTTAGATGTAGCATTTATCAAGCAAATAAATGCGAACGTACGTACCCAATGTCTGCACGTTATGCAACGGATTTTCTACATACTTATGTCTATATACATAAATATATAGAAAATACTTATGTACTATATTCTTATGTCTATATACATAAGTATATAATTGTATGAATTTGTACAAGACTTTGTCGACTATCCGTAACGGCCACACCGATCGCACTATGATTTTTACTTATTATGTATTCCTATTAAAAATCAGGATGCAGTGGACTTGTGGATCCGTTGCGTACTGTGCGGACACAATGGACGTTCACCTGAATTGCCTATACAAAACATATGATGAATCGTTATTATTATTTAATTTTATCGAATGGAGACCATTCGGGACAGTTGACTTTGTTTGTAACTTCAGAGAAATAATTATGGCGTATTTACACATCCACGTGCTGCGTGCGGGCAATTTTTCCTTGCTTTCATAGGTCGGTTATTGTTATAGACCATTGATCCCATCCAACAGTGTGAATACGCCATTATATCCATAATTCGTTTTTCAATTACGATAAAACGGTTTGACGGGTTTTGCTCAAATGATGTAGTGTTTTGACTTGTAAAATTTTTTGACTAGACCCAAGAAAATATATAAAAGAATATGCTAAATAATTTGATGTCTAACTATTTCTTAATAATAGTGCCAAGTCTGTTGCACCACTCTCTGAACTAATTAAACTAAAAAAATGTAACGTTAGACTAACTAAAATTTGTTTAACGCCATTCAATAGTCATATAAAGGCAATCAAATACTCCTATATAAAATATAGTAATTTTACCTCTGTAATCTTATTTTCAGTTTAATTGGATTAAACTTAAATTAGTTTGTGCCTAAACGTAAACTGAAACGAATTAGCGCTATATTAAGTTAGCGCGAAGTTGTCTTAGCCAATAATATGGCGTCATTACGTTTCATTTTACTACTTTGACATGTCTTGTATTGGTCTTTTGTTGATAAACGACTAAGTTTAATAACACCGTTAAATAACACTGCTGTCAAATCCGTAATTACCATTCTTTAGAATTCATTCGTCGTTATTGCAGTGCAAGTCAAAGTAGTTAAAATGAAACGAAATATCGCTTTAACATTGCTAAGATGTCGTATTCTCTGGCTAGAGATATGGCTAAAGGGTTAGGTTTAGGCGGTCGAGCCCCAGGACACCATTAAAACCAGGGACTGTCTCGACTCTTAACCCAACTTAATTCTCGATATTAAATACAAAACAAAATTACTTACATGATACTATAATAAAGTCCGATTGTGTTACTGTACACTTCTTCAAATTATTAGATATTTGGAATAAGTGATATTATCATAATTTAAATAGAAAAAAAAAGTTTTTTTTTTCTTGGAAATAACCGGTAGCGATAGGTGGTACAGAGGATATTTATAGGTGTATATAGCATCTCCTATAAGATTTATTGAAACCCCTTTATATGGTTGCTTTGAAAAACAAAACTCAATATATATATTTTTAAACAAAATTAACTTCTTTGCCCTCGCCTTTATCCGCTACGGTCAGCTTTTCTAACAATGTCCCGCCATTTGTTGCGGTCATACACGTCGTTGTGTTTCAGTGAAAAATTTTTTATGTCCATTTGGGCAGTTGTTAGCCATGTGACTGGTGGTCTACCCTTTCCTATTTTATTTGTTACGATTGAAAAACCTCACCACAAATTTGTCTGGTCTACGCATCATATGACATAACATGCAAATCCAACATTAGCTCAGGTTGACTGGTTGACGCCATTTGTATTATTTTTTATTTAATGCAATAAAGAGTAAATAAATAAATAAATATGACCATACCACCTGAGTCTGGATTTAGCAAGTTTATTGGCAATTGGGGCCACATTTGGTCTACCTCGGATATATTCATTACGAACTTTATCTTTGAATGTGATACCATTCAACCATCTCAGGTTTCGCATTTTGGCCGTGTTGAGATTCTGTGTGTGTATGTTTTTAGCAGCACGTTTTTCAGTGCCATATAGTATCGCTGCTCTTATTGCTGTCTTGTACACTTTGCTGTTCTTACTGATATTCTTATATCACAAAATCCTATAATTTTCACCCTGCTCTAACTCTGCGCGTAACATCCGCGTCTATCGTGCCATCCTCTGATACCACAGATCTAAGATACGTGAATTTGTTAACTTGTACGAGGGTCAAACTGAAAGTTCTTAGAAAATCAAAAACTGATTACATTAGCCAGTTATTAGTTTTATTATATCTTTTCAAAATATTGTCCATTCACGTCAATACACCGCTGCATGCGATGGAACCACTGGGAAAAGCACTTTGCCCACTCGTCCTTAGGGGTCTCTTCAATGGCATCGCGATACGCAGCCACCGCTTCTTCAGCATTCATAAACCGCTTTCCTTTAAGTTTTTCTTTAATTTTTGGAAATAAATAAAAATCACAAGGCGCGAGGTCGGGGCTATACGGCGGGTGACCCAGTAATTCAACGTTTGATGTCGCCAAATAGTCGATCGTTCGCTTGGCGGTGTGCGACGAGGCGTTGTCGTGGTGAAGGAGGATCCTACTGCGAGGTCGTTTCTCTCGAACTTTTTCCAAGACAAGTGGCAAACAATTGGTAGTGTACCATTCTGCAGAAACTGTTTTTTGATCCTCTAACACAATTGTTGCAAAATGACCTATCCTTCCAAAGAACGAGGCCACCATTTTTTTTCCCGCACTTCGATCTCTCTTCACTTTAGTTGGCAACTCCTCGAAAGGAAACACCCACTGAGCAGATTCTCTTTTGGTTTTAGGATCATAACAGTAAATCCAGCTTTCGTCACCTGTTAGTATGTCGAACACAGCATTTGAGTCACCTCCGTTAAATCTTTCAATCATTTTACGACACCAATCCACACGATGGAGTTTTTGAGCCTCAGTCAAATTATGAGGTATCCACCGGGCGCAAAGCTTCCTGACCGCTAAATGTTCGTGGAGGATTTTGTGCACTTGACTCATACCGATGCCTAAGCTTGTCCGAATCTGTTGATAGGTCACTCTTTTGTCAGTCTCTATCATACGCCGCACAACACAGATGTTATCTTCAGTCGTCGCCGTAGAAGGCCGTCCCTCACGTAAATCATCAGTGAGATTAGTGCGACCACGTTTAAACTCATTAAACCAGTTGTAAACAGTCGCACGAGATGGGGCTTCATCGTGAAAGGCCAATCGTAGTCTATCATAACTTTCTTGTTGACTTAAATGACATCGAAAGTCATAAAAAATCATTGCACGAAAATTTTCTCGTGTTAAATTCGTGATGACGTGACACAGACAATTTTCAATTTGCCGCCAAATCGTAAAACAAATGACAAATGAATGAAATATATACTCAGTAATATTGGCAAAGAGTTATATTTTCAAATTTTAGAATTATTTTTTTATTATATTGTTTATAAGTGGCCAGTTCTAAGAACTTTCAGTTTGACCCTCGTAGCAGCTTGAGGTTGTTTAATGTGATAACAGTATCGGTTCGCCCATGGTTTAAGTGGCAGACCATGTATTCTGTTTTGGTCCTGTTTATTTTCAATCCTTTATTTTGCAGTGCGTCCCTCCATTGCCCGAAATTTTTGCTGTCTGCATAGCAAAGTTAAGGATCCTATCTCCATCTGAATTTTGGCTTCCATAGCCAAACCCACCGTGAGTTTCGTCGTATATATCTACCTTATTACCCACGTGCCTATTCATATCACCACAGATAAGTTTCTATTCCTGGTTTGGAATGACTCTTATTAAAGCATATAGTTCTTCCCAGAACTCATCCTTATCAGCTTCAGGGCAAATTGTTTGTGGGGCATATAGCTCATCCATGGTAGGCCATCCAAGGCGAGTTTTATGATATAGTTCGGTCACTGATTCTATTTATTTCTACTATTTTGCCGTGTGTGCCGTGATTGAGCACCTTTCTATTTTTTCTCATGTACGCAGCATATATCTTTATTCCTTCTTTCAAGTATGTATCGCACCTAATTCAGAGCTTCGTCCACTCGCGTCTCGACTACTGGAATCAAGCTCTGGTTCTACTTTTCGTCGCTTGTGGAGAACGCCCTAATATTAAACGCATCTTAAGCTGTGCCGTCACTTAAGGGGGAGCGCCGTATTATTCCTCATCTATGTTTTTCTATTGTTGAATGACATTTTTAGTGTAGTTTCTGGCGAAATATTTTTACGACCGGCTGCCGCCTGACATCAAGGTAGTATCTCTCATGGAGAGATGTGGATGCTGCTATTTTGACCGAAGTCTCTTCTGTCGCCAGTATTTCAACACCGCCCTACCTAGCAGAGTAGTACAGGAAACTGTGACCTCAATATGTGAGGCCAGCTTGCCGTTAGGTTTTACCTCTTCCACCTGCTCTGCCGTGAGTGGCTACCACCTCCGCCATCGCAACCGTTGAGGACTTCACCCGTAACCCTGGGCAAGGGTCCCTCGCTATACCCCGCAGACCTATGTATATTGCTATGTATATGGCGTCGTAAGCTTCAATGTGGAGCACTTAACAGGTTGTATCATATTCAGGTTTTAAATAAGCAATTCAACGTTTGTACACACAGAAATTATATAAGCGACGCATGCCGGAGGCACAGGTATGATCTTACACATGGGCAAGTAGTGCCAGACATCTCTGCCTGTGGTAATGAAGTTACTGCAACGCACAATAACAATACGAAGATAACTACTTAAGCGACTTCTTTGACAGTTAATTTTAAACAAAATTAACTGCCATAAATATTTTAAATAAGGAGATTAGATTATAAACGTGACATATTCACACGATTGAGAAGTTATTATATATTTTACGAACTTAAATGAAAAACTTCCAAAGATATAAAGGTTTACATAGTATGTAGAAAACAGCTGGAGTAGTAAGGGATTATATCGCTTCGATTAATTCAGTGACTGCACATCAGGTTACCACAATATGTAAAATTTTTCCATTTGATTTTAAGCCTTACACTCAAAACATTAAGGTTTAAAACCAAGTGGAGAAATTCGACAGATTTGTAGAACCTGATGTGCTGTTGACTACACCATTTGCTTCGTATTTATATAGAAAAGCTTTACGTTCAATTAAAAATCACCATTATTAAACATTTTGGGACTTACTTTTGAAACGTATATTATTATTAGATATGATATTTGTATTTTTTAAATTATAATTTAAAACACGAATTTATAAGGTTTATACTTATGTACCTTGACCCTTGTTGATAGATATTATTTATTATTAAAAGAAACATATTCTTAAATATCATGTGATATATTACAAATAAAAAGTATTATTAACTTATTAAAGAATGTAAAAATGTAAATATTAAGCTTATAATAAATCATTACTTGTTTTTCTTGTACAGAGTTTTTTTTTATTTTCTTTAAAGGATTAATTATAAAACCTAGCACGTGTAAATAGTTACCTAAAAATAGATCTCAATGAAAAATGCACTATTTCCTGGCACTCTGAGATGGGACTCGCTCGTACCCATGATCTTACGCAATCTGGGCGACTGCACTAACCACTGAGCTACTCTGGACCTAACAGGACTATCGAATTTTTAAGTACTTGCTATTTTTCGCTACTCCGGAGCGTATTTTCATCCACGCTCAAGCAATCCATACAAACAGCCTAAAATAATTATTTTTATAAATATTTAAACTTTCGGTTGTTAATTTATTCGAGTTCCATTTCAAAGTGTCAGGGACAAAGTTGGATTTTCTAAGCACTTTTCAGCAGAGCATTGCGAATGCAAAATTGATCAAATATAATAATAAAAAAGATCTTAATGATCTAAGCCTTGAGTAAATTAGGTAATTTAGTTGAGAATAATCAATCACTTTATTGCCGACGACTTTATGCAGTGTTTTTACAATAATTGCAGTTTGCGATACATCGTAATCAAAAATTGTTTTCAATTAGTTAATTTTGAAATGAATTTTTGAGGAGCAATTTGCCATCCTCTTTCGGCTTAACACCTCCTCTTATTATCCTCCTAGTATTATTTTGTCTTAAAAAAAAGTCATTTCTTAAATATTTAATATTTAAAGAAATATTTAAAAAATATGTGTTGTAAAAATGGAATATCCAGTTTTATAAGAATAATTTCAATATTGGGATATTATGACAAAAATGAAAAACGATACACAATTTAACAAATAAATAGTGTATTTAATTAGAAATTAACATTTCATACTATTTGTTACAATAATCTATTTTTAAAGAAAATAGATATAATAACTTTCATATCCTAATAAAATATTATTTATTTTAGGCTGAATGAAAAAAAATACAGATTATGCAGGCGGTTAAATTACACATCTACCTGATAAATATGGCTGTTTAAAAAAACTACGACGATACAAGACCAAAAATTGTTTTAAACATGTTGAATATTAAAATATGTACTTATATAAACTTTGCGTACGTTGGAGCGCACTTTACACCTTAGAAACTAATACGATTGAGAGAAAAGACATTGAGAAAATTCCGAAAACTTACATCTATCTGGTACACGACAGAATTATGTAATTTATAACAATATTTCAAGCTTCGTCATTAACTTTCCTACATTCATTATTCCTAAGGCCGGTACACTTTATTCGTCATACTTACAATAACACACTTCAAGTAGGTAATATAATAGAGTTTTGAATATTCAACTATAATATATTTAATTACATTAAACTATTGCGTATTTTGTAATCATATTACAATGTTATAATATATTAAATGTATATATATGTATTTTGAATAACAAAGACTGATTTACACGGATCACCGGTTATTCGTGTAGGCCTGACCTTATCTATAAAGGTATACGGGCAGGTAAACAATTTAGTAATAAGCAATGGTCCGTTTAAAAGAGTCTAGTTCATAACTGGCTTATTACTATGAGTAGTTAAGTTATAAATAATAAAAAAAATATTAGAAGCGTAAATGAACATAAATGTAACTTATGAAGTACTAAATGCAACGCGTGACTATATTAATATATGTTCACGGAAATATTTGAAACTATTATTCACAGGCACCGTTATCTTAATCTAACAAATGATCAAAATTATTTAAATGGACTATTCACACAAGAGCAGACGCATTTTATTAAAATGAAACGAAAACTTTTATTTAATATCTAATTTTTAAATCTCACTAATATTTTTATTTGAAGACTTCCGATGTACATTCTTTTACATAACATTAAATAGTTTTATCGTCATTTAATTAAGTAGAAACACATTTTGTATGTTGTCTGTTTTAGTACTTGTTTTAATTTGAGCGCGAATAAAATTTGCAGCATCTTAATTAATACAAAACGACCAATTGCAAAACAGTTATACATACATTAGAGTCCTAGATACATAGATTTACTTTTAACTATGAAATGCAGATACCGTTAACTTTAATAGACACAAACATATATCTATAATTATATTGCAGGACGATGTTATAAACACAATAAGTTTGGCACATTGCAGAAAGTAAATGGGTTATTTTAATTAAAATGTCTATATAACATTACTTGAAAGAAAACGAATTTATAAAATAATATACCAAATTAATACAATTTAGTGGTTCTAATGTAAAAGTATCATATAGATGCCACAAAAGCTACTTGCAAATACTAGCAAGGTAAGTACAGTTTCAAGTTAGCATTAAGAACTTGTAAATGTCTATTACATAACTAAATATCTCTGAAGTAATACCGCATCGATTATTTATTACAGATGATATGTCATTTGAATAATTTTATAACACTGATTATAACTGTACTTACCATATTAAATTCAAATACAGCCATTTTTTATTGCAGCTAAAATGACGCTTACCAATAATAAGTAAACTTCAGATTCACATATCTACTATACACAGCTTTAATTTTTTATATAATTTATAATTTGTTTCCTTTTCACTAAGAAAAATCTGTCTAATCATTACTTTTTTACTTATTGCCATGCGTCATATAAGTTTAACAACAAATTTAGTGTTAATAAAAAAGACTTTCAATTTCTACTGATATCTATATAGCTAAAATTTAAACTTTACGAAACGGTGACAAAATCTGATCAGTTTAAGACTTTAAACAGGCTATTGATTTTCTAATGAAATAAAATAAGTATTTTAAGAGACACTCGATAGTGTATACTTTTTAGCATTACTACAGAGTAATCTTGTTATACTAAGATAGTTATTTGAATAAAAGCAATGCTGAAGTCTATTATACGCTTTCTTTAGGTAAAGTGGTATACAGGATGAAACATTTTGTACCAAGAACCAGTTTATTAACACAGGTAATATTAATAACAGATATATGAAACATATATAACGAATATTGTGTATGGTAGCGTCATTTTTTGAAAAAATATTTTTAATTTCGATGTTTAAGACTTGAGAAGTTTGTTCGCTCGCTGGTTAGCGACTGCTATGCGGGTTTCGTTGCTCTCACCCTATAATATGCAAATAATGTATTAAAAACAAATAAAATAAAATATGTATGCGATAATTTGCCAGTCTTCCTTTAAGGAAATGGCAAATTAATATAATACTTTTAGCATATTTATAATATACAATACGTTAAAAATATTGTAATTTCTATCATATTATTTTATTATTAGCTTAAAAAAGTACTTAGATATAGAAAGTTGTGAAAGTAACAAACAAAAATATATGAGAAAACAAACAAATACATAACAAATGAAAGGACGATTGTAACGATTTATTTTAATAAACAGAAAAGAATAACAAAAGAGATTGTTTTTCAAAAGAAACTCAGAAAGAAAATAACGGCGATTAGGTAACATAGAAAAGATGAAGGAAACCCCTTTGAAGACATAAAAAATACAATATATTTGAAATACATTAGAAAAGAATCGATGTCACATATTTATAAGAAAAAATAATTAAGAGGCTATAGAACACAATTGATATTGTCTTTTGATCATTATATTGTCTTGTATAACCTAAACAAAGCCGTGACTTTACTAAGGAAGCTTTAAAAGATCTGTTACAAGTTTCGTTGAGTTTTTTATACTTCAGATAGCGAATAGACCATAACAAACAAAATGCGCACACAAACAATAATGTTCAAATTTCACACTTTACTGTTTCAGTCTAACTATATATGGCTGTCAAGCGTATTGGATTATGGATCCCAAATCAAACGAAACATATTCCCGTTTGAAGGCATTATAAGTAAGAAAGCGTTGCTTTTATTTTAATCAGCCTTGGTACGACGAATAAATAATTTTAAAATTAGCATCACGTTGATGTCATTATTGGAGCTTTTGGTATTCAGATCTTGTACTTATAAAATGGACATTCGATATATCGTAGAATATTTTATAGTCTATCCTTTTAATGCCGTAAAGAGCACGTAAAAATTGACGATATATCTAAATTTTGGTTTTAAAGGTACACAGTCAAAATGGTTTCGTCTAAAGGCAGTTTTCTTGCCGTAGGTTATTGGTTACATCGAACCAAACAAATAGTTTTGGTTTTACCTCAAAATTATGTAACACGCACCGACTTAGCATTTAGTAAAGTCAGGCTATACATGTCAAAGTGAAAAGCAAAAAAAAACTGTGAATAGCTTGCTTATATAAGAATATAATACAAGCTGTGGTCAGCTCGGTGTTTGTAAAAATAAATTATTAAAATAACAATATACTCACGGTCTTCATCGATGTGTTGTGTGTTTGTGTTAGTGTGGATGTGTGTATCTCGTGGTTCACAACATACCCTTATTTAGTTGCTCAATGTTTGGTTATTAATTAGTTTATTTACTTCCCTAATATATATATTTTAAATTATAAATATGATTGTTTTCGAAACCTACATTTTCGATAGAAGCTACCGATTTTTTTTTAATTTTTTTTTAAAGTTATTCGATATTATTACTCAAATTGGTAGTTTATTATATCACTCTAGATATACTATATTAGGTAAAACAATATCTTTAGTCAAAATGAAAACAAAAAGAAAAGAAAATAACGTTAAAAGTGAAATAATTTATTTTCTCAAAAGAAAAAAAAAATTAAATTCATAAAATAATTTTTCCTTACAATAATAGCAATTTTATTCTATTCCAAATGTAGATATTCCATAGAAGCAGATATGTACAGATATGTGGATCGACAACAAACTGTTATCAAATTGGTCTATATAATACAATATATAAAGAGCAATATATGTTATAATAATACTGACCAAATCCAATGATAAAAAACGTTTTATTTCATTTATTCGTTTCTGAATACTAAAACTTCATAATCAAATACATATTATCAACCAATTTCACATAAACATAAATGCTCCTATGAAATAAATAAACATTATACATATTAAACAAAAATGAGATCCGACAAATTTCAGATCGCCATTACATACTGAGAAGACTTAATGATCAATAATTACATTAATTTTAATTTCAACCTACTATCACATATCGATTCATCCCTTTCATTCTCATTCATAAGTTACATTCATTCGCTCTTTATTAAATTATTGGAATTAAACCAAATATACTCATACAAATGAAATTGAACTTAAAAAAGAGGTAATAATGACTAAAAATATGTGTACTAGGAAATTTTGCTGTAACATTGATACATTGTAATTAACGCTTGTTTTTTAAGATTTCACCCATAAATAACAATATTTAGCAAAAACTACGTATAATATTTGTATTATTTAATATTATAAACATTTTGCGTTAAGCAATTATGGTCTTTAGCGTTAGATATTTACGAGTTTACTACAATGTTAACGAGGTAAATGTATGTTCTCAAAATAACGATTATCGACTAAGTATCTACTTGTATTTTGTTTTTTTTTTTATCTTTATTTGGAATATAGAAGATTTCATAGTTACAGTGAATATTTTAGACAGCATTTTGAATTTCAATAACTAAAGGGGATGGTTGACATACCGGCGCCGGTTGCAGAACCATTCAACATTTATTATTATATTAATTTTTGATTTGGTCGACTTCAAGCACATTGTATATAACAAATGTTTCACATTTTAAATAAAGTTTGGATGGAAAGCTAAAACTATACAACAATTCATTGGAGAAGACGTTTTTCAAAAATAACAAACTACCGTCTTACGTTTTTAGTTTAGCATTATAAAACTATATATCGACGGATTTGTTACAGCGACAAATATATTTATTATATTGCAATTTAAGCAATTTCTCTAAATAATAACGTGCTGCGGTGTGTACATATATTTTTGGTATTCGATTTTCATTCACTTTTGTTCTAAGTGTAGACGGTCAAACCCTTGCTGTTGAAAGGAAAAGAATCAAAAAAGTCCGTTGTTAATATTCTCTATAGAACAAAATATAAACTCAAGATATAACTTATCATCAGACGAATTTGTACAGTATTATATGGAAATTAGGTTCCATATGGGATGTAAAGTATTAAGATTTTTTCCCATTTAAGATGGCACGCTATGGTTCATTCATATTGATTGTCTATTAATGGCGCTGCTAATGCTTTAATTTGTTGATTTTTTCATCAAGAAATTTTTTGGTTTCAATTACTATCAAATATTGTGCTTTTATAGCACAATATTGTTATGTGCAGTAAACACAACAGTGCCTAAAAATTTTTTTTTCCTTAAAATAATTGATGTACTGTCGTGTTAGCGAATTGGGTTATTTTATTTGTCTAATTTAAAATGGTCCAAAAAGTAGCCAAATTTCGTACATGCATCATTATATTGAGCTTTATGTGCAAAATATTTAATAATAAATCAATAGGAACATTTTCATAAAAAAAATCAACAAATAAGAACAGCGCCATCTATTAACAGTCGAAACGAATGAAACCATAACGTTTTATTTTTAACGACAATGCGATTTGACCAGTGAGGTGTCCGCAACCGGTGCATCGCACCACGAGACCGCATGTATGTAGTGTACTGAATTCCGCTGTCCTTTACTTGAGTAGCTCGTGTGCACGCTGATTCGCCAGAGTTATCCTCGTTTCGTTCGATTCACCCTAAGGAGAATAGCGTTTCGTTTCTGCTTCCATCATCAACATACATCACACTGCGACTGTTCTATCATTTATTTCGAAGTGTTTTAATCATTATGCAGGCAGTGGCGTAGCGTGGACTGATCTAGACGTGGGCGAAGTCCCATCAGCGAAGCCCTTTACAGTACCCGCAGGCGTACCGTATTAATAAATTGACTTTTTTTTTGTTAGACATTGGATTCGTTTAAAACGCACGCAACGTTCAATACTGTATTGAACGTACCCATTGCATCTAAAAATATAGTATTGAACGTTAATTGCATTGTCATTGAATCTAATGCCAACCAAATTAAAGCTGCAACGCGGTAGCCCTGTTCCGAAAATGTATTCAATAGATCTATTTCACCTTGTTTATTTGCACATATATTTTTCATATTAAATATCTAGTAAGTATCGTATTTAGTCCATCTGGCGGTACAGGTCCCGCAAGGCCTCTCGAGTTCCATTTACTGTGAGGCCATAGGCGAGAGGCCGCTTCACCCAAGCCTAACTACGCCACTGAATGCAGTAACAACAATTCAGTCTTTTTGATAATGTGACGTCACTCGGTGGATGAGTGTTACTGATGAGGTCTCTTTTGGAAGGTATGTAAGTCAATGAATGTGATTATCTAACTTTGGGTACACAATGACAGTGTCGACAGATGTGTTCTGAAGTATCGTGACATGTCCCATGAGGTTATAAACGGCACATCGAGGAGAGAGAGCTTTTTTAATCACAACAACCAATCAATTCTAGCCATACACTACGAAAGTCTTATGGAAAACATGCGTTTCAGAACAATAGATTATGTGATAACACGCTAAAGTAAATTACAAAACAAAATCCGAATTGAAAAACGGATAAATAAAATCCACACCAGTTGTGGTGTGGATTTTAAATAAACTTTGTTAAGAAAAAGAAAATAGATTTTATTCGTAGTAAGTTAAGTTAGCTTTAAATATAGTAAGCTGTGACTTCCTACGAATTCGTATTCAGATATTCTTATGTATATTCACTAATCCTCGCATTAACACATATGTCTATTGCTACATAATTGAAGAGATCAGAGTGACAGGCTGCCGGGAAAGCTAGTGACTGAAATTTCGAAGGCCAATTAAGCGATAGACAGTCCATAGATAGAAGGAGAGACAAGGGCGAACTATTCTCACTTGCACTTCTAAAAGTGATAGGCAAACATTTAGATGGTGAAATGACAATGATAAATTGAGACCTGGTAAAATTTTAATTTGATTAAAGTTTTACCGCGCCCCTGGAAACACCAATAGATAAAAAATGTAAATCAAAGATCACTGAAAACCTTCAATACAACAATTATGAATAAGTATTCAGCTATTGTTGTATATAGTTTTTCTTTTATATATATATTTACAGAATAATCACAATATATTGCAAAAGTGCAAACGATTCCTTAAATATGAAGTTTTTTAAATAAGAAAATTTAACTGTGCTACAACGAGAAAATATTTTTTTAACTAATCACTAATATGAAAGTAGTGATAGTGGTACTTCGTTTGTAACATTTCTGTCAATTATTGACACGAAACTATAATGTAAAATGAGCCAGTTTTCTTTAGGGGTAACATGATATCAAAATTAAATTTGTGGTCATAAAAATATTCGAATATTGGGTATTATAATAAACACAGAGAGCTAAAAAAATATGGCGACTTATTATTAATTCGCAAAATTAGAAAGAAAATCAGAACGTATGTCATGGATCAATTAGTTGGCGCTTGCTGTAACATTTACTCATTATCGTTTTTTTAATCATTTTTAATCTAATATTTATAATTTAGTTCACAAAGGTATTGCATAGTGTACAATCTTTCAATATAAAATTTAGGAGACCAAATACTGCCATATTGCTTAACGAGGTAAAATATATTTACGAAAATTATAAATTAATTGCTCACCAATCGGTTGCACTTTTGGATTAATAAGATATAGTAATTTCAAAACGGTCTTTTCGGAGAGACCACCAAAGAACAAAGCCATCAGTAAACATAATTAATTGGTAGATTTGAAGTGTGCCAATTAAAAAAAAAAAATCTATTAAATTTTAATTGCAATATATTATTACTTTATACTAATAATATAATGAGGAAAGATTTGATTGATTGTTTATTTCCTACGGGAAGCTACATCATACGATGGTGACATAGGCTATAATTTACTCGGCAAACAGCTATATATTTAAGAGTTGTACAAAATAGAGCTAAATTAAATTGTAAATATCTTTGTTTTAAAAGTCATAAATACATTATGGTAAAAATATTCGATGAAAACATATAGTTTATACCGACATATAGATGTCACTCGAAGTAAACTCTTAAAAGATTGTAAAACTTAGCAGCAATGTTCAGTAGTGATCTCACCATTCAACCGACTGGACGTCTTCTAATGTAATTATAAAAGCTGTATCTAATTCGTACCTTGCGATTGATGCGATCGATCTGACGGTTTTGGTTTTCAAGTTCGGATCCCATGTCGAGTGCCATATTACGCAGATTACCAATCATAGTGTTCACTTGGCCCATGTTCTCTTCCATCTCGTCTTCGCGGGCATCATTCGTTATCCTAAATTGCATTATAATTTAATAATAAGAAATATAAGGAGGTGAAATATCAACATTTACATTATCCGATTATTCAATGACTATCTTCGAACAGATTTTGTCTTATTCATTTTGCAGAAACGACATCAAAAGCGAGACAAACGAAAAAAGATCATGAGGGAAACTAGTGATCAGTCCCGGCACTCCCGGCTTCGGACAGATGCATTTTACATAAAAATAAATTATTCCTATAACTTCAATGATATGTGGTTCCACTTCAGTTCAAAAAAAATTTTCTGTGTTACAAGCTACAGTTACGTAATAGTGCTGTAGTAGTACAGTAACTTACTACATAAGATTAATTATAGGAGTCCAAAATGGGTTCCCTAGGGTACACTTAAACTTGCAAGTTTATAGGAACAGCTGATACAGATGTAACTATGATCTGACATAAACTGCCTGTATAAGATTCTATCCACCTACCTAAAATATTACTATTCCTTAAGATTTTTGAGACTAGGGTATCAAAACAGATTTTATCAAACGCTTTAGCAAAATCTGTGACTTGTGACGGTCAAAATTATATTAAGACAGAAGGTTAAAAGTCGCGGAGACTTGATTCTATAATAAGTAAACGTTAAATACTTCTTTATGCATTTAGACAGCAAATTGGTTCTGACCTTCCTATGTATCCAGCTTGTGGTCCTATACCGTTGCGCTCGTCCATTACTCGTTGTGGTTGGTTGTTCACCACTTTTCCATCATCGTTTCCTTTCCACGTGCCATCGTCTTCCTTGAATGATGCTCCCCTGGAATATAAGTAAAACTGCATCACAAACTAAGAATCAATTAAATCATAGAAGTTGTAATTATGATATTTTGATAAATTAAGTGAAGTATATTTATAGGACCTCATTACGGGGCAGGACTGACGAAACAATACCAGCAAACGTTTGTTTATAACGTCAACTTCATGAATTATTTCCTTACGTTGAATTAAATAACACACACACAATCCAATAAATGTTTGGATGGTTCGTGAAAGACTAATATCCGCGCAATCCGACTCTCATTATTAAGTATAATTTTCACTGACATTGGTCACTGATAGCGGAGACAAACTGGTTACATATTCTCTTTGAAATGGCGGACAATGTCCAACCTAGCCTAATTTGCGTTCTATTATTTTTAAATTACACGTACTTATTGCATGGCAGGACACAGATGCCGCAACATTTTTCCATTCCTGAGAGATTTTTTTCGGCTTCACGCATGTCCGCGTTGATCTGATCCATTCCCTCTTCGATTCTGTCCAATTGTTCTGTTCACACACACCAACAAACGTTTTAAATCCGAACTTATAAGCTTATTTTGATTAGTGTTGAAGCGCCTACAGATATGGAGCTATTTCATCGAGTAATTTAAATGCACGTTTATAATTTTAATTATCATCACTTGGTTATTATTTTATTGTCAATTGTAAATTCTCAACGCTCTCGACAATCCCGAGCTAAGTGTAAGACATTAGTTTCGTAAGGTTATGAACATTACTGAACCTTTATTGTAACTAGTTAGTCATGCAAGTTGGTCGACTCATACCTACAGCTAATACCATGTTATTTTCGATGTAGCACTAAAGCAACTATTTATGTACGTTTTAAATATTCGATAGGCTTTAATTCATGTCTTACACTTGATCCGGTAAACTAATACTGCGATTTATTACCTTGATTAAATGATGTCATGTGCTGAGACTAAGTGATTATATTACTATACTCGTATTAACTAACATTTAGAGTATCAATAATAATATCATAAAAAAATACAAAAATCATGCAAACAGCAAGTATAAGAATCGTGCACAGCTATATGCGTGAGAAAAAAGATGGCCACAATTAGTGCTAAGCGGACGAATCGAGTGTCATGTGTGAATCAGCAACCATTGCTGTTGTGGTGAAGCGTCATCTGATTAGAGCGCACCTAGAGCTAGCAATGAATATTGACACGCACACTGATGATCAGATCGTACGCCAAGCACTAAATGAAGCCTAAAAGAAAATAATTTAAACTGTTAAAATGAACAAGACAGTCAGCGGCCCATTCGCCAAGGCAAGCGGGCCTGAATATTTCACGGATGCAGTTTAGTCACTAGTTTTAAGTTAATGTGATTATGACATTTTTACCTTTAATTGTCCTTTATAAAGAAACTGTTAGCAGATTTTCAATTGGTATCGTTAAATAGAGGTAACATCGCCATTCAATGTACTTTCTCAAATTATCTGAACTGACATTTCAAACAGAAGCTGTACTAAAATATAATGAATGATGCATAATAGTAGGTACTACTGGATGCTTACCGCCCTGTTCATCCAGCATGACCAGGGTTTTCATGCCCACCTCGTGACTCTACAACACAATAATGATGTCACTATAGCTCGCCAAACGAATGCGGTGAGGAGTCGGGAGCGACGCAGGCGCCGCCCGGGACAACTCAATACCGAACTCAAACTGAACTGAACAGAAAATAAAATAAAACAACCGCGGTGCCCGCGTCGTCCTATGGTGGGGACGCGCGCGCCACGGGTGATCATGAGAAAATAAATCAACTTAGCAAATGAGCGTAACCATAAAGCCATTCCTAAATGAAACGTGAATATAGCAAAAGTATTGATTTAGTTGAAGAAGAGAACAAACTAATATGTGGTGTGGCGAGGATCGAGCGGCGCGGAGGAGGCGCCGCTGCCTCGCGGACAGACACAGACGCATCGAGCTAACAGTTAACAGTCCTACGTCTAACATTAATAGTACGCTGCTAGCCATGGAGATGAAGGCGTTATACCATACTCTATACGTCCAACAGATACACGAGGTAAACGCGCATTCATTTCAGTACCGCAGTATCATTACGAGAAGAGAGTAGATTCGGAAAGACAAATAAATATACCTATTAAAAAGCGTTCCCATCGATATATATCAACGGAAGAACTAAACAGATTGCGCAGCTCATTCAAATTAAATCTTCAGCTAAAGATAGAGTAATAGTCTTTTGCGACAATTAGCAACGAACGGCCATCGGGCTTATCTATTTACACTATATATAACTTTAAGTCATCCCCATCGAAACATAGATACACACGCAACATCGATCTCAGATAAGTCGTTATTCAAGAGAAACGTCAAAGAAAAAACAAAGAGATTAATTTATTTAACTGCACATTCAACACAGACGTTCTCACGTTTCGACTACCCATTTTCAGTTTAACTCTTACCGCCCTGGTGACTCAACATATGAAGCGCTTGCCCCCCGGCGTCCTCGCTCTATACATAAAATAGAAATCAAAATAATATATCGTAGGAGAGAGTATCTGGGGTGTGTGGGTTGCGGGGTGCGGTGCGCGGGGTGCGCGGGTCGCGCGGACGCGTGCGGCAGCGTGGCGGCGGCGGCGTGTTTCGCGGCGCTACAGCGCTACGGGTGCGGGCAGCGGCGGGGGGCGCGGGGGGACCACTGCGCCCGCGCCCTCCGCCGCTCACACACTACCTACTCCATCCACAACGACATGCATGCATTCAAGCTTGCAAGTAAAACCAGATTCAGTTTCATCTGTGCTCAGTTTCATATGATTCATGATTATTCTGTGTGATGTTAAGAGTCGTGCGTTGAGGAGAAGCGTTTCGAATTTACTTTGCTCGTTCATTAAACGTTTTATGTGATTTAGGTACAGTTGTTTATTCGAGAGTCGAGTTCGAACATCTGAAATGCAGAATGTAAGTATCGTCCGATAGAAAATTTTCGTTTGTAATAATGTGAACTCGTTCGTCCTGCTTGACGTTCGTAAGGAGATAAGATCTCGTTGTTAGTTGTGCAAAGTGGTGTATTTATCTACATAACGAATATAACATACAAAGATGTGGGTTTTCCGTGATCACCTCGTTGTGTGTGTCATAAAATGTTAAAGGTGGATGTTTTTAAAGGATGCCCGCACCTTTGTATATGATTAGCGGTGACCAAAATTTTCATACATTTTGCACGTTATGCCCCCTTACTCTTCTAAAACGGCAAGCCCGTCTTCGGGTCAGCTGAAAACCCTACGACGCTCCAACAAGATTAGCGAAAAAGGTAAAATAGATAAAACTGTAAATAATGTAGTGTTGCAAAGTTAGCAGATCACTCACCTCCCTGGTCATCTAGTGCGACCAGAGTACGTATGCCGGCCTCCTTGCTCTACGCCGCAAAAACAAAAAGTCACAGAGCATGTTAGTTGTGAGGGGTACAGTGGAGTGAGTGGATAGTACAGATCAGCCGCAGTTCACAGCCGTGTGCTTGTCGAGAGTACTGTTGTAGTTGCAGTTATATTACAGTGTCACACGAAGGATGACATCTTTTGTGCCCTGCATTATTTATACAACAGCGACATTATTAACATTTATACTCGAATATTTAAAAAAATATTGCAGGTATTCAAAGATGTCCTCCCTTGCTGTCTGAACTGTGATGTATAGAGTTGTCAGGAGTCTCTTCTGTGTGAAGGACAATATTGTTATGTCAGATAAACCACATACTAGATAATAATAAGTTTAAATCGAATGTTTCAGATAAAGAAAGTTCATAAATAATACGGTAATATTATTTTTTATTCAAAAATATATAAAGTAAATAAACATTAAACATAATACAAGACACATACATGATTATTTGTAATACTAATTGGTCTGTATTTTGTGTGAGAGTTGAAGGTGTAGCTCGATTTTTGTAGGAGTCCAGTGGCAGGTACGGGGGTGTGTTCGCGCCCATATACTGGTAGTATTGTGAATGTTCAAGAGGCATGAAAATCATACAACATAATAGATTTACAGTTAACAACAGAGAGCAGCCACTACACAGAGACCAAAATACAGAGTCAACTAAAACAGGTTAGAACGAACATCAACATACACTGATCACAACAATTTCATAACCATTAAGGTAATCAGTAGGTGTTGGGTGTCATAGACCAAGAGATACAGTTAGAGGCAAATCATATCGTAGATAGAAATATGTTGACAGTGTCTATGAAGAGATAAGATCTAAAGTTGAAAATATAGATATAAGAGCGGTGAAAGGTGCGTTTGATAGTAGTGACCCAGTCTCAAAAGGCAGATTGGCATTAGGAAGTCAAAGTAAATACAACGTTGTAAAAAGTACAAGGGTTTTTATTGGAAGCAAGCCGAAGCAAAACGGATAGACTATTAATAAGACAGAAAGCGCACTTCTGGGTCATATAACACTCTAAATGGGATACTAACGTTTGAGAAGTAGTTTCAACTAATATGGGACAGGAATAATTTTCTATGTTCGACAAATGGGCTTCATGCTTTGGAACCAAAAACAACGAATTGGGCTATTAAATCAAGAGCTGACGGTTAATTTTTAATATAATCAATGAATCTGTTTCGTCATAAGAGAAACATATCCGACTTTACGACAGAGGGATTAACTGTCAGCACCATATGTAGCTTTGCCCACATTTAATTACATAAAATGTACAGAACTACAAACAACACAAAGGGCTAAAGAGGTCTCTAACATTTTCGGACACATTTAGGCACGGATCATGCAAACACCCATATGTATGATAATAACATAATATTTTACATAATAATCAAAACTAAAAGAAGTAAACCAAATAATAGGGGAAGTTAAAACCGGAGAGCTACAATAAATACATAAACATTTAATACAAAACATATGATATAGCGACATCGATACACAACAGCCAGGGATAGCAGAGGCTGCGTCCCTAGGGGATACGATGGGACGGGCGTCGGAGACCAAACCGAGCTTGGGGCTATCCAGGACACTTCCGCTATACCCCTCACTCCCTCGCATCGAGAACACCTCTCTCACAGATGATCACAAATAATTACATAACCAACAGAAACTAAAAATCAAATCATAACTATGTGGGGAAACAAAGTTGAATCGAACATAAACGCGTCTCTACGAAAGTACGCACAATTTCATCGTCTAGATAAATCATAAATCGGTTAATGGGAATTTTCTTCAGTATTCTCGCACGCTTGGAAAATTAACAGAGCATTTTAATGACACACATCATTCAGGTCTTTTACACAGATATCTGAAATTGATATAAAAACGAACATAACGTTTTTATGTTTGAAACATTTAAAAACCAACGACATAATATTCGTTTTTCATATCAAATTCTTGATAAAGTTACAATAATTTCTCTTTTCAATGAGGAAGGAATTTTATTAAACACAATTATTACATCATATTCTAATTTCCATAAGGAAAGGACTGGGAGGTATTCTCGACATTCTCAGATATGTCACTCCCGCTATTATTTAGGTATTTAATATAATAATTATATTATGTAACTGTTGTAAGATACACATGAATACTACTCTTTTCATAAATCAGTTTAAAATAAACTTAAGTAGATGATTATAAAATAGTATTTGTGAGCTTAGATTGTATTTTTTTCCCACACTTGTTTTTAATTTTGCTTGCCTTTAAGATGTAAACAATGCTGCAATTGTAAACTATTTAAAATAATCTGAGTGGTTACTATGACTATGATAGTTTAGTATGCTTAGTAATCATAGCAACATAGAAAACTTCTTTGGGTTCAGGTGTATTTTACAATAGTTTTATTGACTCTTCAGCATATAAATAGTTTTATATTAAGACACCCACCTCCTCGCATAGCTGCATCATACGCCGTGTGGACTCCAGTGACTGAAAATTAATTAAAGGGTGAGTTATTATTTTTTAAATAATTCTTAGAATGATATTTTTAAAACCACAATATATAATATGTATTTTTTATATTTCTTGAAATTAACGAGATTGTTTCAAACTTTTGCATAAAAATAAAATCATTATTTAGAATGATGAACAATGATTCTGCGTACCTCGAAAAACTTAAGACTAGACATACAATATGTCAATTTATATTTTGATACGATGTGTATTGCAATGAAAGTTTTAAATTCGACACGTTACAATTTAATATAACGATTAAATAAATCAAATTGTTAAGTTTTTCATATAATTGTAAATATGTATATGTTTTAATACTGACCTCATCGGTAACTTGACCGGCCCGCATTTGCAGCTGCTCGAGTTCGCTGCGCGGCGCGCCATTTTCGGCGGGGGGCACTGCTGCCGGCATTCTGTAATATCATAGAAATCTCAATCAAAAACAAAATATATCAAAATAGAAGAAGTTTAACGTTCAGAATATGCATCAATGTCGACTCCGCCGATAGTAAATATTTACACTATATTAGACGGGTTCCAAGTTCCATTAATACTTTTGGACGCGAGAAAGGGTCAGAGTATAATCTGTTAAGGAGCTCTAATCTGGTCATGGCGATGTGGTTGCTTTACGGGTTTTCTGAGGTATGAGTGACAAACTAAAGCAACTACAGATTGTCCCGTCTCTTGAAGCCAGCGCAGATGGCTGAAATGAGAACCACCCGTGCATTACACTGTTCCATTTCAACATGTGAAGTTTCCATTAGGAGCAGTTTCACATGCCTGATTCTCGCCTACCCGCGAGGACCAAGATTCTCTCGCCTACTGTGAGGTCCGGAGACTACCATTAATACCAATCCGAGGCTATTTAGTGGGTCTAAGGAAAGGAATCCCACATAATCAAATCATAAAACATAGGTTTTATCGACATAACAGCGTAATACAATAACCAAATCATAATTCAAATGCAAGATGTAAATGGATCCTTTTCAAGACTGAAAAGATAATGGATAAGGCATTCGAAGAGGTTGGTATACATTTGCATTTATTAAACCGACATCCGAATGATATAAAACTTTCTGCAAGGGATCGGAAACGGTGATAAATATTGAGTATCAGATACAAAAGACCACAAATATAGAATTTTGCAAATCGATAACTCATTTTTCGCTCCCGTAGCTTTCGTTATCAAAAGTTAAAATTAAAATGACAATGTGTATGTTACAGTTAAAACCCGATTTAAGATAGAACGCTTTTCTCAGGTTAGGACTAGTTTTTACTAAACGATTATGTTAAAACTAGAATTACCTAGTCAAAATTAGATTTTACCATTAATATAGTTGATTTTTAGATACTAGTTGTCACTTCCAGCTTTAGTTAAAACTAGTACTTGAGATTAAAAACAAGATATATCTAGTTTCAAATTGAAAGAAACAATCAATGGGTTAGGTTAAATTATAACTGTGGTCATAACAAAAAACGAAAGTGCCGCGGCAGAGGCCGGCGAACGCCATATAGGTTTTGTATTGATTAAATCCGTTGATGACGCCTCAGGTTATACAAAAATGTGAAATTTTAATCCATAATCTGTTTAACTACTGACAGACTTTTAATGGCAGTGTGATGAAATAAGGCTATTGGCGAATACTCTAATAAATTTTACCAAATAACAGTTTATCTACCGTCAGTTTGTGAAAACACAGATTTGACAATAGATATTTGTCGATTGCCATATTTCGTATTTACTCTTAACATGTCATATATAACAGTTGATACGGAACAGTATAATATAAGAGATTTCCTAATAAAACTTCTTTGTTTTTACTTTTCATCTGATTACGTGTGTGCATGAATTGGCGGCAGTCTTAAAATCTATTTTAAAAAATTCTATGCGCTAAGTGCTTTTTTATATGCATGCACATCTATAGATAGGCAAACAAATATTGTTATTTTTTTCAATATTTTAATGAAAAAAATTGTCTTTAATTTAGTCTGTGGTTGGTGGTGAAACATTCATTAAAAACTAATCAAATTATTCTGAAGCTCAAATATTATGTTTTTGGAACGTTGAATGACTCTTCCATGATAGATGGCATTATATAAAAGTAAAGTTTAAGAGCAAATAAAATAAATACCTAACTATCCACCACGGCAGTGGGATTTGGGAGAGCATTCCTAAAAAAAGCACATACTCTAATATTTTTACAACTAAGATACCTAACCTACATTCTCAAATATTATTTATTTCTGTGCTATATGATAAATTATAATTATATTATGATATTATAATATTATGATAAATTATATGATATTATTAGCACGATAGACAAAACTGTCAAATTTCCCTACTCGATTATAAAACTTAATATATTGAGGATAGAAGTCAAAATTCATTGCAGATAATTGACATATTGTGGTGGCCTGACATGCAGCAGTGTGTATAACCCGATCGCAACAGCAGTAGTACCTTCTATATTTTTTTATAGACAACATAATCTTGAAGTGAACAGCGTAATACAATATCTAACTACAACAAATAAGGTTTAAATATTCCAATCATAATAGACTAGGCACTATTTAAGTCCAGTCAAATACATATATATACGGTACATATTACCTCAACAATGAACTTGGGAAATATCATAAATACGGCGACACATGCATGCCGCAGAGCCTTGAACGCAGCGAAACAAAGGAGGGGGGACAGGGTTGGTTTCGCCCAACCCCCTTATTTTACACGCAAATCTGTTTGCGGCCTCGTTGCTGTAGTCAAACTTCAGCTTTGTTCAATTAAATCTTCAGTTTAGGGATGGGATCAAATTTGATTTTATCCTATTGGGACTACGGTACTGGCAAAAAAGAGAATAAATAGATTTTTTGGCAAAAGCCCCTGGGGAAATAGACAAGTAACTTGGGGCTAAGGTTTCATATTCATTTTATTTTTAATATAACTTTGGTAGTTCCATTAGTAAATCATTAGGTGTACGAATATTAAAATCTCACACGTAATAAGTAGGAAGCTAATAGGTATATCATCATCAGTTTATAATTACTCCACTGGTGGGGCTGTCATTCATTGTGTATGAAATCCTATTAATATTATAAATGTGAAAGATTCTTTGTTTGGATGTTTGTCCGTTAATCACGCCGAAACTACTGAACGTATTTTTATTAAATTTGGTATACAGATAGAGTACTGATTTAGATATTAGAATATTTTTATCCCACTTAACATTTCTAGGGACCACGCGGGCGAAGCCGCTTTCGAAAGCTAGTAAGGAGAATAAATGGAGAATGGACCATGGCATAATGTAGGCCTGGTGCGGATTGGTGGGTGTTAACGACTGCAGATTCAGGTGGGACCAACGCCATAACGTAGGTATTCTTTGTAGCAATGTGAGATGATTGATTAATAATAAGAAAATAATACATGTTTATTTTTCGTTAGTGAATGCTACAAATGAATTTATCATATAATAAAAAGTATGAAGTAAAGATGCAAATCTCTTCTGAATTTACCTAATAAAACTTGGAAATATAATCTTAGATCAAGGTAAACAGAATGGAACTGTATAGAAAGTTCCAGAACATCCGCTTGGGAGACAAAAACAAGGAAAACTAACAGAGAAAGATAACATTGATATTTAGCAAATAATGGTGCCTAACATTCACTATCGCTTTTACGAGATCTAATGGTGAAAACAAAACGCAATGAAGCTTGCTATTTTAAGTTAAGAAAGATTAGTTCTGATGAGTATGGTTTTCATCATTCGCTCTTTTTCACGAGACGTTATGCCTAGCTTTTATAGCACTTTCGCAGGTTATATTTCGTTGAAACTAGGTTGGTCGTCTTTTTCCGTCACTGAAACTATATATAGACAATGAATATTTAATGGCTAATATTTTGAAAAAGTATATTTAGAACATATGATTTATCTTTTTTATACTTTTGACAGTATTATATTTATGAAAAAGTATTTATTATTGCGTCAATATGCATAACATGTTTAGTCCTACTTTTATTTAAAATTGCTTTGGCCCCATGATAGCTAATGCGAGTAAGAAAAGTATTACGCGATTCCAATAATTCATTGAAATATTCCCTGATATATCGACGACTAACTTTTGAATTTGTTTTGTAAGAACCATACGATGACGATTGCGTTCCTGGAAGGGTTAAAATAATTTTAATTTATTCTTTAGAAAGTATTGGAGTTATGTATTTTTAAATGGTTTTTATACGAGTAATGTGATTTAGGAGACCCAACACTTGGTAATACGTGCTCGAAAAGTCAAAATGTTTACTTTGAAACGGTCTCATATAAACAAATAACGTCCCAATAAACGACAATTTACAATTATATGATTCACTTTGTAGCCCTAAACGTGTTTTGCGATTGCTAATAATTCGAAATAGTTTTGGCATCCTATTCTCGCTATTCATAATCAATGCCTCCATTAGAAAAGATAGGGAGCTCTATAGATATATATCTCATAAACGAGCGTGGCATCATTGATTTTGTATTGTTTTCATCAGTTTTGTTTTTCAATACACATTAAAATAAAAAATATAGTAAATAAATTAAAAGCGACATTAAAAATAGTGGAAAAACATACGGTTCAAAGCGTTTAGTAATCTAAAGAGCGGTGTTAGCAAAATATTTTTTTTCTAGCATATTTTATTGCTACGTGTTAGTGGAATTTTATCAGTATTTAATGAAATATAGAACGGCACACCAGTAATAATATCAATCACAATACCTTTTATCGTATACAAATAATTAAATTGCACGTGGGTGGAACTTAGTTTACCGGCAAAGTAGGTAATAAATAAAAAATCGGTGGACTATAGGTAATAATTGACTTTCTAGAGAAATGACCAATAAATATATTACATTAAATATGAGTCTACTTACAGCTAAAAGTTAGACGCTTTTTGATAGTCTTTTGCACTCAAAATCTGGACTGCGAAACTGAATGTAGTTTTAATTATATCGTTCGTTTCTTTATGATTAAATTATATAGTAGCGGTTTCCTCGCAACTTTGCCTGCGTAAATAGCCTATTTCACCCGCGTATAATGTAGCTTTCTGTAGGTAAAAGAATTTTTAATGTCGGTCCATTAGTTTTATTATTCAATGCAACGAAACATAAAAGCTAACATTTATCGTTAGCTTTCTTTTTTATATTATTAGACAGTGGTGGCAATTCTGCTGCTAGACTAAATCATATTAAGAACAAATAAATATAAAAATGTTAAATTACATTGATTACACGAGACTACCAAATATTATCGAGACATTTAGACTATTGTACCACAGAAATGAAACCTATATCTATATAAAATCAAGCATACATATCGATGAATAAACATTATAAATAGAGTTTAACAATATGACTTTATTGATCAGGGATCT